GTTAAATAATGTCATTATGATGACACAAAACATACAACATGACATCAAACAAACATCAAATTGACATAATTTTAGGATATTTGACATCAATCTAACGTCTTAAAATGACGTCATATTGACGTTAAAGTGGGTACGTTTTTACGTCAATTTGACGTCTTTTTGTAATGTCAAAATGACGTCACTAAACTCTAAAAAGATGTCAATTTGATGTTAATTTAATGTCCGTTGTCTTGCTGGGATTAATTGTCATGAAAATAACTTAGTGGAGATTATAACTATATAACTATAACTATTTTTTTTTGTTCATTTCAACTATTTTTTTGCCCATTTAAACTATTTTTTTGTTCATTTGAACTATTTTTTTGCTCATTTGAACTATTTTTTTTGTTCATTTGAACTATTTTTTTGCCCATATTTAAACTATTTTTTTGTTCATTTGAACTATTTTTTTGCTCATTTGAACTATTTTTTTGTCCATTTGAACTATTCTTTTTTTCATTTGAACTATTTTTATGTTCATTTGAACTATTTTTGGTTTATAATTCATTAATAATATTTTAATAGTTCAAATGAAAATAGTTCTAATGAACTAAAAAATAGTTTAAATGAGTAATATATTTACTCGTTTGAACTATTGTTCATTTCAACTACTCACGTGGTCCCACGTGCAGTAGCTGAAATGAACAATAGTTCAAATGAGCCATAGTTCAAACGGCAGTAGTTCAAATGAAATAGCACCGATCAAAATACTTATCAATCAATGAATTAAATACAAAACGTATTTGAATACTCTATACGGGGCATTCACGCTTGTTCACTTCGTAAATTAAAACACGGTCGTTTTAGGCCCCACTGCTACGGAGATTTCGGTAAAAAGTATTTATCATATAATTATTTTTGATAAATATAAAATTTCAGAGAAAGAAATGGGTATATTGAGTCGATCTGTTGGATTGTTTAGTTCAAATAGACCAAATATAACGATACAACAGCTTTCTACGTTTCCTAGGCAATTTGATATATTTCAAGAACTCCCAAGAACCCTCCCCCCCCTCTCCTACAGCTTTACCCGGCGCCTCCGTTAATTTAATAATATCTAAAAATGTCCATGTCAGGTTTGCCAACTCCAAAATTTTGCTGAGAACCCCAGAATAAATTTAACTGAACTATAAGACGGTCGTTTTACGTATTCTAGTAAAAAATTGTTTATAACTATATTATCAAAACTAGGTAGGCCAATCCATTATCTGCTGTTCTAATAAGAGGTCTTTAATTCCTAAAATAAACAGTTCAGATTTTAGACTGGGTTATATGGTATTTCAGTATCAATGCTTTAAATTCTAACAAAAGATTGGGGTCCGCCTATAGACCGCACTAATCACAGCGCTTGGCTCCTTAGTCTGTCCTATCCTCAGCGCTCGGATAAAATAATACAAAATTAATATTATTCAAATTCAAGTCATGTACAAAATTGATAGGGGGGGGGGGTGTCCCAAAAGCGATTACTAGGACAGACCCCAAATATTTGTACGGATTTCTAAATATCGAGTTCTTTTCCCGTAGACATGGCGGCTTTAAGGTGATATTGAGCAGATTTCAAAACTTTAAGGAAAAGTTTATTTTTGAATCAATTCTCTTTCTGAGAAATTCAATCTTGCAAGTGGATTACATTACATCTTTGAGGTAAGCGTTATTAAAAATAAAAATAATTTAGAATATTTTTTTTGGTCATAAATCAGGAAAATAATTCCTTCCAAAGCCGGATTAAACTTCNGGGGGGTTGACGGCTGAATTGTTTATTTTTACAAATGCTCCAATATTTCTTCTTTGCTATAAAAATTATAAGCTCTCATTTAATGTTATTTTTTTCAATACAAAGTAAAAAAATTCCTCAAATCCCCCAACTATTATGATAAGGTAAAACTATAAAAAAAACTACTCCATGATTTTGTGATAGACCTATAAAAATCTAATAGGCAAAAATAAATTTTAAGCTAGATTAAAGAGGATGAACTCTCTGTGTATTATTTTCTAGATTAAAGAGTATGAACTCTCTATTTGGACTATATTTTAGATTATCATGATTTCTAGATTAAAGAGGATGATTGATTACCTATGTGGAAAATATTCTTGATTATCATGATTTCTAGATTAAAGAGGATGAACTCTCTATGTGGGCTATATTCTAGATTATCATGATTTCTAGATTAAAGAGTATGAACTCTATGTGGACTAAAGTCTAGATTATCATGATTTCTAGATTAAAGAGGATGAACTCTCTATTAGGGCTATATTCTAGATTAACTTGATTTCTAGATTAAAGAGGATGAACTCTCTATGTGGAATATATTCTTGATTATCATGATTTCTAGATTAAAGAGGATGAACTCTACTATATTCTAGATTATCATGATTCTAGATTAAGGAGGATGAACTCTCTATGTGGACTATTTTCTAGATTATCATGATTTCTAGATTAAAGAGGATGATCTACCTATGTGGACTATTTTCTAGATTATCATGGTTTCTAGATGAAAGAGGATAAACTCGCTATGTGGAATATATTCTAGATTTTCATGATTTCTAGATTAAAGAGGATGAACTCTCTATGTGGACTATTTTCTAGATTATCATGGTTTCTAGATTATAGAGGATTAACTCTATGTGGAATATTTTCTCTAGATTTTCATGATTTCTAGTTTAACGAGGATGAAATCTCTACTATATTCTAGATTATCATGATTTCTAGACTATAGAGGATGAACTCTCTATGTGGGCTATATTCTAGAAGATCGTGATTTCTAGATTAAAGAGGATGAACTCTCTATGTGGACTTTACACTAGATTGTATGAAAAAGAAAAGCTTCTAGAAATAATGAGATCACTTTCTAGAAGCTTAAGGTAAATAATTCATTTAAATATTAATTATTCCCATCATGGTTCTCCGACATAGGTTCACATCATAGTTCTCCGACATATGTTCACATCATGGTTCTCCGACATAGGTTCACATCATGGTTCTCCGACATAGGTTCACATCATGGTTCTCCGACATAGGTTCACATGATAGTTCTCCGACATAGGTTCACATCATGGTTCTCCGACATAGGTTCACATCATGATTCTCCGACATAAGTTCACATCATGGTTCTCCGACATAGGTTCAAAACTTAACAAAACAGGATAAAGAACTCAAGGTTTGATAATACACAAACAGTTTCTTCCTTGTTTCAACTTTAATGTCGGTAGCGTGGGATCAAGGTTCAGACACGTGGCTATTCAAAATAAATTGAAATTGCAACAGCGGTTGCATCTTTTGATCCATCTCATCATCCACTGAGAGATGAATCCCAAAATCAGTGCCAAACGAGGGGAGGAAGAACAGCCACAACAATTTCTAGTCCGAGCCACATTCTCCTCATTTTCTTGTCCGAGCCACCTCGGAATCCTCGTCCTTCGATTATTTTGTGATAAAATTCCAATTCTTGAAGATAAAACTTTTTTTAAAAATCTGGCCACGTTAGAGCATCACATAATACATATGAATATCTGAAAAGACATTGAACTTGAAATCTTTAATTCAACTGAAACTTTTATTGATTTAAAAAAATTTTTTACTTCATATATGCCCTAATGTGGCCCGGATTTTTAAAAATATTTTTTTTTATGGGAGGATATTGTTGTGGTTGGCCTTACTCCTCTCCGCTAGACAGTTAACAGAATTGAATTTTTTAAAATATATTTCTTCTAAAAAATTACTTTTCGCTAAAATTATTTTCAATAAATAGATTTTATTTTCAGAAGCAGATCGAGAAGACTAGCCTGGGGTGCAACAGTTTTCGGTGTTTTTGATTGGGAAAAGCATAAGGTAATTTATTAATATTAAGGCATACAGGGGTGTACATGTTCTTCAAAAATCATTAGTTTGGAAATCATTCACCAGCCCCTACCCCCAAAAATAAATTCAATTTTCTAAAATGGCTTATTTTTGAAAATATTAAGTACAATAAAATTGATGCAACCATATCCTGCTCTTTAATTTAAAATTGCCCCCATAACCTAAAACTGGTAATATTTAATATTTAACGAGAAAATTGTAAATTTTTTGTTGTTCATCTGGAACGCTTAAGTAATGAAAGTAATAAAATGAAGTTTGCCCTATTCCGGCGGGGGGGGTTGCCCTGGGACTCCCGGCCTGACGTTACTCAAAAAGTTTGGTCTGAGGCTGTTCAAATATTTTGACTTTTCTAAGTCCTCGAGCATACTACCTGAATGCCTTATTTTACCTTTACCTGACTAAATCTTAGTTTAGACCTACTTCCGGTCATTGGATTTTAACTTTTAATAGCTCTTTGGCAAGCCTTGTACAAAAGGAAGCAGATTGCACACTTTTTGCGAAGAAATTTTGCATTGTTTTTTGCACAGATGCTTAATAGAGAATTTTAACAAATGAATAGAGGTTTTTCAAAAATGTATAATTTATCATATATTGCACACTTCTTGTTTTTACACCTTTTTTGCTTAGCAACTTGAAATTGCAATACATATTAGAAATTTTGCAGATTTGGATTTTTTTGGCAGATTATAAAAGTAAAGCCCAAGGGCTTTCCTTAAGTGCATCAAATGTTATAGATTTCTATCACAATTAGGAAATAGAGGGGGGCGGGTCGCTGGGACCCCTCCCCCCCATTCATTCCTTTTTTCCCTTTTTTCTCCTCTTTTCGTTTTTCCTTCTTTTTTTTTGTCTCAGATAATGTTCCCCCTCCCTAGCTCCCTTACCTACGGGCCTGTTTATAACGACAACAAATAATGTATATGTATACTTGTATGTATGTATTCAATAAACGTCAAAACTGCTGAACCGATCGGGCCCAAATTTTGTGTGGGACCTCACATGACCCCAGAAAATGTTCATGAAAAAAAAGAATTCACAAATGAGCCTCCAACAAAATTCGATTGTCATTAAATTTTGAAAATCCGCGAAATTTTTTATAAATTTCGCAAACATTTTTAAACATTTTTTTACACAATTAAAATAGTTTCTTAATTTTCATTATATATTCCCCCGGCCCCTCTCCTCTCCTACATTTTTCATGTAGTTGTAAGTTGAGAAACAGAAAGAACAATTATTTAATTTATTTTTACACTTATTTATGTTACAATTCAATTTTCAAACACTGTTCGAAGAAAATCATGATAAATCGCAACAAATGGGTTTAAAAATTCAAACAAATTATTCACTTCTTATTAATAAAGATTAAAATGTTATTTACATCGAGATGGAATTTCTAAATTATTAAACTAAATATGCTAAGAACTTTTGCTGTACAAATATATAATCTATTTACAATAATTTAAACATTTTGAAAACTGAACTTAAATTTATTTTACACTATATTTTCACTTTATCAATAAGAGATTCAGTGAAAAATAGCTTGTTGTTTCTTTTAGCCAGAAAACACTTGGTTGTAGGATGGAAGAAGTTTAATCTTTTTGAGACAAAAACTAGGATATTTTGAATATTTGGATATCTCTCAATTTTTTAAGTGGCCTCAGCTTTGAAGATAAAAGAGTCATTTAAAAGTTTTGACCCTAGAAATTAGAGTCGGGTGTTGTTTCACAAATTCACGAATTAGCTCTTTAATTACTTCAAGATAAAAGTTTTCATCTAAATATCCAGTTTAAGCGTTGTGGATTAGATTTAGTTGATTCAAAAGTTCGAACCCCCACTGATCCTAACAGGACCAAGAAGAAAGATATAAGATTCTAGAATTATTTCACGGACGATCTCAACGCGGCAGATCATATGAGCTCCATCAAGAACTCAATCCTCCCTGTGGTCTCATCGCACACCTGGATCTCCTCCTCTTCATCCTCCTCGGACCGGAACTCGAACGAGCTTTCGATCTCGACCAGGTCCACGGAGATAAAGTTGTCATCCTTCTCCTCTCGCTCCGCAGACTCCTCAGCGGTGGAGGTTAACTCCCGCGCTATTGCTTTCAGATTCTTTGTCAATCGATGAACCTGAACATATTAATACTATAATAACAACCGAATTCAAAAAGCAAATTTAAGAAATTATCTTTTGATCTGGGCACCCATAGCCTTTTTTTAGTTTTTAATGCTAATTTTTGTTTTTGCTCTTGCTTCATAAGCAATGATTGCTGATAAAAAAGTTCAAGAAGAAACCTTAAATAGCTTATGATTAAAAAAAAATATGTCGAAAATATTTTTATTTTTTCATACTTAATAAACGAATAAAAATGAGGTGTGAAAAGTCGAAAATTAAAAAAAATCTGGGAAATCGATTTTTGACTTTCACTCAAAGAAATGGTTGAAGCTTAAAAAAAAGGTATGAAGCCTAGAAGGAAAAATTACGAAATAACTGAAATATAGAGCTTTCTAATGAAACATTGATTATAAAAATAGAACGGAAATTGTTCCGTTAGTAACTAATACCTGAACAGGATCCATATTAGGTCTGGTGGTGGGTTCAGGTGTGGTACATGCATCAACACATTCTCTGTAGATTAAGTAGACCAGATAAACGATGCTCATAAATACTCCCAGAAAAACGGAAAAGATGATAAAAGCAAAGAAATGTATTAACAACTCAAGAGTATCAGTTTCTATGTCCGCGATTCCCATAGCGGGGTTAGTAGTTCTGTTATAACTAAGGGTAGACTGATATAACCTTTCTAAATTCTGTTTATCGAAAGGTTATTGTTGGTCAGTGGTTATGACCCCTTGCTACGTTATTGCGCAGTAAGATACCTAGTACCTAGGCTAGCCTAGTACGAGCGGTCATTCTACAGATTTAAATCCGAGAATGATTAAAATGTCCATTACAACCACGCCCCTCCTGCCCCACCTCCTTTCCTTCCTAGCCCCTCCCCCCTAATTCTTAATACACGAACTATATACTCTTGACTACAGTAGATTAATATATAACAAAACAGTTAAAACATCAGATCGAAAGTACATTTTTTATGAGTGTAATGAAAAGCAGTTAAAGGATAGGGGTTTTTAAGCTTACATAAGAAAAGCAGTTAAAGGACAGGGGTTTTTAAGCTTACACAAGAAAAAAGGTATACTCAAAAGGGGAGGGGTGCTCACGCCAGTACCCCCCCCCCCCTCCCTCCCCCTGTATACGCCCATGACTCCTATTCAAGAGGGATCGGCTGTATATTTTTAAGATGTACTTAGGATTAAAGGGACTGTAAGTATAATTTAAAGTGATTTGTAGAGTCTATTCAAAAATGGCAATGCCCGATTTACAACGGTACCCTTGAAACCTTAATCTAATTAAATGTGGTAGATAATGTCGTTTTTAAGGTTCTTACATTTTCTCCATTGCCACTTATAAGCAAGAAATGCGCAAGTCAATTATGCAGAGAAACTGAAAATGAAAGTTAAGTTTAAAGAAACAAAATCATGGATATTCATACTTGATCAGACAAAGCTTTTAAGGGACCATTGTAAATCAGACAAAGCTTTTAAGGGACCATTGTAAATCAGACAAAGCTTTTAAGGGACCATTGTAAATCAGACAAAGCTTTTAAGGGACCATTGTAAATCAGACGAAGCTTTTAAGGGACCATTGTAAATCAGACAAAGCTTTTAAGGGACCATTGTAAATCGGGTTCTGCCATCTTTGCATAGAGAGTCACTTGAAATTACACTTACAATCCCTTAAAAGAAGTTTTTTTCTCAGGTTCTTGATGATGAAATGATAAAATTTTCGCGAGACCTGGAAACCTGTCAACATCTGACCAAGGTAATGGTTTTTTTTAATATTTTTTTAAAATGAAAAATAAAAATAATAAATAAAGATAAAATCAAATATTGATTATCATTCAAAATTCAAATTCATTTGTTTTATATATTTTTACGAGTTTTAGCTTGAGATGAGCATACTACCCACAAAGAATGAGAGTTCAGAGTCCGAATTCGATGAATTTGAGCCGCGTCTCAATTCCGCCAAAACCCGGTTTCAATTGAGCGCACGCTTAGATCTTGAAACATTAAATACAATTTCAAGTGGGACCAACAATATTTGAGCAACGTCTCAAATTTAAGTCACGGCTGAAATCTGACCTCAGATTACTTTAAAATAGGCCTTTTTCATCATATACTTTTTGCAGTCAAGTTTAAGGATGACCTAAAAATAATTGTATTTTTGAAACTCCTGATTTTTAAAAATAAAATTTATCAATGCGGAAACAAGGAATTCTAAACAATTCAAGTTAGGGCTGCAGTGTGTGTGTGTATGGAGAGGGGGGGATTATCGTTGGTAAAAAGGGGTGTGGTAGCCTGGAACCTTGAGAGGGCGTGGTCATGAGTGTCATAGAGCAGTGCTCTGAAAGCGCTAAATTGTAGGCTATAATCATAAATATCAAAACTTACCGTCATAGAATATTAATAAAAGATTTTTTTTATTTTGTTTTGTTACATTTTTAAACTGTAAATACCTTACGTTCAAACCAAAAGAAAAATTAAGCGTCATCTAGGTTTTAAGCCACACAAGCAAAAGCAATCGTATTACTTTCACATGATTTGTATCAAATCTTTTCGTTTTAAAAACAACAAAGAAAAAACAAAAAACAAAACTGTTGTTTTTATTAACCATCGTGTTCACGAAAAACGAAATGAAAAACTTTCGATCATTTTTTAAAAACGTAATAGCCCTAGTTATTCATTCTTGTTTGTTTAGAATACTCTGACCTGCGTCACATGTGGACTAAGATACGCAATAGAGAAACGTATTGATGACGTCAAATATTGCCAATGCAAAGGTAGCCAATGGTTTATTATGACAGGGATGCCTATTGGCCAATTTTTGTAGAACTGGGTGAGGGGAGGGGTAACGAAATAATAATACTTGAATATTTTTTATTTATATTATGACTAGAAAGCATTTCAGAATCAGATACAAACTTATATATTTAAAATTTCAAATGTTGATTATTACTTTCATCAAAAAAATTGATATTTTGTTTTGACATGGGTTTATATTTTTCAGATCTTGGGAAAAAATAAAAAATTGTTCTTAAAAAGTTTTTCTCAGTCTTTTTCAAGCTTTTTGGTGCTTTTTTTACACGAAAATTCATTTATTTTCCCAATTCAGCAAAGAAAAACTTAATGGAAAAAAATGATTTTCTAAAGGGGTTTAAATGATTTTTCGAGAAAATATACACCCCTGTTTTTGCTTAGATGCTCCGAGTTCTGTGTACGGTGTAGGGAAGGAGAAGGGGGATTGGGTTCCCTTTCTTGAGAGAAAGGATATCATTGTCTGGAGGAAGGTAAGAAATAACAACGCACTGTCCCTTTATTAATTTTTCAAAATGTGCACAGTCACTTTTTTCAAATATAACCTTTGCATTTCTATGCTACACTCTAGTGTACTGTTGTTGATTTTTATTCATTTTCACTTTGTGCACCGTCTTTCTGTTTCTTCTTGTAAACTGTCATTTTTTTTCTCCCAAGGGCACAGTCCCTTTAATGATATTTCCTCTATGTCTTATAGTCAGTTTATTTTTCATGATACAGACGTAACAGTCCCTTTAATGAAATTTCCCCCAGAAGCACAGTCCGATATTTTTTCACGATGCAGGTTCATTTTCCAAAATTTTTCCTGAACCTTGCCGAATTTACTATCAAAGTGAATAAATACTAAAGTGGACCAAACTCATAGTTGGATGACGACATTTTATGTCCCAAGTATTTAGAAATATGTATATATATATATAATGGGTCTTTAGTCTATTTTTTTCTAGTCTTTACTTTCCAAACGAAATCTTTTCATGAAATTATTTCCAAACCAAATTAACCCTTATGGCCCACCCTGTCGTCGTTTCCTTAGTCTGTTCCACTTTAGTATTTATTCACTTTGATTTACTATTCGGTATTATTTCGGACATGTTTTCTCTTCAAAACGAAAACATTAAATAGATTATCAAGTACAATAGGTGGCAACAGAGAAATGTACCTATTATACACGACGTCACAAGTGTCATACATAAAAAGGAAAACGAAATTTTCTCCCATTAGTTGATATGTTTTCCAAGATAAACTAAAAAAGTGTAATAACAGAATTTAAAGAACGCAAAATTGCACTTATTTTACTGTTAGAGAAGCAGTTTATTCTAAAAATATCATTAATATTAATAGTTTTGTCGGGCACATAAAACTGTTGACACTTGTGACGTAAGAATACAGCTGTACACAGTCTACGTTGCCATCTAATTTGGAAAACATTACATATTGTTAATACCAGTCTTTTAAAGCGTTTTGTGCCCTCTTTCCTGTAAATAAAAGCTCTTATCAGTGGTTTTGAAAATCGGCCATTTTTAATCATTGTCAAATTGTGACGGAGTTTTCTGTTCGAATTGGCGCATATCCAGAAAAAAAGTCGAGAAACCAAAAAAATCTTCAAAAGAAAAAATAATTGTTTCAGGAGCATCCAGATTTGAAAGGAATGTATATCTACAAAATGTACGGAAGGTGAAAAGAAATTTTTTATAATTTAATTTTATGTTGATTGTCTCCCGGGAAAGATTTGAAACTCAAACCCAAAAGAAGGATGCCTCAAGTAAACAATTTGATTTGATTTGATTTGATTTCATTTCATTTCATTGATATGGGTTGGTTTGATTTGATTTGATTTGATTTGATTTGATTTGCAGGGTAAAAAGAACGTAAAATTAGATATAATCAATTAAAAAAGAATATTTTCGACTTGCATAAAATAATCGTTAAAATTTTTTATTTCTCACTTAAATTAAATAACAGCTTGAAATTAAGTTCTTAATTCCTTTATTTGAAAATCGTTCTTCATCCATAGAATTGAAAAATCTGTTTAACCCTTTACTTAAAGTCTAAATAATTTAAATTTTTTAAGGATCCTTTAAGTTGAATCATTAAAAATTAATAAAATTTTTCCTTAAAGATTTGACGACGTATCAGCTGATGAATATCTCAGAGTTCAGCTGGATATGTCAGAATTTAGGTAAATTCATTTTAGTATTTTAGAATTTAGGTAGATTTCTATTAATATTTTAGAATTTAGGTAGATTCCTTTTAGTATTTTAGAATTCAGGTAGATTTCTTTTTAGTATTTTAGAATTTAGGTAGATTCCTTTTAGTATTTTAGAATTCAGGTAGATTTCTTTTTAGTATTTTAGAATTTAGGTAGATTCCTTTTTAGTATTTTAGAATTTAGGTAGATTCCTTTTTAATATTTTTCCACCATTTCACCAACAATACCGACCTATGATTCCCGCTACAAAGGGAGGTTAAGTTACTTAACGTCCCTTGGGACACATATGTGAAATAATCTCCCGCTCTGCGAAGTTTTCAGGGAAAAATTCGCGAATTTTCTTTCCAAAAGACGATAAAATTGTTAACAACTTCTTTTTCTGGAAATTAATTTTTTAATTAACCACGGGTTCCCTCGATCAATTTTGTCAAGTTTTGTAGACAAAATTGGTCTTGGGAACCCTTGGTAAAGTAAAATCCCTTAACTTCTCTGTAAAGTAGTTGTAAACAATTATTATTTAAGGTAGATTCTTATTTGTTAATTTGTAGACATAAATTCAAGTGTGAAAAAAATAAAAACGTTTCAAATATAAAGTAAATGAATAACCAGAGATTTATTTAAAAGCGACAACAGTTAAACTTTTTAGATTAAATTGGGACACAAGCACTGCTCAATGCTTCGTTTTAGGTAAGCATAAAACCTGAAATCCTAATCAAAAAGTATATTTAAAAAAGTTTTGATTGATTGATTGTTTTGAAGTATTGTGATTTATATTTGAATCTAGAACGCAAAGCAGAAACTAATCAAGAGGTTTACTATTGGGAAGTTAATTGGCCCAGATTTTTCTCAAACAGGTAAATAACATCTATGTACTGTACTGCTGTATACAATATTATTAACTATTACGTACTGCACCTCTACTGCTGAGCCGAAAATTTAATTGAGTATTTTTGACCGAATAAGTTACCTTTTTGAAGCCTTTAGCGTATATTGATTTAATTTTAGAAATCAGTAAACAAAAGAGAGAATGTTAAGAAACCACATGAAATAATATTTCTGAACAAAATCCCGTTCATGAAACCGGGTTTTATGACGATACTCTGTTTGAAGTTTCGAGCTCTGTGTACAATATTATGAACTATAGTGTACTTAAGGGATTACTGTTGTGTGCAATAATATTAACTATAGTGTACTGCAGGGATTACTGTTGTGTACAATATTATTAACTATGGTATTAACTATGGTGTACTGCAGGGATTACTGTTGTATACAATATTAACTATAGTGTACAGCAGGGATTACTGTTTTGTCCGACAATATTATTAACTGTAGTGTACTGCAGGGATTACTGTTGTGTACAATAATATTAACTACAGTGTACTGCAGGGACTATTGTTGTGTACGACAATATTACCGAGACCCTGTATCTGGAACTACTGTACTTATCTCCCGTAGTACTCAACATACACAATGTCCCGTCAAAAGGTGAGGGATGTTTATATTCTCGAAGTTAGATATGTTTTTATTCTTTTTTCTCTCTAAATGAGGGCACATAAAAGATTTTAAGCAGGAAAACAGATACATTTTGTGGTAAAAAGTTTCAGAAAGAGGGATAATTTATATATTTTCCACCAGATTAATTCTATAAAATTTGAGTAACAGCAGATTTTTTTTAGATAATTTGAACATTCTCAATAAATCTCTGATGAATGCCTAACAAAAGAAGTTATTTTACCATCTAGTACTTAATTGTATTTAATCGATATTTAGCAAAATGTGTACGTACTGCCACAAAAATGTGTACGTTATGCGACAAAAATAAAATTTCATTTATTTTAGTCAAGTTTTTTCTTCGTCACACACGGAACATACAAGTTTTCAGTATAATTGAGACTAGGGTTGAATAAAAGCATGCGCTCCAATGTAGGTAAATGTCGTCTTTTTTGCAATGGAAACTAAATCCTCATATGACGTCACTGATACTTTAACAAATGTTAATCGTGCTGCTGACAAGTTTTAAGCTAAAAAATGCAATTCTAATTTGTGCTTTAAATTTTTCAGTTCGTTAATATTTAGTGAGCCGCAAAATTCATTATTCTTTAAAATAAGCAGTAACGTCATGTGAGGATTTAGAGTGTCCATTGATTTAAAGGTCGTCTTTACCTACATTAGAGCTCATCCAGAGTATTTAACCTTATTATAAAAACTTGACACAATCTATTTTATTATTAGAACACTCTGCTCCTTTTTCTATTAATGATTTTACTGATTTTTTCCGTTTTTTGCTCTTTTATCAATTTTTTTCCGTAATTGGCTCAGATACAAATGCTAGGGAATGACTTGATATTGAAAATATATTTGTACAGTGATAACCAGAAAACTATGGAATTGAAACACGACAAAGAATCATTCAACAATACTTCAGTGTAATTGATGTTGTTACAAAACAAAAGGTTTTACTGGAAACTTTTTAAATCATTAATTTAGTGAAATGGGTCTGTTTGCACTTCACACATTGTTATGTCTCATGCTCACTAAACTTTAAAGTTATAACTTGATTTTTGATTATATATATTATATATATTTAATCAATATAATCAAGAATCAATATATATATATAATATATTGTAGAAAATGTTTGCGTGTAGAAGATTATAACTCTGTTTTAACTGTTAAACCGTTTACTAAACCAGACCAGCTTGGGATAGAGTTTTGTTTAACAGGTATTCATTGGAACTATATTTTTTTTACCTCGATTTATTTAAGAGTTCAATCATCAATTATCGCTAAACTTTTTGAAAGAATTTCTATAATGTATTAATTGTTTATTCAATACATGCTTAGTTTTAAGATGCTTTTTTTTAAAAAGCTGTTTAAAAACGAACTTTTCTAACAATACAGACAATTTTTCTAACATAAAAGACGACTGTAGTAGGTTTTTTCGAAAATGTACTTAAATAATGGTTTTAAAGCTCTAGCTCTCCAACTTGGAATAGAGTTTTGCTTTTGCAGGTATTTATTGGAACTTCTTCTAATTTTGTAACTATTCTGACTCTTTTTGTTGTGATAACCATGATTATGATATTATGTGTTTCTTTTTTTAAATTCGGTAATGGCGATGGACCAAAACTCGGTAGATTAAAAAAAGTAGATGTTAGTTCTAAATTTTTTGAAAATATGTTTAGGTCTGGGCTGACCGTCGTCAGTTCTAACGATATAGTAACGACCAAAATCGATATAAAAAAATGTTAAAAACCACAAGAAAATAAACAAACAAAAAATATTATTAAAAAAAATTTTTTAATGAGCTTCCAAATGGACAAAAGGGTAACGAACTCAGATCATGAGAAGGAAAAAAGATAATTTGCAAATATTCAATTTTGTTTAAGGAGGAGAGGGGTATTTAAACCTTTTAAAGAATTGGACATAAACAAACAATACTCTTTTTTAAAAGATACTAAATTACAGTTTACAATTAATAAAAACTATTTTTTTCTGTTCATTTTTCTGAGTTCAATCATAAAATCTCTGATGTATTAGATTCTCGTACTCAAGTAAACTTCTCCCAAGGTCTCAAACCTTCTCTAGAATGCTAACTTTTAAATGGTAAAGTTCATGTCCAGGAAGGTTAAAGTGTTCTCCTGTAGGCTGGTTTGTATGGAGGTTTTGCTAAGGAGACATAATTATTGCAACATTTCGCGAAATTACTTCTGTGTAAATTACGCGAAATTACGGCGTAATTTCGCGAAATCGAAGTTTTGCTAATTACGCAGAACAATTACAAAATTTCGCAAAATTACGTTGTAGAAATTGCGCGAAATTATGCCGTAATTTCGCAAAATTCAAGTTTTGCCAATTTCGCGTAATCCCGCGAAATTAGAAGTATTGCCAACTGGGTGTGAGACTATTTAGTTGTTTTAGAGCGCGGATCAAACTTAACCAGACTAGTCGTAGTTTCAAGTTACATTCTTTTTAAGACTGAGAGTCACACAAAATTAAATCTCTAGTTCTTTTAATTCTAAGTTTTTTGGGAAACCCTGCAATTTCATGTTTTATCTATCTATCTAGGGTTTGAGAATCCAGGCGTTCAGTTGCCGGAAAGTATAATTACCTGGGTTGCTATCAGAGGAATGCCGGAATTCATGTTGAACCTCAGGTTTTGATTCATTTATTGATTGATTTACCCAATGATTGAAATGATTGATTGATTTACGTAATGATTGATTTAGTTTATATGGATTGATGGATTACGTTTGGATCGATAGATTTTCTATGTGATATATCTATGGATTGATTGATTGATTTATGTAATTTACGTACGGATTAATTTGGTTATTTATGGAATATTAATTAGCAAATTGTTTAAATGATCAAATATCTAATGTTGTATATTTTCTTGAACATTCATTCCTTCTTAAAAATTAGTATGCCCCCACCCTCCATTTTCGCAGAACGTGGGTTAATAAATTATTTTTGGCAGAATACGTGAACTTTTTAGGAAAGGTATCAAAAACGATGTCCAATTTTTAATTTCTCATCCACCCTCAAATTATAAAAATTGTTGCTCCCTTCCCTTCCCGGGGAATGTAATTCTTGAATTATACAACCCTGAAAATATTCATTTGTTGTTAACATATTTATTATCCAGGAATGCTTGTATTAAGATAAGAAATTACGAGGCGCCCACTATCGAATCCCAATCTTCATCCAGCGCAAGGTAAGAACGACGCGGCAAAGTGCGCATATTTATTCTTGGGCATTTTAGTTAATTTTGAGTTTTTAAAAGTCAATACTAATATGTCAATATTAGATGATAAAAGTGATACAAGTGACCCGTCTTATTAACATTTATTCCCCTGAAAATCGGCAAGTAATTTCATTAGAGAAACAAAACCTTTAAAATTTGAAATAGATGGATGGATATATTTTGTTTTTGCTTTGGGTACCACTGTCACTTTATAAATGGAGGGCCACTTTAAGTTACGTTGACATTCCATTTATTGTTACTTAACCTGCAAGAATTTTGTTCAAAACAGAGGAAAAGATAAAAATTTCGCAGATTTCTCTGCTCTGAATTGTGGATTTTCAGATTTTAATGATTTATTTTTTTCAGGAGCAGTCACAGTTCTGCAGCAGAAACCAACAATAATACCTACATCAATTCTTCATCCAGGATATACGCGTGATTTAAATTTTACCTTTTTTTGTTGTTCAGAAGTTAGATTTATTGATTTTTGATTTCATAATCTTGTTCTAGTCTTTTCTTTAACAATTTTAAATTTTTTTTTAGTGTGTAATTTCTAGATGTACACAAATTTGAAAATTTTATCTGTTATGTATCATATTTGATATAAAAGTACCTCAAAGTCATGGCCGTGCAAATATAAACGTTTTCTTCAGATTTTATGCCGGTCAATGAACCAATCAAAGCGTAATTTCAAGTGACCCTCCATGCAAAAAAGGCAATGCCAGACACACAACGGTACCCTTGAAACCTTTATCTGAACAATAATGTGGAAGATATTGTCGTTTTTCCAGGTTTAAAAATGTGGAATTGTGATAATTACTTTATATTTTCCTGCAGAAGAAATGCGCAAGTCATATTTGTAAAGTAACCACAGTTGAAAATAATCTGTTTTCAAAGTTGTAAACATTTATATCTAATTCATATTTGATCAGACAAAACTTTTAAGGGTACTGTTGAGAAGGGTCATTTGAAATTTCGCTTACAGTCCCTTTAACCATCAAATTCGTTCTTAATTCTGTCGCAAGAAACACTTCCCGCACTTGCAATAATGACATCTAAACTAAAAGTTTTGAAATTTTATTTTCTAGGGTAATTATAGAAACACATTATTTTCTAATTTCAGATAAAATGGTTGCCATGAACCCTGTGGAAGATATTAGGCAGGGGGACTCACGGGCCATTTATTCTTATCATCATTATTTATTTAATTATTGTGGAAAACGATTTTAAAATGTTCGGTTACACAAGACGTTAAGTTTTGGATCGTTTTTGGCCTATACATGCGGTCAGGGTCAAAATTGGACAAAGTGGAAGAAAAGCAAATGTTAAAGAATTAATTTGGAAATTTTTGAAAATTTTGGTCTTAAATTTTGACCATGAAAGAAAATAAAGGCGTAAAAAACTCTCTCTCAAAAAAAAACAATTAAAGTCATAAAGTTAGCTGAACTATGCATGAATGATAAGATATTTAAATATAATGCTGCCTAAAAATGAATTTTACGACAAAGTAAAAAATAGTTGTAGCTGGAAAATCTACTTATCACGTGATCTCTGTACAATTCATAAGCATCAGCTGAGTTTTCAGGCGTCTTCCTATTCCACAGTTTTATGAATCTCACCCAAAATTAGTCTAGTTCTTGATCCCCCCCGTGTCCCCTCAGGGAGATGGTGTTGAGACTTGAACAGGAGGAATTACAGACACAGCTTAACACAGGCAAAACAGGTAAGCTGACCGATCCCAGGTGCCCTCAGTAAAATAGAGTTCAGCTTCTAATCGAATGCGGCCTATAAACTAGCTCTGTCAGATTCTTCTTATTTTTGTTCAGAAGCAAACTGTGAACCCCAAGAAATGTTATAAAATGTTTTTATTAATTATCCGAAAATGTCTGGCGGATATCGGGAAATCGGTGGATATCCAGAAATCGGTGGAAAATCTTGGCGGAATCTATTCAATTGAATTGTTGTTTTATAATTATTCGGTGAAACTTGTAATCTAAACAGCCAAAAGCTATCTTCCACTTTTACTGTTAAAATAATCATCAATTTGTAACATTAAACTCGTTTTGTACACAGATACATGTATTTTAGCAATAAACTTTATCTTATCTTATAAGGGATAGGATTATTTAGTAATTAATTTTTTTCTTTTATTTCCTTTCTGAAACTAATTGTATTTAGGAACTAAGTTATACATGGAGACTTTTTAGCGGAAATTTGCCCGAGTCCTCTAAAATTTTTTTTTTTTTTGCCCTAGATTAAACAAATTTAAAATATTAAAAAAAACTATGCAATATTCAGTAGTTTGAAGTGCAACTTAAGATAAATTTTAATGAACAATTCTAGCTGCGTCGTTTTTGAAAAATCAAAATCATTGTCACATTTCTCCATTGCGCACCTCTTTAATACACATGAGTCTCTTATATTATTTATTTCTGGTACAGCGATACAGAGCTAGGACCCGTGAACTGAAAAACAATACATCAGTCACGGGTTGCATAAATATTATATTAGTATTAGAATGATTTTAAAGAATAAAATTAGCCAAGTTTACGTTAAAATTTGCTCCAGGTGTGCTAAGTGTAACAACAATTAGGTATTGAAATAACACTTACAATGTGCTAAATGTGAATAAATTGCGACAAATATATATAAATTAAGGGAACACTTACAAAGTTGATCAGGCCGGAGAATTTAATAGCTCTAGAGTTGGGTAATCGTTACCAGCTGTCTCTTATACATATCTAGAAATGATAAGATGAGTTTATATAAAGGCTTATCATGTGTTAGAGGAGATAGTCACACTTTCGTCTTTAATTGTTCACAAAGATCACACGAAACTTGATTATATACCTTTATCTGCTCGAAAGCAGCAGTCCCGGTTTAGAGAAACACAGATGCTTCCGACGGGACTTCTCCGAGAGGAGGCGAGGATATTTCTCCGAGAGGAGGCGAGGATATTGGTGCTCAGCAGGGAGTTACTCTGCAGGCGGTCCAGCTCAGCTCGACAGACTTATCGTGCTTCCATCTGCAAACAGGCAGTCCGCAGAACATGTAGATGAACAGACTATCGTTAAACTGAAGCGGTCATCCTCGTCCAAGAGATAAGGGAGTAGCTAGTTTCGCATAAACTTCAAAAGTTCTAAATTTTATAGAAATGTATTTTCATCTGTTAATTCATTAGTTCATAGTTCAGGACAGGTGATGAAATACACGAACGATCTGGATTCACTTTATATAACATCCATAAGTTTTAAAGAACTTAAATTCGAAAGGTTTTATTCAGTGTTACATTTACATTTAAATAAGATGTTTTATAAACCTAGTATTGCACAACCTGGAGTACTAAGGCAGGATAACGCAGTTATTCTAGCCCATTGTGGTCTGAAATATATAGACCATTAAATATAATTTTAAGATTATAATTTCTAAATTAAATATCAGCAGTATAAAAAAGCTTTTTAGGCTGAAGGATTGTATACATTTGATGTAAAACTTAAGTTAAACTCAGATAAAATCTCAGGTAAAAGCTTGATTAAATATTTATATATATATATATAGGAGGAACAAGTATAGAATTAGATGAGTAGATCTTCATGTGCTTCTTCAGATCACAGTTTCTGACTTCAACCTGAACATCAAGATTTAAGAAAAGATCCGTAGATCTTACACTATCGAAAATAATTTTTTCGTTGTATATGCTTGCGGAGCGCCGATTTTTTAAGGGTTTTATTTGCTGAGTTGTTTAAAATAAATGACTAAGTTTGATAAGTTTACTGATTGCTAAGGTGACTGATTTATAAATTGATTAATATGTTGACCGATTGATTGATTGATTAATATATTTCGTTATTGGTCTGATTGGTTTTAGGTCGGATCTGGGAAGTAGGAAAGAGTATTTGGATGAGAGATAATCCCCAAGTATTTATAAATCTCAAGGTAAAACGTTTGCGTATGAGACACATTTTCCCAATCGCTTGATCTCGATATATACATTGGGAACTTATGAATTTTTCGCAAAATCTTCTTGATTTTGGATATCCTTAATTTCTTTGTTCTATCATTGGTTGAACATTAAATTTCCTGGCTTCTGAGGCTGTTTATAGGATATCGAATAAATATTAAGCTAGAAAAATACAAAAGATCCAGATCAAGCATTGATATCGTATCATTTTACTTGATATTGAAATTATGTAATTCACAAAGTCAGTGAAATTTTTTTAAAAAACAATATTCACGATGATAAAGATTGGGGGGGGGGGCGTGTTAAGAATTATTTTACCGTATCACTACTGAAACATCTCGGCGTTTGGCGTTGAAAAATTGTGATCCAGGCTGTACGCTGCATATTGATGCGCTGCGCCCTGAAGGTGTTCTAGGAGTTCCATGTCGGGTTTCCTTTATGATCAAATCTATTATTATTACAATATTTATTTCCTGATTAGTAAGGTTATTTTGGGCATTATATGTGGCTAGTAGGAAGTTCCTAAAACTTTTAATTGATTGATTGATATATACCTCTGTGTGGTTTAGGCGGCTTGGTCTGAACCTATCAAACCCCTGATGGAACTTATTCTTAAACAATACAGGGAACAAGCAATGCAGGTAGTTTGCAATCAATTTAACAATTCAATTTAATTAATAAATATTAATATATGCAAGAAACTGGTTTGGTTTTATTTGAGCATCCTATTATAAATCTGTCGGCTAGCCGCAGCCTTTGGTCCACTAGTCTGTGCTAGACCCAGCGCTTGGCCCATAAATCATTGTAAATGTAAACTAACCTAACTCTAAACTAGCCAAACCAAACCAATTCTCTGAATTTTTGTGTAGACTGAATCTTTGGTGGTTGGCAACAATAATATCTTGGTTGAATAAGGTTTAAAAGTGGTTTTCATGTACAAAGTACATTCTACATGCGGTGGCGAGGGGTGTCGACACCTATTTCACCAATGATGGGTTAAGGTTGCCGTAGGGTTTAAGAGTTGGGGGTGAATGGGGCGTCTAAAAGTGAACACACATACTCCATCTTGAAGATCAGATGTATTTCTGTTTCTGGGGGCCAGGGAAGGTGTTGGATGGATATCATATCTATCTATCTATCTAGTTGGTCGGCTCAGCCTACTCCACTATAAAAGTATCAGACCTATCCCAGTATCTGGGTCTAGACACACCAGCTGCTGGCCAACATGCTCAACTACATGGATGGGATTGGAACACACAGACAGGTACAGAGTACTTCACTCCGGATCACATTTCTTTCCCAATTTCATGGGTGTAAATTTTATTTGAAAAATAATATTTCTTTTTCCCCTTTTGAAAATCATTTTTGTCCCCCAGAAAAAAAAATGTCCAATTTTCCATTTTACCCCACAAATCATCAAAAATTGTTCTGTAAAATATTCCCCCCCTACCCAATTTTCTCTGATTCAGATAACAAGTTTCCACTTGCATAATAATTTGATACATGTTAAAAGTACAACTTTACACTTTTTGTAATGTAATGAATTTTTTTGGTAAATATAGATTTTGAAAAAATGTACTGGCATAATAATTTGAAAAGCATTGTAAAAAAGTGTAAAAACTTACCAATTGAAATTAAATTACCCAGTTGTAATTATTGACTATATCTGTTTATCAGGAATAGTAAAACCGGTTGTTCTGAAGGCTGACCCTAACAAGCGAGCAGCGCTCTCAAACCAACTCCAACGAGTTGCGGATTTTATCTCATATTTGGAAAACTGAAGGAATTAAGAGCTTCTAAACTGGAATGAGGGGTACTTAGAAGCAGCGATTCCATCCTAAAGACCCCCCCCCCCTAGATAAATCCCAGTAAAAGCCCTCTCTTAGAAGCTTCAACTTCACATTATTGATGACGGCAGCGCAATCAATGATGGAATTATGTGATAAATTTAACTTGTTGTTAAAAAATGCTGCTGATTCCCAATTCGGTAAATCGTCTTATGTCGCAAATTACAGAGAAAATGAAATCTTTTCTGCTCTTGTCTCTGCTCACTCTCGGGTTGGCAGATAAGGTAAATTTTTTAATTAGAATCAGCGCTTGAAAACCGATCATTTGTCCTATAGTGCTTTTGTAAACCAACTTCACACAATCTTCAAGGTGACAAAGCTGCGAATTGGAGCAATGCAAAGAGTATCGTAATTATAACTTAAAACTAATTTAGTTGAAAATCATTGTAATTCTTCTTTTGAAAGCCGATTACCAGTTCATAATTACATTTGTAAACCAGCTACATACAATCTTTCGTAGGTAACAAAGCTTTATTAAAATTTGAGTAATGACAAGTGTGGTAAAATAATTATTTAAAGCTAATTTTCATTGAAATTCATCTCATGAGAACCGATTATTAGTTCCAGTATTGCTTTTGTAAACCAACTTCACACAATCTGCTAGGTGACGAAGCTGCAAATTGGAGTAAAGAAAAGAGTAGAAAACTGTGAGGTCAGGTCTAAGAAAGGTAAGAATGGGTTTGAATAGTAAGAAATAGTTTTGTAATTGTTGAATTTGTCTAGCTCTATTTAAAATTGAAATGCACCCCCTACAATATTTACCCAACAAATTCTATTAAGACAGAGGGTTAACTACCAATGATAATCTTCAGAGACGACTGTACGGAATTTATACTATCTATCGTCTTTTTTTTACGATTCCTTTGAGCTGTTTGTTTTTCTGCAACCCTTTCTCAACTTTCATAATAACTTAAAATCAATCCAAATATTTCGCGATTTCCTTGTCTATGCTGAATGCGTCATAAGAGGAGAAGTAACACTTATATATTCTATCTATATATATATCGATCTTTCCTTCCATCTATCCATCTATCTGTCTATCTATCTATCTGTCTGTCTATCTATCTATCTATCTATCTATCTGTCTATCTATCTATCTACGATATTCTCTCGAAAGAAAACTTTTTTTTTTTTCTACATGTCTATCTATCTTTCTTTGCATGTGTCTCTGTCTTTCTTTCTACATATCTAATATTCATGTATATCTATCTATCTATCTAGGGGATAGTCTGCATATGCACTACACTGGAACTTTACAGGACGGGACAGAGTTCGATTCTTCTATTCCCAGGTAACTGATTTCCTGGCCAATTTATTTCCTGTACAATTGATTTCCTATACAATTGATTTCCTATACAATTGATTTCCTGTACAATTGATTTCCTGTACAATTGATTTCATGATTATTTGATGTTCTGATCAATTGATTTCCTGACCAATTGATTTCCTGGCCAACAAATTTTCCTGGACAATTGATTTCCTTGTCAATTGATTTACTGGCCAATTGATTTCCTGGCCAATTGATTTCCTGGCTAATTGATTTCCTGTCCTGTAGATTTCCTGGCCAATTGATTTTCTAGACTATAGATTTCCTGATCAATTGATTTTCTAGAAAAATGTGACATTTTCCACCAAAAAGCGCGCGCAAGCGCATTTTTTCTCGGATTTTTATAAAACTGAATTTTGCAGCTACAATACATAATTTTGAGTTCACATGCAAAAAAAATCATCGTTCTACAACAATTTTAAGTTATGTTTAAACACTGTTTAAATTTTCCGGAGAGCAATACGTTTTGTGCCCGCCCCCCTTTGTTTAATGAGTAATTGCTGGAAATTATTGTTATAAAAATATTTAAATTATCATTTCTTTTAATAAAAAAAATCTTAAACTTAAAATTTAATTTTTTTAATAGTTTTTTTTTAAATTTCAGAGGTCAGCCTTTAGTGTTCACAGTTGGCACTGGACAAGTTATTAAGGTTATATACATAATATACTTATAAAAATATTTTTGTTCTAAAAAATCTTCACGTTTTGGATTTAATTTGTGTTGACGTATTTTCTTGAGAATAATAAATTTCCTTTTGCGCAAAATCACAAAATAAATATAGAAGTTATCCAAGATCCAACGTTGAAAAATATAAAAGATTGACGTTATACTTATTTCTAGGGAAATTATTTCAGGGGTGTATATTTTTCAGAATAATTTTTATTGATGGGGGGGGGGGTGAAAAATTAGAAATTAGAAGGCAACTTTTTCATTCTGTTTTGATACTTTTTTAATACTTATAAGTCAAAAATTCATATTTTTTCCCCTAAAAATCTTTTATTTACCCCTAAAAATCGTTGGTTTTCCCCAGTTTAGCGAATAAAACCCTAAGAAATGTCACTTTTTTGGAAAATAATTGTTTGCATAAGGGAGGAGAAAAATGATTTTTCAAGAAAACATTCAACCCTGAAGTATTTTTACAGGGAGACCCACAAAAAGTGTAATATTTGCAAAAAAATATAATTTTTACCGGGTTTAAAACCCATAATTACACTTATTTTGGATCATCCTGTAATTTTTATATTTTGAAAGTTGTGTTTGTTCAGGGGTGGGACCAAGGACTGTTGAACATGTGTGCTGGAGAGAAAAGGAAACTGGTCATCCCTCCTGAGCTTGGGTAATAAATTTTTTTCAAATAAAATTTTTTAACAATATGTCTACACTAAACTTCTTCTTCTCCAATTTTCTTTTATCATGTTCTTGGTTAATTTTAATTAATAATAAAACCAAGCTAAGAACAGATCAGTTCCTTAATCAAAATTTTAGACAAATCGGTTAAGATGTTCATGAGTTATGATCGGATATACAAACAAACAGAAAAACAGAGATTATATATATATATCTCTGTCCCTTAGATGTCATGTTTTAAACTCATTCCTCTTTATATCTTCAAGAATGTTATATTTTTTTTCATTTGGGAATATTTTTAGAAATAGGATTAAAATGAAAACTTGGACTTATATTAACTTCTTCCCTGAACTTTTTATATAAATCAATAGAAGTCCTTAGATATCATGTTTTAATCCATTAAAATCGAAGAAGTTTACTCTAAATTTTCCTTTTATTGTTAATTATATAATAGATAAAACTTGGAACTTGGATCTTGATCGTAAACATTAAAGTAAACATTAAAGGACTATTTAAAACCTCAACGTTTTGTAGCAGTCTACATATTTTAATTTCCACGTTGGTTATTCGACGTTTTGTAACAGTCGTCGTTTTGTATCATCGACGTTTTGATAATCGTCGTTCTGTTCCCACTCCGATATACAAACAGACAGACAAACAGATATTAATATATATTTAGATATTATTCTAGACCCTGATGTTACGATTCACACTAGTCATTAAGCGAATATTACATTAATTTCCGTCCTGTGGTGGTTGTTTCTGAAGGGATCTCGGCCTTGATTTCCACGGAATAAAGGTTGAACTTTTATTTATTCATATTTAGATATTATTGTATATTTAGATATGGGTCTACTGGCGCTCCTCCCAAGATACCTGGAGACTCTGTTCTTATCTTCGAGGTCGAACTCGTTAAGATCGATCGCAAATCAGAGCTCTAATTGATCAATCAACCGATCTATCGATCAGAATTTGGACTTGGCACAATCAGAGCTTTTTATCAATTATGGCGTTAGTTCTTACCAATTGTAATCATAGATGGTTTAGACTGTAATCAATCAAAATCAACACTCAATCAATCACAGCTCTAATTAATCTGATAAAGTTGATTATATTGATTACAGTTTAATAAATGATTCATCAACAATCAATTATTATGCAATTTTAATCAATTGTTATTTAATTAGAAGTGCTGCAATTAATTGTATAAACTTTTTTTTTCAAATTCTGTGATTTTTAGTTTTGCATTTTTGAATGTGTTCATATTTCAAACATTCCTTTTAATTAATTTATTTTTCTTGTCTTGGGTGACTTTTGTCTGTTTTGTGGTTTTATCGATAGTTTGGTTCGGTTTCAGATAAAATGGGTGTAAGAAGTGATTCAGAGGATACTGGGACTAGAGGTCGTTCACCCTCAGAAGAGAAGGTAGAGAAGGTTTAAATTTCATTAATAATGTTGTCAGTTTTTTCAAGTAAATGTCCTTTTAATCTAGGGGCATTTACATCCGAAAGATAGTGTCAAGTGTTTAATTTTGATAATTTTTTCCATTGTTTCTGTAGCATAAATTGCAATAATTTATTAGTGTAAAACGATAAATCACAATTGTAATTTCTATCTCATTCATCCTTGATCAGACCAAGGTATTAAGGGTACCGTAGTGAGTCGGGCATGTCCCACCATAAATGGAAAATCACTCAAAATTACGTTTACAGTTCTTGACATATTTATATATTACATAATCCCCAAACTGCCTTCACTTAAATCAGTAATTTGTAATTTTCTAGTCCGTAATCTGTGATAATGCCGTAAAGCAAATTATTGGTTTATTTATTTTAATTTTTTGTTACGCATGACTCTACTCAGCCCTTTTTTACAATTTACAGCCTAATTTTTGTCTGAACTTTTAAGAAGTCTCGGCGCAGACATGATTCCTCCGACGAAGAAGAAAAGAAGATCGAGAAGAAGGAGAGAAGAAAGAAGGACAGATCTTCCTCAAGAGACAAACAAAGAGACAGTGAGAGACGCAGGTCACGTTCCCGTGACAAGAGGCGGGATGGATCCAAGGAGCGGCGACGGGATCGGAGCCAGGATCTGAAGCAGGAAGGAAGCAGGGAGCAGCGAAGGAGAGACAAGAGCGTTGACAAGAGTGAGAGAAAGCGAGAGCGTAGTGCTGACAAGAAGGATGAACCTGCAGCCAAGAAGAAACCGGAAACGTTGACAACGAAAACAGGAGGAGCTTACATTCCTCCTGCTAGGCTCAGGTATAAAATAAAGAACCTAAATATTACTAAAAAGTATACTAACATAAACAAATAACGCTGATAATGATGATAATGATGATATTGATGTTAATTATGATAATGATGATAATGATGATAATGATGATAATGATGACAATGATGACAATGATGACAATAATAATAATGATACAGGATGATGCAGCAAAGTATCACGGATAAGTCAAGTGAACCATACCAAAGACTGGCGTGGGAAGCTCTTAAGAAATCTATCAATGGTTTGATTAACAAGGAAAACAATCATTAGAATAAAGCATAATATCAAGTTAAAGAGAATTTGTAAAATTCCGGGGTTGTATACTGTATATTTTCTTTAAAAACCTCAGAAGTAGTGAATGTTAGCATCTAGTGGATTTTTTTTAATCGCAAATTTTTTGGTTTAAAGTATCAAAGTTTTCATTTGTTTCTCCATATTATAAAAAAAGGGGGGGGGGGTGTGGCTCTTAAAACTTTCAAACCCTCTGGTCAAAGTAATAATGACCCATTATATAAAGAACGCCGCAACAAAATATCAATTAAGATAAATTATAAAAATTTATCTTTTATTATCTGAAAATTTTTAAATGGAAAAAAGATTATCTTAAAAAAATATAGTTTGTTCGGATTTAACAAGAAATTTAAGCTTATAAATCTTATTTGTTTTTCTATGAATTATTAAAAGGACGGAGTTGAAATGGATAACTGCATTATGCATTTTTGAATAAATCTTCTTTTTATAAACTTTCAATGATTGTGATTTTAGGTTAACTCTCCCAATATTGCGATAATTGTTCGCGAACTTTTCGCGGAAAATATTGTGCGAGGAAGAGGCTTACTATGCCAGTCAATTATTCAGGTAATTTTCGAGGATTTTTTCAAATATATATAAATATTATTTTATTTTACTTTATCAAATTATTTTTTTTATCTGAATATATCTGAATTATTTAAATATTTGCCAATACATATTTAAAAAAAAAGATAAGTAGACTTGTGTCCCCAACGTTTATGCATTTTTCTTTATTTAGAACGGACTGTGTCGTCGGCATTTACGCGTTTTCTTTGTTTAGGCTCAGACTGCGTCACCAACGTTTACGCATGTGTACGCTGCTCTAGCAGCGATTATTAACACCAAGTTCCCAAACATCGGAGAGCTTCTGCTCAAGCGTCTTATCATCAACTTCAAGCGGGGGTTCAAGCGGAAGGTAATATTTTTTTTTCAGTGCATAGGATCCATTTAATTTTGATGTGGATCTGGATCCTGAATCCGCACTGAAAACCGGGCTATAAATCCGGATCCAGACCTAGGACATGAACTTTTTTTTTGAAGATATACTGTTTTTTTTAACAGAAGAAGATGAAACAAATAATTTTTGTTCGTTATTTTCATGCTAAAACTTGATGACCATATTTTTTTTTTGGATGTTTTCGGTTGATATTTTGGCCCTTGGATCCGGATCCGTGCATCTTAATATTTTCGCGGATACGGATCCTAAGCATTTATTCTTTCATTATTGATGTGGGTTTTTAGTTCATTGAATCCTGGTAATCTGAAAACTTATTTATGGAAAAACCAGCTCTTTTTCAAATGAATGTCATTTATTCTCAGAAAATTAGAATCAATAAAATTTAAAACCCCATTGGGATTCACGGATACATTTCAAGAGTTTGTCTTTCAGGAGATTGTCTTGCAGGAGTTGGTCTTTCAGAAGTTTGTAGCTTCCAGAAGTTTGTCTTTTAGGAGTTTGTAGCTTTCAGAAGTTTGTCTTTCAGAAGTTTGTCTTTCAGAAGTTTGTCTTTCAGAAGTTTGTCTTTCAGAGGTTTGTCTTTCAGAAGTTTGTCTTTCAGAAGTTTGTCTTTCAGAAGTTTGTCTTTCAGAAGTTTGTCTTTCAGAAGTTTGTCTTTCAGAAGTTTGTCTTTAAGAAGTTTGTCTATCAGAAGTTTGTCTTACAGAAGTTTGTCTTTCAGAAGTAGTTTGTCTGTCAGAAGTTTGTCTTTCAGAAGTTTGTTTTTCAGAAGTTTGTCTTTCAGAAGTTTGTCTTTCAGAAGTTTGTCTATCAGAAGTTTGTCTTACAGAAGTTTGTCTTTCAGAAGTAGTTTGTCTTTCAGAAGTTTGTCTTTCAGAAGTTTGTTTTTCAGAAGTTTGTCTTTCAGAAGTTTGTCTTTCAGAAGTAGTTTGTCTTTCAGGAGTTTGTCTTTCAGAAGTTTGTTTTTCAGGAGTTTGTTTAAAGGCAATAATGTTTTATTTTTCAGGATAAATTGAGATGTACGTCGAGTGTTAGATTCATTGCCCACATGGTTAACCAACAGGTAAAACATAGGGGAATATATTTTTTTGAAAATCCTCCCTTTTTCTTGAAAAAATAACATTTTTTCATTATGTTACGAATATTTATATCGAAGAAATGTGGGACATCAAAATAATTTCATTTTTTTTGTGTATTTTTTAGATAAATTTCAATTTTTTCATTTCTCTCTGATTTGTTTTAAAAAAATGTTTTCCCTCACTAGGTTGCCCATGAAGTACTAGCCCTAGAAATACTAACTCTACTACTGGAGAGTCCTACAGATGACAGTGCAGAGGTTGCAATCACATTTCTCAAAGAGGTAAAAATCCACAAAAAATGTTTAAATTATGCTGAACAAACTTTTTGTGATTATTTTGAACCACTTAATTCATTGTCTCTCAGTTTTGAATTTGCCGGCAACATTTGTGTTCGTTAGAACTTAAAACATTGTTCATATTTTTTTAACTTCGTTTTTTTTATGATATGTTGACGTGTTATAGTCTTTTTAAGCATTATAATTCCCCCCCNCATGTTCCCAACTCAGTTAATAATTACCTAAAAAAAATTCCGCTACATGCAGACATAACTTACTTCTGGGGGGAAAAATCATTTTCAATAGTAGTGGGGGGTGATTTTACAGGGAAATATATACCCACGAACGTTTTTCTAACCTTTTTAACCTTTGTTTAGGTTGGTCAGAAACTGACTGAGGTTTCTCCTCGGGGTATTCACGCAATCTTCGAAAGATTGCGCCACGTGCTTCACGAGTCTACCCTGGATAAGAGAACACAGTACATGATAGAGGTCATCATTTTATGGTTTTTGAGTCGAATCGTGTCATCAAATTTTCTTATTACATTTGTTTCCTAGAATATTTCACACTCTTTAATTGAAAAACATCTTTAACGTACAATTTTAAATTGTAGATCATTAACCGCTTAAAATTAACACAAGTTGTTTTTGATTTATTTTATGTTCAATTAATTGATTGATTGATTAAGTTATTGATAAATTGATTTTTGTCTTGTTTGATAGATTTCTTTCAGGTTTTCGATAAATTTTGTGATTTTCGCTCAATGGATTATACATTATTTGCGGAGTAAATGTTTAAATTGATTCATAAATAATAGAAGGATTGCTGTTGACTGGTAATAGATTGAGTGATTGACTGACTTTAAATATTTGATAATTGATTTATTGATCGATTTACTGATTCACGGATTTATTGATTATTGATTGATTGCTCTAGGTGATGTTCCAAGTGCGAAAGGATGGTTTCAAGGACAACCCCAGTGTCCCCGAGGAGTTGGACCTCGTGGAGGAAGATGATCAGTTTACGCATATGCTTACATTGGATGACGCTACTTCAGGTTCTCGTAATAAAGATAAAACTAATATCAATAATATCCATAATAATGTCGGACTGAGACATCATCTTGCTGCAGATCCTTTCCATATTGATATTATAGAACCTATATTTAAATATCTTTTTCTTTTTGTTGGTAAAATCTGGTTGTAGGTGAAATGCCTCCCACCCCCTCATTTCTTTGCAACCTTGTGAGACTTCCTAAACCTAACCAACCTAAAATAGCACAACCTCGCGTAGTTAAGAAATATAAGGAAGGGGGGGGGGGGGACCGTCCGTTGCGAATATGCAACATACTTACACTAGATGAATGCAACTTCATGTTCGTCATATTCGTCAATCCAAAAAAAATAGGCGGATAAGGATCCAGGGAGCTAGTATTTTGAGGATCCAGTGGATTTAGATCCTAAGCACTGGAGTTATCTGATATATATATTTTGGTGGATATTTTTTACTTGGATCGGGATCTGAATCCGGGATCCAAGAAGAGGAGCAAAGATATTGTTGAAGAAGCATCTTCAAAATAACAATCCAATTTAAAAAAAAATTTAGGTGAGGAGATCCTAAACGTGTTCAAGTTGGATCTCCAGTATATGGAAAATGAAGAGAAATATATGGTAAAAACTTTAAATCAATTAATCAAACATTTAAACAATAATTTTTTTAAAATTAAACGATAATATTGACACATAAAAAGATTTAATACATCAAAAATGTTTTTAAGGAACAACAAAGAACCAAATATAATATTTTTTAATCATTAAAAACCGGAAATAGAACTAGAAGTATTGACGGGTTATATTATCTATTTTTATCTTATTAAAAATTGATTTATATGCTTTTTTAGGAATGCTGAAAAAAAGTAATTTAGTAAAACGTAGAAATTAAATAACATTGTTTAGAAATATCCTGCTTGTTAAATTTTTATTTAATATATATTTAACTGATTATATTAAGATATCATTGAAGTCCATTTCGCCGATTTTTCTGTTTTCATTGGCGGATTTTTTTTTAGCAATTGATTAAAATTTCGACTGGTCATGCGCGTTAACAAATAAAAATATAATCATTTATCTATTCAACCGTTTTGACTCTTATTTGATGCAAATATACATCCCAATATTGCTTTACTTGTAGGAAATATCATTGCAATTGTTTATTTTGATTTTTTCCCCCGTAGGCTATAAAGAAGGAACTATTGGACGAGGGAAGTGGTGACGAGGATTCTGACGAAGATGGTGAAAGCGATTCGTCAGATTCTGAGGTAAACCTAAAACAATGCAGAAACTATTTTTCGTAATCAATTATCTTTATTTTTTATGATTAACAGGGAGCGGGATTTATTGATTTCTTTTTTTCTAAATTTAGTACGCCAGTGGCAAATTATTAACATATTGGAGTACTTAAATTGGATTGATTAAATTGATTGCAACAGAATGTGGTGAATTAATGCGGCCGATTTTACGTTTGATCAAACAATTTAGCTTTAAAAATCAATCGGTTGATCGATTTGATTTGGTTTTATTGATTGATTGATTGATTTGTTGATTATTAGGAAGAGAAGCTGGAATCTGCTCCAATTATTGATAGCACAGAAACTAATCTCATTTCTCTCAGGTAAAAACATTATTTTCTAACACTTTATAACGATATGGTACAGATCATGACAATAAATTCTATTTTAATAATTATTGTCGTCCATTTTTTTCTGTTGCTGACTCCCTTCCGGCAATCGGAAAAAAAGTTTCTTCAAAATTGTTAGTTTAATGCAGCATATTTAACATCTCCAATTTCACCATCATCATACTTAAAGTTTTATGCTTATGTGATGAGTTAAAAGGTGAAACGATTATAGAATTGAAATGTTTATGAATCTTTTTTATCTCCTTGTAGCTTGAAAATTCAAGCTGTTAATTCTAAAATATACACGGAATTTTTTTAGCACAAGATTTGTTATTTATTCGACAAGATGTGAAAAAAAACTTCTGAAAGGCCAAGATAAATTGAAGGTTTTAATTATCACACCAGTGCAGTGATATACATCATTAAAACACAAATTAAACCAATATTAAAAAATTTAAGATTTTTTTTTGTCTCTCTCAGAAGGTTTGAAAAAAAAGTTGGACAAAATTGGAATTTTGGAAAAATCTTATTTTTCGGGCCGAGGTTAGTGATTAAATTTTTGTTTTATTAAAAAATGTTTAGGAGAACGATTTATCTAACTATTCAATCTTCCCTGACCTACGAGGAGGCAACCCACAAGCTTCTCAAACTGGCCCTTAAACCAGGTATAAAATATTAAAGGGAATGATGACAAAATTTGATTTGATTTGACCTTAACGGGATCCTTTGAACATTTTTCTAAGAAACGATTATAATGTCATTATAGTTTTTCCCGTCTAAAAATCAATTTTATTAAAGCAATCTTTGATTTCTCGAACACATTGAGCAAGAAAATGGCCATAATTTGTCCTAGCATTAGAAGCTATTAAGTAACGATTTGTATCCCATAGTTTATAAGATAACAACTTTACTCCATAGAAATCAAGTTAGAAGCTTTAATAGAGTCTAACATAAAATTCAATTAAAGAAAATTATTTTTATTTTAATATTTGCCAAGGACAAGAACCAGAGCTATGTCACATGATAATAGATTGCTGTGCTCAGCAGAGAACTTATGAGAAATATTTTGGACTCATCGCACAAACATTGTGCCAGGTAGGAATAAGGTAGAAGTCAAGGTCATTGTCAAGGTCAAATTATAGGTAGGAAAACAAGGTTTTAAGTCAAGGTCATTGTCAAGGTCAAGTTATAGGTAGAAATAAGGTTGAAGTCAAGGTCATTGTCAAGGTAAAGTTATAGGTAGAAATAAGGTTGAAGTCAAGGTCATTGTCAAGGTCAAATTATCGGTAGGAACAAGGTTTTAAGTCAAGGTTATTGTCAAGGTCAAGTTATAGGTAGTAATAAGGTTGAAGTCAAGGTCATTGTCAAGGTCAAGTTATAGGTAGGAATAAGGTTGAAGTCAAGGTCATTGTTAAGGTCAAATTATAGGTAGGAACAAGGTTTTAAGTCAAGGTCATTGTCAAGGTCAAGTTATAGGTAGGAACAAGGTTTTAAGTCAAGGTCATTGTCAAGGTAAAGTTATAGGTAGAAATATGGTTGAAGCCAAGGTCATTGTCAAGGTTAAATTATAGGCAGGAATAACGTTGAAGTCAAGGTCATTGTCAAGGTCCAGGTATAGGTTTCTAACACGAACGCCTATTCCTATTCTTTTTAAAATCATGTAGTTAAAAGGATTGATTTCAGATCACGAAGACCTACGTTGACCCCTTCATGAAGATATTTGCGGATACATACAGTACAGTACACAGGTACAAATAGATGGGGGCGGGTCTTTATTTCATTTTCTTATCAGGGGGTGTTTATTTTTAAGGAAAATCATTTTCTCTTTAAAAATCATTGTTTTCCGTAAATGATGTTAAGGGGAACAAATTAAATTTTTGCGGTAAAAGTTTCAGAAAAGGATTTTATTCAATTTTAAAGAAATTTATCACGCACTACAACAGGGCGAAAAAGTAACTTTTTCACCCTGCTATTAAAATTTTAAATTTCATACCTAATTTGTCTCATTGTAGGGTGATAAAGTTACTTAATCACCCTACGACAGGGTGATTAAGTAAGTTTATCGACCTGCTTTTGAATAATTTTAGTAAAACTGAAGAAAACCATGTCTGTTAATAAAATAGGTTTCATGCGTGCAAAAAAGTTTCCTAGTTTGTCAAAATAAACTAAAAAAATAAAAATCCCGGCAAAACTTTTTCGCACTTAATAATACCCAGTACAATGTCATAAATAGATATTAGAACCTTGCCTTTAGATGTTTAATTTCTCATCCCCGCTTTTAAAAATATACACTCATGTTCTCATAAATCAGATTTCGTTATTATTGGGGGGAGGGGGGTGTGGAATATTTGCAAAATAATAAAATATATTTTTTTATTTACTGTAAATATGATTTTCTTCCTAGACTGGAGACTGGAAAACTCAGAAATGTCGCAAAATTCTTCGGGCACCTCTTCTTCACTGATGCTATTGGTAATAATTATATTTTTCTTCTTTTTCAAACTGTCAAACGGTCTGGGGGGTGTTAGTAACGGGGCCTCTTTTTCAGATTTTATTTCAAATTAGTTCAAATAACGAGAAAAAATACATTATTGCGAATATATGTTAAAAATAGATACAGGAACGTGTGAATGGATGAAATTGCTTTTCGCGAATTACTCTATTTTAACGATTTATGAGATCAATAACAACAATAACAGCCATGTTCTGACACATATTTAGACTCATTTGAAGTTTTAAGACTTTTTCATTAAAATCTAAACAATTCTGGAATTATCAAAGTGGACAATGATTAATTGGGTAATTTTCTCTTAAATGAACTTTTAAATGACGCCACAATTGAAGATTGTCAACGAGAATTATATTTTTTATAAAATTTTCTTGAAATGGAATTTATGAACAAGTGTGGTAGTTGAACTAATATTAGCATTATCTGAAAAAAAGTTAAAATTAAAAAGCACTGAAATTAATGAATTTGAGCTTGTTCGATGAGCCACCTAACACCGGTTCAGATCTGAATCACCGATTTAAAGTTAAAGATCAATGTGGATTTTAATTGGTTGTTCAGAATTTAAACCGAGGGTAGGTATTGTTCAGCGACTTCCTCAATTTATCAAATAAGGTCCCAGGATAAGTAAAATTTTAGGTTGGGAGGTGATGGGAATTATCAAACTGAACGAAGATGATACAACCTCCTCATCCAGAATATTTATCAAGATTCTATGGCAGGTGAATCGGTCAATCAGCCGAACCGGCAATTTAACCAAACCGGCCATTTAAGCCGAATTGGCAATTTAGCCTAATCGGCAATTTAGCCGAATCGATCTTTAAGCCAAATCGGTAATGTTTTGGATTTGTTGTATGTTGCAGCCAACGGTGCTCGACCCCCTATCATTCACCAACTTTTGACCATAAATTGATTGATTGATTTTTGAGCCATTTTGAGTAATTTAATTTCAGGGTGGCCAAAATGTACGGATTGTACGGATTGATTTTTTTTAACCCTAAAATTGTACGGATTGTACGGATTGCACGGATTGTACGGATTTGTTTTCAAATTGTACGGATTGTACGGATTTTATCCTGTGTAGATACTCCCTTTAACATAGGTTTAACATTTGGTTTTAGAGGACATTTTTTTTATGAAAATTAGATAGACAGTTCCTTTGAAATAGGTTTAACGTTTGGTTTTAGAGGACATTTTATTATGTAAATTACGTAGATACTCCCTTTAACATTTGGTTTAGTGGGACATTTTATTATGAAAATATGCTCAAAGCACTAATATCTTCTTTAAAGACACAATAGAAGTATTTTTAGTACAGGGTTACCCGTCCTTTAACGGATGCTAATTTAATGACGACCCAAAACTATGTAAATGTAAGGTAAATTTTTGTTGCTAACTAAATATTTTAAAAGAATAAAATACAAGAAAAATAACTTTAAAAACTTACAGTGGTTGGGCAACTTGTAGAAATTATAATCAAATTATAACTGAATACCCGGCCTCTCAACTATTTTCGTAAATAACATTGGGAAGTCTTATAAGTACGGCTCAGTGTTTTCCATGTTCAGACTTTTTATGTTTTTTTATTTAAATAAAATATTTTTTAGCATGTTTTTAAAATTTAAACAAATGATTCCCTCGAAGTTTATATTTTCCGAAAAATTATACTTTCAAATTTAATTTGGTCTTAATTAAAAGTTTAATGAATAATGTGAAATATTTAAATTTAAAAATGGCGCCCTCGCCTTTATCTTGAACCGGTTTGGCCACGCTAGGAGAAGAGCCGAGAGCAGAGGAAAAATCTTATAAATAGATATGTGGACGGTTGGATTGCTCTCAACTACACGTATACTTCTCTCAAGAGAGAGATTAAAGAACACTTCAAGGAATGTGTGTTCAGAGTTTAGTTTCAAACAAAAATACTAACTAAATTATATAGATATAAAGGTGTTATCTACGTTGGTTTCTTTGTATGTCCGATCATAAATTATGAACCTTAATTGACCGATTTGCCTCAAATTTAGATTAGGAAATTCATGAATATTCTTATCTTGGTTTGAGTGGGTCGACTTCTATCGGGAAAAATAGCTTAATTAGTAATTTACGACCAATTGCGACCAACGACGGCAGGATTAACTTTGATTAACCTGGCAACGCTGCAGAGTTCCCAAGCTACTATTTATATACAATAACATTGGTAGAGACCGGGCTGAACAACCCGGATGTGGGCAAGACTTGAAACTCAAACCTACTCAACTCAAGCCATCCCTGCTAATATGATTTGATTTGAAAATCATGGGAAGTCAACCATCCATCTTCAATTCAAACCTGAGCTCCCGTCAAAGATATCCACAAAATGATGGAAATGAATGAAACAGAGCTGCGAACTTTAGTGTTGGATACTAATGATCCCGGTCGCTTGATCTTGATATCCACTTTGGGCGCTTTCAATTGTAGGATTTGAATAATCAGCATCTTATTATTAGTTATTCCTCCCCTGATCAAAGTTCAGGCTTCGACTTGAGACTGGTTGGCGGAATATTGAAAAAAGATAAAATTAATCTGCAGATTAAAAAAGCATTGATATCGATATCCACAATACAAGAGTTCTGAGATGAGTATACATATTATCAAAATCATTTATCACGATAATGTGATTTCGCCAATCAAAAACCTTTATTAACCCCCCCCCCCCCCTCTTTAAGAATTCTCAACACACTTACTCTGTATTAAAGAATATATTTGGAGCCTTCAGAAGATTTTGACAAGAAAATGAAAAATTGGAATTGAACTAGCATGGCCTCAAAAAATTCATTTATTTTCCTTAATCTTGCGGGAAAAAACTTTACTTCTGTTTTTCATTCCTAGTATGCTAGAGTTAAATGAATTTGTAAACGAAAATTTCTTAATTTTTAACCCCCCCCCCCCCATAAAATATACTATAACTTACTGAACATATTTACCAGCAAGTTGAACAGCGAACTTCTGCCAATGACGCTCTGCAGAAGGTTTTGTGGAAAAGGATTGAAAAACTTAAACAACAGAAGAAAGTTCCGTTAACCATCTCATCGAGCCATCTGATCGATAGGTACGTAAAGGAAAATACGATTTTTACGAATATGAGATACGCATTTCCTGTAATTTAATTGTAATTAAATAATAAATAATAATAATTAATCAATAATTTACTTAATTAGTTTAAATCTATTCTCTGTTCTAGTCTGTTCATGAACGATTAAGCCCCAATTTTGATAACTTTAATCAACAAATCAAATCCATTTTAAAAATGTTGTTTGTTATCAATTTGTTTATTATGTTTGTTGTTATCAATTTGTTTATGTTTGATGTTATGTATTTTTGTTTGTTTGATATCTATTTGCTGCCATTTATGTGTTTTTGTTTGTTTGTTTTATTTGATGTTAGTAATTTATTTTATGTTTTTTGTTATTTGTTTGTTTGATATCTTTTTGTTTTTGCTTCTTGTTATCTAATTGTTTTTGTTTGTTTTTATTTGTTTGTTTTTGTTTAGGAGTTAGCCGAGTTTATCGGTTTACCTAAACTAAATGAGCGGATACGGGATCCCACCCTTCAAGAAGCATTTGACGGAATCCTACCCAGGGATAACCCTCGAGATACTAGGTAAAAATCGTAATAGAGAGACTGTAAGCGTAATTTTAAGTGACCCTCCATGCAAAAAGTTGGCAATGCCCGATTTACAACTGTACCATTAAAAGCTTTGACTGATTAAGTTTGATTTAGATATCCATGTTTTTGTTTCTCTTAACTTTAAACTGTTAATTTTCATGTGTGGGTTCTCTGCGAAATGGGCGAAAGTGACTTGCAATTCCTTATAAGTAACAGAGAAACATTTCGGGTCGGAAAAACTATAGTTATCTTCAACATTTTTGATAAGATAAAGGTCTTAAGGACACCGATGACAATTTCTCCAATGTTTCTGAAGTAAGAAATGCGCAAATCACTTTTGCAGGAAACCCATTAATTTAATAAAAGCAAAAACATTAATTGAATATCTAACTAATTTTTGATTAGGCATAGTTTTAAGAAGTATTATTGTGAATCGAAAAGGCCACTCTATCAATGAAGGGTAACTTTAAACAATGAAATAGGAAGACGACATTATAGCCATACTTAAGTGCATTTGATATTGTTACACTTATTAGTAAAATGTGTCCGTTTACACTTTAAATTTACTGTGCCTTGTGCTCCTTGGACTTTTTAAAACTTGATTCTGAGAGTGATCTTCATATTTCAAGGTTTTCTGGTATCAACATGGGTCTCCTATTTTATCGAAAGAGAGCATAACAAAAAGCAAAACAATATCCGAAGTGTATTTTTTAAACCCTAAACAAGCTGTAATCTCATTCTTGATTTAGTAATTTCATCCGAGTTCATGGATGTGGATCGTTGGACATCCCTATATAACTCTTAATTGATTTGATTTGATTTGATTTGATTTGATTGTTTAGGTTTGCGATAAACTTCTTCACAAGTATAGGATTAGGAGGTCTGACAGAGGATCTAAGATCTCATCTGAAAACTGCTCCTAAATCATCAGCTGCAGTTCCTAATATCAGGTACCATTTTATTCAAGGAAGCATAGATTTTTTAATGCCAAGGCTTACGATTAATGTTTGTTCGTTTGTTTAAAGCTTCGGCTTGAGTCTTAAATCCTTAGACCCAGGTTTAAGGCTCAATCTTAGACCAAACTTATGAATCAGCTGACGACAGCTTGTATCACGTGATTGACAGCTGCCAACTCTTAGACTCGACTTAAAAGTTAAGGCCCAATGAAAATAAAACCAAACTTGGTTGGACTTTATTTAATGGAAACTTAATCCTATTTTAATCAACTCCATCGAATCCGCCAATTCCAACCATGAAAATCCGCCAAATTCTATATTAATAACTCCAACTTTTGAAAATTAGTTGCAAAAAACTATCCAATTATCTCTGAGCCAGTGATTTAAAAGCTTTGGCTTGGGCCGCAATTCCTCAAAACCTGCTTAAAACCCAATCTTATGTGTCAGGTGATCGATTGACTCCTGTGAGATTTTAGGCTCGACTTACGGAGTTTGGCCCAATGAAAATAAAACCGACCTTGGTTGTCTTAAGGGAAAATAAGGCGCAATGTTAACTTTTTTGAGTCTGGTTCTCCTCAAAACCCGTAATGCACTAGTTCCAAACATGAAATTCTTCCGAATATAATATTAACAAGTTTTTTCACCTCAACTCAGAGTGCAAAATTAGATGCAACTTAAATCCGAAAGCCCAATCCGTAAATAAGGCCCAACTCCAGCTTAGACCTGGGTCGTATTTTCCTGAATCTTCTAAATAAAAGTCATGCGGAATTTTTTGTGCTGAAATTTGTAACATACCGATTACAGACGGACGCTCATATATTTTTATTTCAAAGTTTTATAAATAAAAATTGCTAATCCCTAGAGCTAGGGTGAACCTTCATTGTTAAATGGAAATTTGAAATCCAAATTTTCGAAATTATCACCATTTATTGATCGAATAACACGCGAACATAGCTCTAACTATAACCTTTAATTTATCTCGGTACAAATCATGATTTTTAGTTGTTTTATATGTTCAGGAAGAAGTCTGTGAGCAGCAGTAGTAGCAGTAGCAGTTCCAGCAGTAGCAGCTCAGATTCAGGTGGGAACATACAGGGGGGAATGGGAAGACGACATCAAAGCTATGTGAACTGATTCCTGACTTGCATTTTTTCTGGATAAAACATGCAGAATCGATATGTAAATAAAGAAATCATGGCAAATCGTTAAAACTTAATTCATTCCGATCTAGTTTATTCACACCGGGATGACATTGTGGAAGTGGAGGACAGATTTGATTTAATTTAATGGGTGTTATAAACCCAGTAGCTTGAATATCAACTTATTTAATTGAAATGTACCCAGGGTTCATCTGCATAATTGCTTTTATTTTATGTTCATTAAGTACTTAAAATTAAAACTGTTTAACAGTTCTTCCCTTTTCTAATCCAAATTTCAACCTACGTTTTAATCCTAGCTAATCAGTTTAAATCCGTTTCAATCCGTGAGCGCATATGTAAGACGTGCCGTTCCCGTTTTGTATTTCTCCGATATTTCTAAGATTTACCAATCAAAACGTCTTTAGTTTCCTGCCCGGCCCGGCCCTCCGGCTCCGTCTGCCCGCTGCCGTCAGTCAAGCCTGAAGCCTTGCCCGTCCGTTTGGACTGTGTCAAGCTGGTAACAGGCGGCCCGCGCCGGAACGTAGTTTCTGAACTGTTAAAAATGCGCGAATACATGAGTTTAATTTGTGTGTGAATTTTCTAAACAACTTTTGACAGCTTAGCAAAGCCGAATATAGGATGTTTAAATCTAGTTTTGATTTGATGTTGCTAATTTGGTTGTTAAATATAATTAAATTTATTTAGATTCAGATTCAGAGGAAGATAAGAAAAAGAGACGAAAGAAGGCGGACAAGAGAAGCAGATCAACTAGTAGGAGGAAGGAGAGAAGGAGTAGGTCCCCTCGTAGGAGGAGGTAGTCGAGAGGAGTAGGTCCTTCCACTGGAAAATCAACGAACAACTCACGTTTTCGGACATTTTACTTCAAATGTTATTTTAGATTAGTAAAACTTGTATTTCTGTATCAATATAATATTTTTAAGTAAAAACATTTTTACAATAAAAATAATTTGTTTCAGATAACATTACAATGACAAAAATGTGACCGGAGAAATCGAAAATCGGAATTGCATAAATTGGTATTCAATATGAGCGATTCGGACATTGAAATAGTAGACGAGGTAGTAGCGATTGCTTTTAAACCTGCAACATTTCAACTTTAACGATGTATTGGTAAACATGAAAGAAAGGGGTGTTAATACAGTGCGTACGATTCCAATATTCTGTTTGATGCGGATCTATGGTTTATGAATATAGTATTGCAATTTTTATCTGCAAAAGAAGTCCAAAATGTCTTTTTAATTGTTAGAAAACCTTTTTTGTTTAAGAAAGTAGTAATCTCAATTTGAATGTCCGCGATCATATCTCATGAAACCCTTAACCGATTTCCCTCAAAATTTTATCGAAACCACAGTAATGTTCTTAGCTTGGATTAAAAACAGTTCAGTTGATTGGTTTTAAGGGTCTGTTCTAGAAAAGAAAACGATTTTTGGACCCCCCGGGCCCCTCCCCTCCTCATATCAATTTTTTTACATAACTTAGAATTCAACTATCTTAAACAAAAAATATTTTTAAAAAAAATTATTTTAGGGTTAGGTTAGGCGCTGTGGCTAGGATAGGCTAGGGAGCAAAGCGCTGCGGCCATGACATTTTTTAAATTTCAACAATTTTCAACAAAACTTGTATATATTTAGGGTTAGGTTAAGACACTTTCTGGGCTGAGCGCTCCGGCTAGGACAGACTAGGGGGGGGGGGTAAAGCTCCCGGCAAAGCTAGGCTCCCATAAATATTTTGTTCTAGTTTCTGCCGGATGAGAAGTATCTAGAATGGCGACCTTTACATCAAGCGTTGATAACGAACCAGAGTTTACTCAAGAAACATCCGCAGGCAGCTGAACCACAGAAAAAAAATCGTAACAAAAATCCATGAAAATTGCTTATAAGAACTGTACAGTGTACAGTACACTCAATTTGACGAGACCCTGCATTTATTCCATTTAAAGACTGGCCAATTGGCCGATTTTCAGTTGTACCCAATCAATTCTTGTTCTTGCAAACCTTGCGGAATTTGTCCTGTATTTTTTCTCATGAAAGTTGATTGTTTTCGATTAAAGCCGTTTTTATTAAAAATGATGAGCGGATTTATGAATCCGAGTAAATTAAGGGAATTTCTTCTATGGTTCATTTTGTTAATAAAATTAAAAAGACAGTCCCGTTAAAATAGGTTTAAGATTTGGTTTTCTAGGACATTTCATTATGAAAATTGCGTAGAAACTCCCTTAACATAGGTTTAACATTTAGTTTTAGAGAACATTTTATTATGAAAATTGCGTAGACACTCCCTTTAAAATAGGTTTAACATTTGGTTTTAGAGGACATTTCATTATGAAAATTAGATAGACAGTTCCTTTGAAATAGGTTTATCATTTGGTTTAGAGAACATTTTATTATTAAAATTATGTAGATACTCCCTTTAGAGTAGATCACTTGGTTTAGAGGACATTTTAATATGAAAATTATATAGATACTCCCTTTGAAATAGGTTTAACATTTGGTTTTAGAGGACATTTTTTTTATGAAAATTAGATAGACAGTTCCTTTGAAATAGGTTTAACATTTGGTTTTAGAGGACATTTTATTATGAAAATTACGTAGATACTCCCTTTAACATAGGTTTAACATTTGGTTTTAGAGGACATTTTTTTTATGAAAATTAGATAGACAGTTCCTTTGAAATAGGTTTAACGTTTGGTTTTAGAGGACATTTTATTATGTAAATTACGTAGATACTCCCTTTAACATTTGGTTTAGTGGGACATTTTATTATGAAAATATGCTCAAAGCACTAATATCTTCTTTAAAGACACAATAGAAGTATTTTTAGTACAGGGTTACCCGTCCTTTAACGGATGCTAATTTAATGACGACCCAAAACTATGTAAATGTAAGGTAAATTTTTGTTGCTAACTAAATATTTTAAAAGAATAAAATACAAGAAAAATAACTTTAAAAACTTACAGTGGTTGGGCAACTTGTAGAAATTATAATCAAATTATAACTGAATACCCGGCCTCTCAACTATTTTCGTAAATAACATTGGGAAGTCTTATAAGTACGGCTCAGTGTTTTCCATGTTCAGACTTTTTATGTTTTTTTATTTAAATAAAATATTTTTTAGCATGTTTTTAAAATTTAAACAAATGATTCCCTCGAAGTTTATATTTTCCGAAAAATTATACTTTCAAATTTAATTTGGTCTTAATTAAAAGTTTAATGAATAATGTGAAATATTTAAATTTAAAAATGGCGCCCTCGCCTTTATCTTGAACCGGTTTGGCCACGCTAGGAGAAGAGCCGAGAGCAGAGGAAAAATCTTATAAATAGATATGTGGACGGTTGGATTGCTCTCAACTACACGTATACTTCTCTCAAGAGAGAGATTAAAGAACACTTCAAGGAATGTGTGTTCAGAGTTTAGTTTCAAACAAAAATACTAACTAAATTATATAGATATAAAGGTGTTATCTACGTTGGTTTCTTTGTATGTCCGATCATAAATTATGAACCTTAATTGACCGATTTGCCTCAAATTTAGATTAGGAAATTCATGAATATTCTTATCTTGGTTTGAGTGGGTCGACTTCTATCGGGAAAAATAGCTTAATTAGTAATTTACGACCAATTGCGACCAACGACGGCAGGATTAACTTTGATTAACCTGGCAACGCTGCAGAGTTCCCAAGCTACTATTTATATACAATAACATTGGTAGAGACCGGGCTGAACAACCCGGATGTGGGCAAGACTTGAAACTCAAACCTACTCAACTCAAGCCATCCCTGCTAATATGATTTGATTTGAAAATCATGGGAAGTCAACCATCCATCTTCAATTCAAACCTGAGCTCCCGTCAAAGATATCCACAAAATGATGGAAATGAATGAAACAGAGCTGCGAACTTTAGTGTTGGATACTAATGATCCCGGTCGCTTGATCTTGATATCCACTTTGGGCGCTTTCAATTGTAGGATTTGAATAATCAGCATCTTATTATTAGTTATTCCTCCCCTGATCAAAGTTCAGGCTTCGACTTGAGACTGGTTGGCGGAATATTGAAAAAAGATAAAATTAATCTGCAGATTAAAAAAGCATTGATATCGATATCCACAATACAAGAGTTCTGAGATGAGTATACATATTATCAAAATCATTTATCACGATAATGTGATTTCGCCAATCAAAAACCTTTATTAACCCCCCCCCCCCCCTCTTTAAGAATTCTCAACACACTTACTCTGTATTAAAGAATATATTTGGAGCCTTCAGAAGATTTTGACAAGAAAATGAAAAATTGGAATTGAACTAGCATGGCCTCAAAAAATTCATTTATTTTCCTTAATCTTGCGGGAAAAAACTTTACTTCTGTTTTTCATTCCTAGTATGCTAGAGTTAAATGAATTTGTAAACGAAAATTTCTTAATTTTTAACCCCCCCCCCCCCATAAAATATACTATAACTTACTGAACATATTTACCAGCAAGTTGAACAGCGAACTTCTGCCAATGACGCTCTGCAGAAGGTTTTGTGGAAAAGGATTGAAAAACTTAAACAACAGAAGAAAGTTCCGTTAACCATCTCATCGAGCCATCTGATCGATAGGTACGTAAAGGAAAATACGATTTTTACGAATATGAGATACGCATTTTTACGGAGTTGAAATATGTATTTTTACAGATTTAAAAACGTACTTTTACGGATTTAAAAACGTACTTTTACGGATTTAAAAACGTACTTTTACGGATTTAAAAAGGTACTTTTACGGAGTTAAAAACGTACTTTTACGGATTTAAAATGCGTATTTTTACCAAAGAAATGAATGTCATAGAAAGTTACATTCCCGAATCACAGTTTCCTTATCCGAGAAACCATGATGAAGATATCGTCATTTTTCTATCTTACAGAAGATAAATTCTGTTGAATTCATGCCATGTCTCTGCTGTATAAAGTATGACTGATCGATTAATACACGCCCCCGGAGACTGAGCGTTGCGGATAGGACACATTATAAAAGCTTTAGTATAATTATCATTTTTCCATCTCAATAAATAGCTAAGCCAACCTACAAAGCGTCCCATATCATATCTCCAAGCTTTAGCCAAAAATATATTTTTCAACAAAAAGGACCAGTTTCTGGCGGACTTAAGACGCGGCTCAAATTCATTAAATTTGGACTCTGTTGTACTAAAAATTCCAAATTCAGACCTGTGCACGATGATGTGGGCCACCCTGTAGGTCTAATATTTTATTTGTTATCAGGAGTTTTGAGCATTATAAAAGAATTTTGGATCAAGAAGGGATGTCAGATGGATCCACGGAGTACACTCCAGGTTAGAGTTCAGAGAGTACATAATATATATCTACTATATATACATACATTCCCAGTTCAGAGAGTACACAAGATAGATCTACTGATATACATACATTCCCAGTTCAGAGAGTACACAAGATAGATCTACTGATATACATACATTCCCAGTTCAGAGAGTACACAAGATACATCTACTGATATACATACATTCCCAGTTCAGAGAGTACACAAGATACATCTACTGATATACATACATTCCCAGTTCAGAGAGTACACAAGATATATCTACTGATATACATACATTCCCAGTTCAGAGAGTTCACAAGATACATCTACTGATATACATACATTCCCATCTCAGGGGACCACAGTAAAATCTACAATGCATGGTTTAGATCAATCGAAGTTGGTTCAATTCTATTCTTGTTTCAGTTGTTGACAGTGTTGAAGCTAAGCCACCCGTACCTAATTATGTACCACCTGACAGTAGCTGGCAGTACAGTGGAGCTGTACCCGGGGGGGTTTATGGACCTGGTGGTGTACATGGCCAAGTTCAGGAGCCCCTTCCGGGTCCTTCTAGACCCACTCCTCTGTTGACAGGTTTAAGTATCTTTATTTTAGAAATATCAGTCTCATTATTGGCATTCTATTAGTCTTTTCGTTTCTTTGTCTTATTTTCTCATTGTCTTATTGTCTCATCATCTAACAGTGTCATTGTCTCATCTTTTTATCATCTTGACGACTTAGCGTCTTATATTCTTGTCGACTAAAAATTTTATTATCTTGACTATTTTTGTTATTGTTATGACGACTTAACGATTTGATGTAGTATAGTCTTGTCGTTACAATGTCCTAACACTTCAACGTCTTAACTTAGACACTTGACATTTGGCGTGACACTAAACTTTAAACTTGACCTGACACTTGACACTTAACACTTGGCACTCGACACTAAACACTAGACACTTGCCGTGACACTAAACTTTAAACTTGACCTGACACTTGACTATAAGTTTGCAGTGCGTTATTCATCCATTCATAGAAATGAGAACATCTTATTCCTGTATGCTGCTGAGATCAAACATCAAAGAGGAACACTCAATCTTGATATAGCGATACATAACTATGCCACTCATAAGTACTTAAGAGATGAGAACCATGGAGGAGGAATAATCCTATGGACCAAAAAACAGACAGGAGCTGCAGTTCGACCATGGTCCCCCAAACAAGATGCACCAGAATGGATGAACAGCGAAAGATCCTGGATTGTTTTACAATTTGGAACACACAAGATGGCTTGTTGTGGGTTATACCTCGAACGGAGTCACCACAGAATTCAGAAAACTACAAACGAAACGAACAGATTCTACAGCAACTAAGTAAAGAAAAGCAGGAAGTAGAAGAACAGGGATATATAGTGAGCCTATTAGGGGATTTTAACGCAAGAATAACACCAGATAATCACTTCACCTTCACCAAGTATCCGCACAAGGCTAACAACAACGGAGGGTTACTAAATAACTTTGCACAATCCAACAGGCTCTACTGCATGAACCCAATGAAGTGGAAAAATAGAGCAGAAGCGTCCTATACTTACCAGAGAGACCTAGGAATCAGATACGACTGCTCTATAATAGATTACGGGCTCGGCACAATGGAAGCAATCTCACTAACAACAAGCTTTACGATACAGGATTCATCTGACTTTAGCGTCGAATCAGACCACAGCTCACTGCTCTGGGAGTTTGATGTCAAACTTTTAAACCAAAAAATCAAAGTCGAACTAGTAAGGAACCCTCTAAGAAAGATCAGGAAATGGCAATCTTACACCAAAATTCTAGAATCATGACTTTCAACAGGGAGAGTAGACTTTGATGGAATGACCTCAGTAGAGAAAGCCAACTACTTAACAACAGAGTTCTGCAAGGCTGGAACCTCAGTCATACCAGCAACTACTTCAAACCAAACAACGAAATCAAGACAATCGACAAAGTTGTTAAAACTTCTAGCAGAAAGCAAATCAGCCCGCAGATCTCTCAAAATATATCCAGATAAAACTGATCAAGAATTCACAGAACTGAAATTAAGAGCAAAGTCAGCTTCAGTAAAAGCAAAAATCCAGTATTACAAAGAGTCATTCAATACAAAACGGAAGGTAAAAATCTTATTAAACAAGAAAGGTCCTAAGGCTCAAAAATTATTCTGGGAATTAACTAATCCAAAACCAAGGAAATCATCTGGAATTGAAGCTCTAGAAGCAAACAGTATCTTAACAACAAACCCAGCGGAGATGAATGAATTAGTGGAAATCTTCTTTGAAACTAAATTCAAAACAGTACTCAACAAAGAAGAGATAGAGAGGTCTCTACCCGATATGTCAAAGCTAGGGGAGCCCGAAAAAAGAATGGATGAGACTACAGCTGAAGCATTGATGGAACCAATAACCCTAACCGAACTCTCAGTTACACTTGATAAATTAGATACTTCAAAAGCAGAAGGCATGGACGGAATTACAAACGAGATGCTTCGGAACACTGGACATGTAGCACCCCAAAAGCTGCTGGAGATGTTAAACAACACCTTGATATCAGGAAGAATACTGGACAGTTGGAAGGAAGGCGATGTAGCTTTGATCCTTAAGAAACCGCCACAAACGGACATTAGTAATTACTGTCCCATCACTCTAATTAGTTGCATCTCAAAACTAATAACCAAGATATTAGCACAACGGATAAGCTTAGCAGTAGAGAAGGATGATCTTATTGGTCCAGAGCAAAATGGGTTCAGAGCCAGCAGATCATGCAGTGACAACATTTTCATACTTAATTCAATCCTGGAGATGAATAAAAGCAAGAAGAAATTGTCCTACCTTATATTTGTGGACCTCAAGGAGGCATATGATAGAGTAGACCGTAACATCCTCTTTGCTAGATTACAACAACTCAAATTCCCAGATAAACTTATAGCATTCCTAAGAAACTACTACTTCCAAGATAACATCTCGACATCATCAACCGGTGAAAGATCAAGGAAGCAATACCAGCAGAGAGGGCTCCGCCAAGGTTGCAACTTAAGCAGCGTCCTGTTCATCATATATGTAGCAGAACTAGCCAGGAGAGTGAAAACAAGCGGCCATGGTGTGAAACTAGAATCTGGAGAGGTTGTTGGGATACTTCTATTTGCAGATGATATAATCTTAATTGCAAACACACCAGAATCTCTAGAAAGACTCAAAGGTGTACTGGAAACCTGGTGCTCTGACTATAAAATGGTGGTATCAGTATCAAAAACCAATGTAATTTCACCCGATGAAGAGTACACATGTTCAGTATCTAGCACAGGTGATTGCGAAGCAGATGCTATTGCACAGGTAGAATCCTACAAGTACCTGGGAGTACAACAATATCTAGAAACTCACAGGACATCCCGTCACAAAGGTGAGGACATGCTCAAACGAGCAAATATATACAAGAATGTCATATTATCCAGCAGAAAGTTTCTCCCCGATAAAGTACGATCATTATCAACAATCTGGAATTCAGTAGCATTACCTCGTATACTCTACGCAATTCCAATATCTGAGAAGGTTATACAGGAGCTGGAATCCATTCAGCTGAGAGTAGGGAAGTCCACTCTAGGTTTACCACAATCAACAGCTAACCCAGCTGTTTACCTGGAATTGGGATGGAAACCCATCAGACTGCACCTAGAGGAATCGCTTTTGAGATTCTACAAGAGAGTAAATAGTGCAACATTTAAGGGTAGTCAACTCGTAAAATCATGTATGGAGTGGAACATTGCTAACAACAACACGAAATATATGAAATATTTAACGTCCATGATGACCCAAATCAATCCTGAATCCCTACCTCTACAGGAGATAGAGCACAAACAGCTCCTTGAATATCACAAGCTTCAAATTTTGTGACGAGTTCAAGAGCTGGACAGCCTAAGAATCATGCCCATACCGCGTAGGTGGTGGAAACCTTCACCATTTGTAGAAGAATTCCAACGGTCGAGAATGTTGGTAAAGTTCAGATCTATGAATTCTGGATTAGGGAACAGGGATGGATTTAGATCTGTGGATGCTACATCACAAGATGACAGAAGAATCACCACTTGCCCTCTTTGTCTAAATGGCCGGAACGATGAAATACATCTTCTACTGAGCTGTTCTTCCATGGAGAGAATGAGAAGAACAATTCAAATGAGCACGGGTAAAACACTGGAATATACCCTATCAGAAATACGTACCAGATATTCATGCAATTCAGACCAGGAGGTAGCGAGATTTTTCCTAGGACAAGAACAAAATCTAAATAGATCAACAATGGTGGATAGAGGTTTATCACTGGATCTGCTTGTATCTGGGTTTTACAAGAATTGGTCAGAACTACGTGGCAGGATCATACACCAACCTAACAGCTGGAGACCATCTTAATCACTTATAAAACAAGTAGGTTATTCCTTATAATCAGTAGTATAATTAAGCCAAGTATTAATGGATGATTTGAAATGGATTTTGGTATATATCACTTGGATATTATATTCTTATAACATGTAAAGATAGTCTTATGATATATACTATGTAATAATACTTAAAGTTAACTGAAATAAAAGATGAAAGTACAAACACGATACACCACGCAATTGGAAGCCTATAAAAATAAAAGCAACATTTTAATGACAGAATCAACAAATGGCTTTAAATTTCAATACAACATGATTCTTTAATAAATCTTATAAATCATATAACCTAACATTTACTATATTATACACAGAAACATTTAATAAATACACCTTCTTTCGTTTAACTTCAGGTAGTATATATGTCGAATCACTTAACAATTCCCCTTTATTTAAGACATTTCATATTTCATATAATACTTACTTATTTATTACAATTCATATTATTTCATGTAATATTTACTTATTTATTACATTTCATAATATTTCATAAAATATTCACTTGAATTCATTTTATAATTTCATCTTAAAAACAATTTATAGTAGTTTTATAGTTTCAACTCATGAAAACCCTTTTTAAACACTCAGTTAATCGGGAGGGAGACTCTCTCTTGTCAGCATTTAAATATGCATTTAATACAACTGTTTGGCAACTAGCTGACAAAAGGAATCGGACCGGTGACATGGCTCAAATTTGGTCGTGTGTCCGACGATAGGTTTAAACTATGTCAGACTGAAAAGCCTTCACCTATAAGGGATTGTGATGGCATACCCCTTGTAGGTCAAGGAGCTGTTGGACACTAGCTGTATGCTATGATATGATATGATAATAAAACTTTTTTAGGCATCCTCTTTAAATTTATAATCCTTATTTGTTTTACCTTTGGGGTCTGCAATCTTACTAGGAGAACACTACGTGTAGATGCACCACTGTTCCTGATTTATTCTCGTGTCCATTTTATATCAGTAAACGCATCATTATGTAAATGAATAAATCAGGTTTTGCTGGATAATATACTATGGGTCAGTTGCACATTATCATTTATTTTAATAAAGATTAAATGATTAATTCTGCCCATTTTGGATGCTGCATTTATCACAATGGTTTGTTAGTTGCTGTTAGCCATTTTTCTATTATTTTACCCAGCTTTTTACCTCTTTCTATTAGGGATTTCTCCTTTGAACCATCTTGGCCAAGGTAATTCCGTAAAATTCTTGCATTTGCTATTGTGCCTTTGGCCTTTTGTGTAGCCAAATAGTTAGATATTTTAAGCTCCCGTCAGACTGTGGCTACAGCAGGACATTCAAATATTACGTGGGATTTTGTTAGTTTAATATGAAGCCCAAAAATTTCGCAGTGTGGGCAAAACTCACATTTAAATCCATATCGGTTTTTGTACCGGTTGCCTAATTGTGCATTACCTCCCCTGACTTGGCATAAAATCTTACTTGCTTTTGAATCATTAATGTGGTCTTGCATTTTAAACCAGTTCCAAGGTTGAGGGGCTGTATTTAAAGTAGATGGTTGCCTTTTAACACTCAATACAAGTGCCACTGCTTTATTTATTAAAGCAGCTTGCAGGTGTGATTTCTTTTTAAAAGGGGATGGTGGAGTTAGCACATTTGATGTAGGGGGGGGGGCCTGCCTTCATTTTTGGTTCAAATCTTCCAATTTGTTGGCTGCACGCCTAATTAGGGTTCGAAATTCCTATAATAAAATCAAATTGAACTTTAATAACCTCTAATGACCTCTAATGACCTCCACAAATAGAAAATATTTCAACTATGGCTTATGCAAATAACCTCCAAAAATGAAAATGTTTTAATTATGGCTTTATGCATATCAAACGAAAGCTAGGAATCCAGGGAATACAGTAGTAGCAACAAATCCAGTGTTTGACCTTCTAATGATCTCTTATGACCTCTAATGACCTCTAATGACCTCTAATGACCTCTAATGACCTCCACAAATAGAATATATTTCAACCATGGCTTTTATGCATATCAAACGAAAGCTAGGAACCCAGGGAATACAGTAGTAGCAACAAATCCAGTGTTTGACCTTCTAATGACCTCTAACAACCTCTAATGACCTAAATGACCTCCAAAAATGAAAATGTTTTAACTATGGCTTAATGCATATCAAACTAAAGCTAGGAATCCAGGGAATACAGTAGTAGCAAAAAATCCAGTGTTTGATATTCTAATGATCTCTTATGACCTCTAATGACCTCTAATGACCTCTAATGACCTCTAATGACCTCCACAAATAGAATATATTTCAACCATGGCTTTTATGCATATCAAACGAAAGCTAGGAACCCAGGGAATACAGTAGTAGCAACAAATCCAGTGTTTGACCTTCTAATGACCTCTAACAACCTCTAATGACCTAAATGACCTCCAAAAATGAAAATGTTTTAACTATGGCTTTATGCATATCAAACGAAAGCTAGGAATCCAGGGAATACAGTAGTAGCAACAAATCCAGTGTTTGACCTTCTAATGATCTCTTATGACCTCTAATGACCTCTAATGACCTCTAATGACCTCTAATGACCTAACATTAAAATTCAATTTGATTTTATTTTAGGAATTTCGAACCCTAATTAGGCGTGCACCCAAAAAATTGGAAGATTTGAACCAAAAATGAAGGCAGGGCCCCCCCCCCCACATCAAATGTGCCAACTCCACCATCCCCTTTACAATTAACCCTATTTGGGATTGGATTTTCATCCATGATATAGTGTTAGGATTCTCAGGGTGTTCCAATGACTGTCTTCAAATTATTAAAAGGATCGGATTCCGTTTTGTTTTTAAAATATTATAAATAAACAGAGCTTGTTTGTTAAGGATCCTATATTCAATTGGCATTAATCCAGCATCTATCCAAGCCAGTGCTCTTGATGTTGAAGCTGGAACCTGTAGTATAAACCTACCAATCATATTTTGGATACAGTCCAGCTCCATTACTGTACTCTTTTTATAGTTAACGCTTCCACACAGTACAATATTGATGGTATTGCGCATGTCTCCCATACTCTTTTAGCTATTAACACCTTATCTAAATCCCCCCTAGTTAGACTCATGTGTATGCATAGTTCATAGCTCTTTTAATCATTATCTCTTCATATTGGCTAATTATATTCCTTCCTCTTAGCTGTATTTTAACCCCTAAATATTTTGCGACTAATATTTCTTCAATGGTTTTGGAATTAACTGACCAATTAACATCATACGTAGCATTTGAGATAATATATGTTTTACTGGTTGCTAAAGTCATTTTCATATCCCTGCAAAACATACACACTACCCTTAACAGTTTGTTCATTCCAATTTTTGGCATCCCTGAAATCAGTACAAGGTCGTCCGCAAAAAACAATGCCGTAACCATTTTGTCTCCTATTTTCTCCCCTAACTTAGTATTATGCAGCGCTGTTCCCAGAGATGAAATACACAGGGGAAATAATAGGGGGGGGATAATGAGCACCCTTGTTTTACCCTTGTGTGAAATATACTGGAGCTGAAAGACCGTGGATTAAACTCACTCTAATTGAATCATTATAGTACATACTTCTTATTAGTGAGACTACCCTTCCGCAAAATCCTATAAATCTCAATTTAGTGTATAAAAGTTCCCTGCACACAGAATCATATGCTTTAGCTATATCACAAAAAGCAATTCAAACCGTTTTGTGTTTACATCTTGCTTCCTTTATAGCATTAATTATGATAAACACACAATCTGTTGTAGACCTTTGTTAGCGGAACCCACGAAACCCATACTACACTTGCAACTGTTAAGGGTCGTTTTTTGTAAACCTCTAAAGACAGCTCTTTTTTGTCAATCAAGGTCATTTTCCCTGTATTTAAAATAGCCGGTAGATCCCTGCAAGCTGCTTTAACAAATAAAGCAGTCGCAAGTAAGATTTTATGCCAGGGGAGGTAATTCACAATTAGGCAACCGTTACAAAAACCGATATGGATTTAAATACGAGTTTTGCCCACAGTGCGTAATTTTTGGATTTCATATGAAACTAACAGAATCACATGTAATATTTGAATGTCCTGCTGTAGCCACAGTCAGACGGGAGCTTAAAATATCTAACTTTTTGGCTTCACAAAAGGCCAAAGGCACAATAGCAAATGCAAGAATTTTACGGAATTACCTTGGCCAAGATGGTTCAAAGGAGAAATCCCTAATAGAAAGAGGTAAAAAGCTGGGTAAAATAATAGAAAAATGGCTAACAGAAACTCACGAACCATTGGTGTAAATGCAGAATTAATCATTTAATCTTTATTAAAATAAATGATAATGTGCAACTGACCCATAGTATATTATCCAGCTAAACCTGATTTACTCATTTACATAATGATGCGTTTACTGATATAAAATGGACACGAGAATAAATCAGGAACAGTGGTGCATCTACACTTAATGTTCTCCTAGTAAGATTGCAGACCCGAAGGTAAAACAAATAATTGGATTATAAATTTAAAGAGGATGCCTAAAAAAGTTTTATTAATGACATTCCATTAAAAATGCCCCTTAGTTAGATTCAGATTTGTTGAACCCATTTTGAAAAATTTTAAACAGACGTGTGTACTGTTTAAGAATGCTATTTAAAGCATTTTTAGGCCTCCTTACATATCGGTCATACACACTGGATCCTAAGGTATTCAAACCTGATGTGATCCATTAGAACCCAGGCAGACACAGGAAGGTGGCTGGAGCTCGACCCTAGAGCTTGGAGAATCATTGTCCTTGGGGATCATGATTCTTTGACTATAGGTTGAATGTTAATAATAATAATAATAATCACAATCTAATACTATGTTTTTCAGGAATATACTTGAAGGAAACAATCTTGTATCAACTATTTTTCACAATCTAATGATATGTTTTTCAGGAATATACGTGAAGGAAACAATCTTGTATCAACCATTATTCACAATATAATATTATTTCAGGAATATAAGCAAAGGACATATTCTTGTATCGACCATTATTTACAATCTAATAATATGTTTTCAGGAATATACGTGAAGGAAACAATCTTGTGTTAACCATTATTCACAATCTAATATGTTTTCAGGAATATATGCGAAGGACACAATCTTGTATCGACCATTATTTACAATCTAATAATATGTTTTCAGGAATATACGTGAAGGAAACAATCTTGTATCAACTATTATTCACAATCTAATATATTTACAGGAATATACGTGAAGGAAACAATCTTGTATCGACCATTATTCACAATCTAACCAGAGCGTCGGCCAGTGTCAAGGTAGGCTATCAAAAAAATATTGTTAAGAATTAATTTTTAATTTAAATTCCATATTTTTGAACAGATAGGTGTTTGTTCAAATTAAGCGAAATAAGACTATAAAAGCTTGCCAATTTTTGTCCTATAAAGAAAAATTTCTTAAACTTTTTTTTTAAAGGGGGGGGCCACAAAAAGTATTACTCTCCGGAAAATTTAAACAATGTTTAAACATAACTTAGAATTGTCGTAGGAGGCTGATTTTTTGCATGCAAACTCAGAATTATGTATATTACATGCATTTTTTGGTTTTGAAGGAATTTGAAAATATATATCTATGTTTTTTTTTTCAGTACATTGTTCAATGCTATTCCTTAAACAAGATTTATCATGCAGAGGCTAAAGGAAACTTCATCAGTATTGTCAGATATATCATGGGAGATATATCAAACCTAATACAGTTAGGATTATCTCAGGTAGATATTAAGTAAACTATACAAGTATTATCAAATATATTATGGATATCATGGAAACCTAATACAATTAGAATTATCCCATATACTGTGATAACCAGAAAACTCTGGAATAGGAAGACGACATAACAGCAATACTTAAGTGTAGTTGATGTTGTTTCAATGTAAATAGCCTTACTAGACACTTATTAAATAATTATTATGTCCTAAAGTGAACGGGGTCTGTTTACTCTGCACAATTTCTTTGTTTCATGCTCATTAGACTATATTTCAAGACATAACTTGAGTCTAAAAGTCGTCTTCCTATTTCAGAGTTTCGGTTATCACTGTAATTATTGAATAATGTAGCAATAAATACAGGGAAACAGGGTTACGTGCATTCGTTTAATTGCGTCCGTTTAAGTGAATTCTTTTAATTGCATCCGTTTAAGTGCATTTGTTTATTTGCGTCTGTTTATGTGCATTCGTTTAATTGCGCCCGTTTAAGTGCGTCCGTATAATTGAATCCGGTTAAGTGCGTACGTACCGTATAAGTGCGTCCGTATAAGTTTGTTCGTACATGTGCGTCTATATAAGTGCGTCTGTATAAGCGCGTCCGTACAAGTTTGTCCATAAGTGCGTCGTACACAAGTATTGAAAAGCAATCTTTCAAAAAATTTCAATTTCAGTTTTTTTCCGAATGAATTTTTTCGTTTGTATTTTAGGAGTTGTTGATGGATTTGTTGACCCAGTTTTCCCAGTTGATCCTCATCCAGTCCCCCAGCATCGAGATAGAGGTCCAACAGGTGATCTATATAGAGATATGCTAGCTGAAGTGCACGGCGTTGCCTATGGAATTTTACAACCATAGATCAAACATCTATGAACATGTTATCTTTGAACCATATAACTTAATTTTTGTAATTCTGAGCATACATAAACCTTACCTGGCATCATTTAAGTTGCCTCAAAAATTTTGGGCCCGATCGGTTCAGCCGTTTTGACGTTTATTGAAAGCAAACCAACAAACAAAAAGCAATAAAAAAACACCCAAACAGACAGACAAGCAAAGTAACATCTAGACATCGGCTTTTAACAATATGAATATATATCTATAATCTAATAATAATAATAAGTAAACCACATAACCAAATTCCCCTAGATCCACTTTTATACGCCTTCCCTGCCTCCCCCCCCCCTCTCATAAATATAAAATCAAATGAAGTTTTTTAACTCAATTGTTCGGGTAATAGAATTTGTGTTCTCTCTAAAAGATTGGCAGTATAACTTCAGGGGTGTATATTTTCTCGAGCAACATTCCACCCCCCCTTTTAAAAAGTTTTATTTCTCCACCTAGTTAAAAATTTTAGATTTGCTTGCTGAATTGGGGAACAGAAAAGACTTTAGGGGGAATAAATAAATTTTTTGAGTAAAAAGTAAAAAAAAACTTTGATGTTAATATTTCAATTTTTTCCCTAATATCCTGAAAAATGTACACCCCCTGTATAAGTGTTGAACCTAGGATAAGGATGCACAGAGACGGTTTAGGGAGGATCTAGCACTGTCCAGAGTTCCCAATACAGGCAACCCATTCATCTAGCAAATATTGATTAATTGATTGATTGAATGATTGATTTATTGGTAGGTCCCACAAAATAGTGGCATGGCTCAAATTTGGGTGCACTTCTGGAATTCTTCCGAGGAATTAATAATTAGCAAAAACACTTCCTTTCATCTTACATCTGGTTCAGTTTAAGGGAAAAAACCTATTTTCTAGATCATGGCTGAAAACCTGAATGTAGGGCGAATTGAAACCGGGTCTTGCTTGAGGGAGTTTCAAGCAATCCCTACGCCTTAAGATTTTATTTGATTTTACCAAATATTGACTCCAACTTTTCTATTTATTAGCAGGAACTAGAAAGAAAATGACACAGATTTGTTATAATTAAGGGGGGGGATAATTTAATGATATTGTTATGAATCTTTTATTGTAATGGAGGGTCACTGAAAATAATGTGTTCTTAACTTTTTACCTTAAAATCTTCAAAAATGGGGGGTTAAGATTGTTTTCGAGTTTTTAGTTTGTTTTTACCAACTATTGACCGAGCTTTTTATATGAAGTCGCAGATACTAACACTTATTACTTTAAATCTTCAACAAAAGAGGTTTAAGAATTAGTTGGAGTTTTACTTCTTTCGAACCTTATTTTTGATGGATGAACTAACCAAGGATATGCAGTTGGTGCTCCTCCTCTTCCTTCTCCATCTAGGGGACCTCACACCCCTCCAGTTCCCTTCAGTCCTCCCATTCAATGTCCACCTTCTCAGGGTATAGGAGAACCAGAGAAGAACTCGAGACCAAGGTAAATATTTTACAATTGAAGGGATTGTACGTGTACTTTCAAATGATCCTCTATGCTAAGAGGGGAATTGAAACCCTAATATGATCTTAAATATGAAAGATTTTTCTAGCTTGACAAGTGTTAAATTGTAATTATTTATCCTCATTGTTCTGTAAGCAGAAATGCGCAAGTCACTTTTACAGAGAACCCCAAATCGAAAGTTATCAGTTTTTAAAAATAGAATCATGGATAGCTTAGTCATTTCTTGATCAGACAATGCCTTTAATGGTATCGTTGTGAATCAGACATGGCATTCTGTAAATTGAGACCCGGGGTTCAATCAAAATTACGCTTACAGTCCATTTAAGGAACTTATTACTCCCCTGAAACTCTCTTATGATACACCAATACTGTAGAATATATTTGCAATCCGATGTACACTTCAATTTTTTTAAAGGAGGTGAGTAACAGTTTTCTGTAGAATCTATCTTGCATGCGCAATGCACATGACAAAAATTTATTCATTAAGTTTTTAATATTATTTTTACGACGTTGCTTCATTAACTCGTTTAAGTTACTTCATGACTTGTACGTGGTATGGTATATAAATTTAGTTAAACTCGGATTTGATTTCAGTTTACAGCGAGTGGCAGGTTAGATTCGCAATGGCACCCTTCTTTAGTCTGTTAAAGGATGGTGGACTTATTCTTTTGTCTCCACATAAACGTATGCAATTTATGTAATTGTTGAGCATTTTGTTTGCAAGAAGATTCCTAAAAATATAAATATATCTCTATCATTTGAACTTTTAAATACCGCGATGGACGTAAAGTATTCGGGATTTTATGCCTTCGAATTTCGATAATCAAGGGGTACCGTTGAAAATTGGACATTCCCCTCAATACTTGATGGGTCACTTTATTGAGGATTACCCTCCCCCCATGACATCTTTTTTTATAAACTGTAAAACTAAAAAAGATGAAATTCTTTTTTATATATTTTGAGTCGTTATTATCAGTTTTTCATAATGTTCCCCCACTCCCATGTGTTGACAGTCACAGTACACACACTACTAGTTTGATTATTATAGAGGTTTGGAATTTTTGTTTTAATTGAGCGGGGTCCAGTTCGGCATTCGACCTATTGTTGATTTTACCAATTCCTATTTCAGATTCCCAATTCATTGTAGCCGGTTCAAATTCATGTCCTTCTGCAACCACCTGGATAGATCCAAGTATCACGTGCTGCGTGACCGACAGCGGTTACTCGGAGATTTTGACGCCTACCTTCTGATCGGCCTCGACCTTCTAGAGGTCGGAGATGGACTGTCCTCGAATCTAATCATTCAGGTAAAAACCTGAATAGTGTTTTCCTATTGTGTGCCTTAAAGTGCGTTCTTTGTGTGCGTCATTGATGTCCATACCTGCTTAATCCTTGCGTCCTAATCTATAATGAGAATGTCGAATGCTTTTTTCATTAAATTCAGTTTTTTAAAAATACCTAGGGTTTCAGGCGGTTCGCGTCCATCTTCTATTAAAATTTTCAATTGTGTCTATATCTCGTACAAAAACAATAATAAAAAAATTAGTGGATTAAAAAAAAATATTCGTGGATTCCCAAAAGTTTAGGAAAATAACAATTTTTTGGGGGCAAATTTTTGTTGTTCTGAGCATTCATAAACCTTCCGGCTTCCCTTTTGAGTTACTATAAATAATGTGGACCCGATCGGTTAAGTCGTTTATTGGACACAAACAAACAGACAGACATACCACTAAATTATATATATAGATGTTTAAGCTTGTTTTGACTAGTTGGGGGTGTGTCTACCTGATGGTTCCAAAATGATGTACGCTTCCTACCCTGAGAACAACGAGATCGGAGACAACTGGATGCGGAAGCATGGTTATACGTCGGAGTACTTCTCCAAGGGGAACAAGAAGATCAGGATACTGACCCAGAAGCATATGGCCAGTTCCTTCCTCTGGGATCTCAAGAACATCCTGGGTAGGAATGACAAGGACGGATTGATCATAACTGTTCTCCAGATGGAGAAGCTGATCGGATTGATCAAGTTCATAGTGAATCTCGGAGAGGAGATGGTGACTGAGTTTATGAAGATCTTTAAGGGATACTGCATCCTCGAACCGATTATACGAACTGTCTGTTTGACCCAAGACGGACCTATCGTCCGGGTGAGCAATTCACTTGCGCTTCAGATATTTGGGTTTAGTCCGACCACGTACTGTGACGATATGGCCTCCAACCTGTACAGCATGGCCTCTCAGCTGGACAGCGAGGTCAGGAGGAATGTTGGCGCTATCAGTAGCCAGCTGATGAAGATATTCAAGGATTTTACAGAAGATCTTAAAGAAATGGAGGTAACAATTTAATAGATTACATTCAAGAGATTGTTTTCCTTATTTTAACTGACCATTCATTCATTCATTCATCCTGTCATTCATCCATTTATTCATCCTTTCATCCTTTCATTCATTCATCCTTTCATTCATTCATCCTTCCTTTTATTTATTCATCCTTTCACTCATTTATTAATTCATTGATTCATTGATTCAGTAATTCATCCTTTCATTCATTCTTTCATTCATTCATTCTTTCATTCATAGCAGGTTCTTTTAAACTTAAAAAGTTAATATCGCTAATGTAAACTGTCAAATTATATGCGCGACATGAGAAATTTTGTACAAAGTTATTTTTCGCTTTCTTTCTGAATCTTTTAGAAATTTTAAGTTCCAATCCATTTGATGTTTGAGTAGGTAGTGATTTAAAACACCTAGACACATGTTAATGACTAGATATGTGCTAATTTTTTTTTAAACCTTCAGTTTTGCATTTTTTATTAACAATTGCCTAAGCTTTTTATCATTTGTGATTGTTTTAGTCGTTAAAGAGTTAATTGGTAACGAGCATTAACAATGAGCAATCATTAACGATCACTTATGTTGTGATGTTGATTGTTCAAAGATCAGGTTTTTTTTTAAATAATATAATTTACCGACGCCTGTCTTAAATCGACAATAGCAATAAACTTTGTATATTTTTTAACACCTTTCAAGTTTTCTGTAATGTATTTATATATTTAGAGTTTATCTTTTATTTATTTTTTATTTATTTAGGGTGTTACTGATGCTATTTATCAAGCTCTGAAAGGTCAAGTCCAGCTGAGCCGGTTAGTTGACCCATTCCCCCGGAGTCGTTCTCTCTGTAGACCAGAGGAAGAAGTGGCGTGTGTTCTCATTCAGGTGTGGTATCAGATTTTCTACACCTTCCCCCACCCCCTTTTTTAAAGATTTGTTCTCCGGAAATTAGTTATGTCGGCGCGGAGTGGAGCGGCAACAGTTTTGTTATGAGTTTATTTGCTGAAATGGAAAAAAACCAAATTATTTAAGGGAAGTAAATGAAGATTTGGGTAAACAGTATCTAAGAGGTATAAAAAATTGTCTTTTCATGAACAATTTTTTGATTTTTTGTTAAGAGCATCAAGAATCACCACTGTGTATAATTCTTTCTATATGCTTAGTACCAATGTTCTTTGCCAATAAGCAACGATCAGTAACAATTTTCAGTACCAATGGGCATTGTGCATGTGCAACGATCAGTACCAATTTTCAGTATACATTTTAGCAACAATTTTTAGTTTACGTTTTGGTACCAATATTTCAGAGCTTCCAAGGAGACAAAAATACAGTTTTAGCCTTTAATTGGAAAGTTTATCTTCTTACCTCACCCCCCCCCCCATTATGTTTTAACAATTTGTTAAAATGACTTTGTTCAGGTGCTTCTGTTCAACGGTATTTCTATGCGGCAATTAACCAACCTATCGCGGGATGATCCAAAACTAGTGCTTGCTCGTCTTAACTCCACTCTAAACACAACAATACCTGATATAGACGGAAGAGATACAAGGAAACCAAATCAAAACAAATAATAGTATTTTACTGTACTTTTCATAAGTTATGTAGGAATTATTTGATATTGTCATTACACTACATGCTTATGCCTTTTCATTATAAAGTTATGATTAGAAAATCAATTTTGTAATGAAGGTACGTCATATTCCCCTTACAATACTTATACAAGGAAACCACATCAAACCAAATTGCGATAATATCACTATCATAATAGTAGCGATTTTGCCATACTATTTGCCATTTATATCATTATAATGAGAATATCGATTTTGTCATGAAGTTATGTCTTAATATCCCTTTTGTTGTAAGCATTATGATAAGGAAGCTTTTTTGCCTTCGCTCCCTATCATTATAGAATTTTAACGAGAATATTGATTTTGTCATGAAGAATCCCCTATTATAATTATTAGAATTATGAAAAGGAAGCATTATGATAAGGATAGCAAGTTTGCCCTTAATTTTTCCCTTTTTCCCTATCAGTATTAGATTTATGATAAAAATAGCCATTTTGCCTTTAAATTTCATTCTATTAGCGAGGAGTCACATATTAGATGTGTAATTTTGAGGCCCAGTTTAACTCCTATGCTTTGTTGATTTTGGTTTAATTGCTAGGATTTTTGATATTGCGCTGAAAGCTGTTGTTGGGTTTATTTCATCATTGCAACAACGGTAAGCATTGAAATTCATTTTAACAATAATAATCATGAAATCAAAAACAAAAAGAATTTTAAGTTAAGATTTCTAAATATTTTGGACACTTTTTCTCTTGATATTTGTAAAAGATAAAAGTATAATTTTAGGACGCCTTTAGACGGGCAGAGGAGCAGGTTTAAGTCAGGAGAAAGCTATGACAGCGAAGGTAAGAAATCAATTGATCAATCAATAAAATAAAAAAATATGCCACCAAATAAAATAGGGAACCCATTTGTTATAATTTGAGAACTATGAGTTGCAGAGGGTACTCATAGTTATTCCCGCCATTTACCCGAGCTTGGTCGTAAACTGCGATTTTAGTTAATAATAGTTTTCCCGAGTTCCCCAATCAAAATTAGAGGCGAATCGGTCCAGGGGTACCATAATAAACGTCCAAAAATAATCTAGGCTCTGTGCCTGATGATTTGAGTGCCACGCCGATAAAGGACCCAGAACTGCAGATTCTTCAGGTATTTAGTTGATCTTAAGGCAGGTAAATTTTTTAAGAATTTTGAAATCTCAATTGCTCCAGCCGGATTAGTAAGGAGCAAAAACATCATTTTTAGTAAGACGAATTTGACTTTTACCGGGAAAAAAAATTTGAAACCTCACTTGAAAAAATAGTCCACCTGAATGGCGCTGATCAGGGTTTCGTTTTTTTTTATTGTTAAATTAATCAGACTGGGTTATTTTTTGGATACAAGTTTCACTTTCTGTTCAATAATTTTTCTAAATTTCTAGGATTTCCTTGTGAAAAGTTTGAATCAGCAGAATCCGCACAGTTACTCTAGGCTTACTCTGATGAACATCACTAACTCAATGTGCTCCGTACTGCTAGCAGTATTTAAAACTTATGCAGGGTATGGACAGACACAAACTTCCAAGTTATAGACTCATTAAACACACAGACAGCGAAAAAAGAAACAGACACAGACAGAAAAGAACAAACAAAGTTTAGACCAACTCTGATTAATATCACTAACTCAAAGTGCTCCATGCTGTCAGCAGTATTCAAATCTTTGGTAGAGTATGGATGGATTGGATAGAAACATTTAAATACACAGATAGGGGAAAAGGAAACAAACAGAAGACACTGAATAAAAATACGACACAGTTCCTCCCGAAATTATTCATTGTGCTTTTTTTAGCATTAATACTTTTTTATGGTTTATTCTAACCCAGGGGTTCTCTAGGGTTTTTGTGGCGGTGTAAGACTGAACTTTGTGGCAGATATTAATTTAGCCAGATTTGATGTGGCTCATTGTTGTTGAATGTCTTTTTATTGTTGTTAGTAGTGTACATTGTACAGTATCTATTATTCATTATTTATTATTCATTATTCATTATACATTATACATTATACATTATTCATTATACACTAAACATTATACATTGTACATTGTACATTGTACATTATACATTGTACATTGTACACTGTACACTGTACGTTGTACGTTGTACGTTGTACGTTGTGCGTTGTACGCTGTACGTTGCACGTCGTACGTCGTATGTTGTACGTTGCACGTTGTACGTTGTACATTGTACACTTGCTCACAAAACACCAACGTCCAATTGTACATTGTACATTCAACATTGTACACTGGCCACAAAACACAAAGTCCAACAGACATAGACAGCAACCTAACAGTCGAAGAAAAATCGCAAAAATCACAGGCAGACAAAAATATATCTAAATAGAAAAAAGCTTGATTCAATAATTTGTATTTATTGTTTAGAATCAAATCTAGCTTCTGTTCTTCTCTGAACCCAGAGCAACGTGAGAACGAGTTGAAAAAGAATCTTCTCAAGGAGGTGGATCATTTTACAAACATGTATTTTTACATCATTATTATTAGTATTATTATTTGGTCTATATCTTCCTACCATAAACTTGATTTATATTTGAAAAATTCAAAAATAAAATTAAGTTTCTAAAGTCCTGGCATTCTTATGGCATTTTTAGATCTTCTTCCCCTAATGTATTATTTTTTTCTCTTTAATATTTATATTTAGACTATTAGCGAGGCCCCTCCTGCGTGGAAAGGATTTAAACTCCTGGACTTAATCAGAATTGCGGATCTATTCTTTAACAGGTTTTTTATTTTGATTATTTAATAAATAATATTTTACAACGTGACCCTTGAAACATTTTCTGAGCAAAGTTTATATCTTTTTTTTCCACCTAAAAGTTGTGTATATTCTATTGTGGTTTCTCTGTAACATTTCTGGATGCATGCAGCAGAGGCAAAGAAAAAGTTTTCAGAATTTTATACTTTTCCAGAGAGGGAAACAATACTTACTTCCTCACTGATGTTTAGAGAAAAATCGAAAAGGGTATACGGTGTGAATCATTTTATATATGGACTTTCCTCCCTCACATTGTATATATTGCCTTCCTTCCCTCACATTGTATATATTGCCTTCCTTCCCTCACATTGTATATATTGCCTTCCCCCCTTATGATGTATATATTGCCTTTCCTCCCTCACATTTTATATATTGCCTTCCCTCCCTCACATTGTATATATTGTCTTCCCTCCCTCGCATTGTATATATTGCCTTCCCCCCTTATGATGTATATATTGCCTTTCCTCCCTCACATTTTATGTATTGCCTTCCCTCCCTCACATTGTATATATTGCCTTCCCCCCTTATGATGTATATATTGCCTTTCCTCCCTCACATTGTATATATTACCTTCCCTCCCTCACATTGTATATATTACCTTCTCTCCCTCACATTGTATATATTGCCTTCCCCCCTTATGATGTATATATTGCCTTTCCTCGCTCACATTTTATATATTGCCTTCCCTCCCTCACATTGTATATATTGCCTTCCCCCTTTATGATGTATATATTGCCTTTCCTCCCTCACATTGTATATATTGCCTTCCTTCCCTCACATTGTATATATTGTCTTCCTTCCCTCACATTGTATATATTGCCTTCCCCCCTTAAGATGTATATATTGCCTTTCCTCCCTCACATTTTATATATTGCCTTCCCTCCCTCACATTGTATAAATTGTCTTCCCTCCCTCACATTGTATATATTGCCTTCCCCCCCTCACGATATGTAATTGTATTGCTTTCCCTCCGTCACATTTTATATAGTGCCTTCCCTCCCTCTCATTGTATATATTGCCTTCCTTCCCTCACATTGTATATATTGCCTTCTCACCCCTCACGATGTATTTGTATTGCTTTCCCTCCCTCACATTGTATATATTGCCTTCCCTCCCTCACAATGTTACTATTACAGAAGGACGGAGTACAAGGACAGTGCGTTTATCAACCTGGAGAATCATTTCATCAGTGCTCTCTCCAATACCAAGAGGAACCTGGGGAACCAGGAAACCAGGAACCTCGCTCGGACCCTCGTCATGTCTTTTGAAGATATTAGGAATAGAAATAAATTTAAAACATTTGAAACTTTTTTCAAATATTTTGATTTATTACATTTTTGGGTAAAAAGTATCTTTTTTCAAAGTTTATGTATCCCCCCCCCCCCTGTTTCGTAATGATGTATTTCTGTTTGACTAGTTACACATATGAACGTCTGATGAACCAGATTTCATCCGGGAACTCTATGCTAACCCAGAGCCGGATCCAGCATGCGCTCAACCAGAGGTTCGGGACCCCGCCTCCCACCTGGGCAGGGTGTACAGTGGAGTTCGTTGTACAGGAAACTTTAGCGCATTTTTCCTCCCTTGCAGTAAAGACGGAGGTGAAGCAGGAGAACTTTGGGAGAGGTGGAGGAGGGAGGGGAGGGAGGGGAGGCAGGGGAGGCAATAAACGATCGGAACCATTTAATTCTTCTCCAGGAATACTAAGAGATTTTGAACTATTTTCATTAGAATTATATCATAACCTTTAACTTACTTCCTCCATTTGATTTCTAGAAGCAGTTAAGTATAAAAAAGTATTATTAAGAACAAGTTCACTTATGAGTTTTTCTTTGGAAAAACTGTTTTAATAAACTGTTCCCTGGCCTTGGTTAGATTGCTTCGAGAAAAAAACTTGATGTTACTCAGCTAAAAAATATATTTTGATTTATTACATACATATCCTTCTCAATTCTATACAAAAAAAACATATTATTTAAAAATTAGAAAAAAAATACATTTAATATCTATAAAAAATGTAAAATTCAAATGTTTGAAGGACATATTTTAATCCTAATCCTTTTAAAAAATTTAAACCGAATTGGTTTAACCGGTATTATGTTTTTTGAGTGAATCTAATGAACAGAGAAGCTGAATGTATATTAAGATTCTAATAAAAGACATTATCTCCAAGTAAACCCTTGGTTCAGGAGGGTTTGGGTTCGGGAGTAAAAGGATCAAGGTTGAGGACGGGTGGAGAGGGTTTACGGAGGGGTTGGAGACAGAACTCCGGGCTCTTGTAGGATACTGCAATAGAGAAAAGGTGAAGGACAAGGCACTGAAAGATTCTAACACACGAAGCCTTATACAGGTTGGTCCAACTTATAATCTTATTTTACTTTAAAGGGACTGTAGGCTTTATTTCAAGTGACCCTCCATGCAAAGATGGCAATTCTAGATTCACAATGGTACCGTTGAAACCTTAATCTGATCAATAATGTGGAACATATTTTAGATTTTAAGTTTTTAAGGCCGGGTACTGTTGTGAACCAGGTATTGCCTTCTTTTAAATATTGCTTATGAGTGATAATTTAGTGTAATTTAGCTGCGAGCAATTTCCTTAAAAAGAATGAGAAGAAAAAAAATTTGGGAATTTTAAAATCTAAATTGAAATTGAACATTGTGTAACCTTACCAACCATAAACATTAAACATACCCTTGGGGCATGAAAGGTCCCACGGTTTACATTGCAGAAATTAGAAATCCTAGCCTTAGAGGGCGCTTCGCGCCCATCTTCCAAATTAATTGTGAACATGTTCTCTTTGTGTGCATCGTAAAACAAAACAAAAATTATTCGCGGATTTTCACAAAAAATTTCGCGGATTTTCAAAATTTTCTAAAATTTAATGACGATCGAATTTTGATGGAGACAAGTATTTGAAATTTTGATCATTCATAAACCTTCCCTGGGGTCCCTAGATGTCCCACAAAAAATTTGGGCCCGATCGGTTCAGCCGTTATGACGTTTATTGGATACAAACAAACAGACAAACAAACAAACAGACAGACAAGCCAAATTTATATATAGACTAGAAATTCAAGGCGCTTCGCGCCCTTCTTTCTAGCCTGAGAGGGCGCTTCGCTCCCATCTTCTAAATTAATTGTGAACATGTTCTCTTTGTGTACATCGTAAAACAAAACAAAAACAATTCGTGGATTTTCAAAATTTTCAAAAATCTAATGAAGATCGAATTTTGATGGAGACAAATATTTAAAATTTCAATCATTCATCAACCTTCCCTGGGGTCCCTAGATGCCCCACAAAAAATTTGGACCCGATCGGTTCAGCAGTTTTGACGTTTATTGGGTACAAACAGACAGACAAGCCAAATTTATATATAGAAGAAGAAGGTTGAGATTGACATCTATGCATCTATGCATAGATGCATAGATGCATAGATGCATTGATGCATTGATGCATTGATGCATTGATGCATTGATGCATTGATGCATTGATGCATTGATGCATTGATGCATTGATGCATTGATGCATTGATGCACTGATGCATCGATGCATTGATTTATCGATTCATCGTTTCATTGTTTCATCAATTCATTGATCTCTGTATAGGAGTTGGGAGAGAAGGTAGAGAAGGAACAGCTGAGCTTGAAAGTTGTGAGAACTAGGTTCAGGAATAAGGACGCATTTAATAAGGATCTCGAGACTAAGAAACTCTGTAACCAGATCTTTAAAAAACCTTTAGGGGGGCATTTATTTATTTATTTATTTATTTATTTATTCATTTATTCATATATTCGTTTATTCATTTATTCATTTATTCATTTATTCATTTCTTTATTCCTTTATTCCTTTATTCCTTTATTCCTTTATTCCTTTATTCCTTTATTCTTTTATTCTTTTATTCTTATATTCCTTTATTCCTTTGTTCCTTTCTATGTTTGATTCCTTTATTCCTTTCTATGGTTGATTCCTTTGATTTGTTTTATTCATTTATTCATTTTTCATTCATTTATCCTTTAATGCCTTTATTCATTATATTCATCCATTTTTTCATTTATACATTTATTAATTTAAAACTTTAAAAAAATTGCCATCAAAGTAACAACTTTTTGAATTGCCTCAATTACAGGCAAAGACGGTTTCCTCAAAGCCCTGTTTCAGCGTTTCTGTTTGTACTTTGGTAAACCAGAACTTATACAGGTTTGAACTAGATAAATCAGAATTTGTCCCTTTTTCAATTGGAATTGGCATTTCGGAAACTCAGGATGGGGAAATAATTATTTTGTAAAAAGTGTTCATAGAGGGTCAGAACTTGGGAGTACAAATGAGGCTGTTTTACTTAAATTAATTAAAATTTATTTGCATCAGGAGGACACCAAGGATGCTGATGATGATCCCGAAGAGAAGGAGAACACCAATCCGAATGTTACTCCATACATTGAGTCCATAGAGAGCATTCAGGGGCATTCTTAATCATTCATTAATTTAATTTATTTTATTTATTTATTTATTTATTTATTTATTTATTTATTTATTTATTTATTCTTTATCATTCATTTATTCATTATTGATTATTCGTTTATTCATCTTAATTATTCAGAACAGTATTAATCATTCATTTATTCATTTAGACAATCTTAATCATTCATTTAGATAACCTTAATCATTCATATTTTCATTAAGACATTCTTTATCATTCATTTATTCATCCTTTTATTTATTCTTAATCATTCACTTATTCATTTTTAATTTTTCATCTTTTCAAGTATTCATTTATTTATTCATTTAGACATTCTAAATTTTTTATTTATTCATTCACACATTCTTAGTCATTATTTCTCTATTTTAAAATTATTATTTATTTTCTTATTTATTCAAATTAGCTACTTAGTCATTCATTTTTTTACTTTAACTTTCTTTCATTTATTTATTTATTCATTCTCTAATAATTCATTTATTTATTTATTTATTCATTCATTTTTTCATTTATTCATTCTTCACTCATTGCATTTACACTTTTTCATCACTAATTTTCCATTTTAACATTCTTTTTATTTACTTATTTATTCAAACTTTCTTATCTTTTCATTCATTCTTAATCATTTATATATTCATTTATGCATTTCAACATTCGTAATCATCCATTCATCCCATCATGGTTGCCCGTTCAATCATTCATTATACAATTTCTGTTTATCCTTCCTTTAACCTGAGAAATTAAGAATGATTGATCTAGGCTATTGTTGATGAGTTAAAACAACGGTATAGACGTTATCTTCAATGTTCTAAGAAGGTAAATATTTAACAATTGATGAAGCATATTTTTAATTTGTCAGACAATATTTTAAACTAGCTGAAGAGCCCGTCGTTGCCCGTGGAGAAAAAAAATTTGAAAAAAAATATTTGAAAAAATATTTGAAAAAATTATTGTCTATTTTTTTAACCTATAACACCCCCCGGCCACCCATGAGTGTCCACAAAAAATTTCAGCCCAATCGGTCCGACCGTTTGGCCGTCTATACGCAACATATATATATATACGCATGTCTTGTTTTATAATTTAGACTAATTTTATCAACTTTGGTTTAGAAATCTATTTTTAGGTTCAAGGTTCTTTTTTCATTATACAATAATTATTGAGATACTAAACAGATCCGGGAGCAATATCAGAAAATTATATTTAGCTGATTCTAACATTAGGGGGGTTGGAGTTGAGGAAGGAAACACTGAACCTGTCAGGTTGTCTGAATCTGACAGATGGAGGACGGAAGGAGATTCTTAGATTGTCTGGGTGTAAATATACATCATAAAATAATTTTTTTGCATTTCATATTTTATTGGTGCATCTCCTGAATAATTTTACTAAAAATTCATAGTCATTTCATTTCAGTTAGGCGATTTAATGTTTTAAAAATACAAACCAACTAATTGTTTAATACTGGAAGGGTTGCAAGAATGCTGCTAAAAATGATGATATAGACCTAATTATGTAGTGCTGGAAGGAGTGTGAGAATGCTACTAAAAATGATGATATAGACCTAATTATGTTTAGTACTGGAATGAGTGTGAGAATGCTACTAAAAATGATGATATAGACCTAATTATGTTTAGTACTGGAATGAGTGTGAGAATGCTACTAAAAATGATGATATTGACCGTCTTCACGAGTTCCTCCTGTATTCACAACCATTGCTGAAGCTTAACGTCAACACACAACGACAGGGACAATACAGAAATATCATATAATTTTTTTGGTACTCCTCAAGAGCGTTTGTTTTTCATATTTTAACTTTAAAAAAACTTTTAAAAGAGGTGGTCATTCTTAAGACATGCGTTTTTTGTTCCACTAATTACTTTCCTAGACTGTGTTTGTACTTATTTAGTACACAAATATTTTCAAGGGGTAAAGAAACCAAACATTAACCCACTTTTAATAAAAATAACAATTTTAGATTAAAAAATGGATGTGAAGCTCTACAATCATTCAACAAAAATACATTGATTGAAATCATTCTAACGTAAATCAATGAATAATTTCCCGAATTCTTTATCTTTAATTTCCCGAATTCTTTATCTTTAATTTCCCGAATTCTTTATCTTTATTTTCCGAATTTTTTATCTTTAATTTCCCGAATTCTTTATCTTTAATTTTCAGAATTCTTTATCTTTAATTTTCCGAATTCTTTATCTTTAATTTTCCGAATTCTTTATCTTTAATTTTCCGAACTCTTTATCTTTAATTTCCTGAATTCTTTATCTTTAATTTTCAGAATTCTTTATCTTTAATTTCCCGAATTCTTAATCTTTAATTTTCCGAATTTTATATCTTTAATTTTCCGAATTTCTGTTTGTTCTGCAGACGCATATTACAGCTGAGAAGGTGGAGGACCTGATTAAACACATTCTGAGTCTTTGGAATATGGAAACACTTAGATCTAAAATTGAATTGTTGTTTGGGGAGAATCTGAATAAGAAGGAGTTCCAAAAAAAGATGAGCGAAATGCTCAAGGTAATTAAAAAAAGATTGTAATGATTAACGAATGGATCGCGACTTCTTTATTGTTTTTCCTTGAATTTTAAATTCAGAAGTAAAATTATTAATAATAAGTGTTTTGTCAATTGAAATTACGCTTATATTCCCTTTAATTATTTAATAATTAAGGTTTACATTGTTTCATCCTTGATTTAGTTAAGCCACTTCGAGTTTGGAAATAAGTTTGGTTTGATTTGATTTGATTTGATTTAATTTGATTTGATTTGATTTGATTTGATTTGCTTTGATTTGATTTGATTTGATTTGATTTGATTTGATTTGATTTGGTTTGGTTTGATTTGGTTTGGTTTGGTTTGGTTTGGTTTGATTTGGTTTGGTTTGGTTTGGTTTAATTTGGTTTGGTTTAATTTGGTTTGGTTTAATTTGGTTTGATTTGATCTGATATCATTTGATCTAATTTCATTTCATTCGATTTGATTTAGTCTGGATCGTTCCCTGTCAGCTGTCAGCCTATATCTGGTCTTCTTGTATCCTTAGTTGTTCAGTTCTACCAGCAGGAAATTATTGAATCGGAGCCAGGTCGCTCAACTACCTTTTCAAAACTTGAATCACCGATTAAAAAGGATTTGATTCGAACATTAAAAATTGAACCATCGTGGCGTTAGGTAGTTCAACGACCTCTCCAATTCATTAATTTCTGTCCCAGGCTCTGCAATCCATCCCACTACATAAATCCACTCTCAAGGTTCACATGGAACTAGACGAATCCAATGCTCTTGGAGAACTCCAGGTAGTAAGAGGCATCCTATGTGATCCCAGCTGGGAACCTTTGTGTAGGATACTTATAATCCTTATTCATTGATCTCGATATCGGCAGTGGGCACTTTTGAATTTTACGCAGGATTTGCTTGATCTATTGATTTTTGTAAACTGCAATTTCTCTGTTCTCTTGTTTAAATTGTATTGAATAAAGATTAAATTAATCTGTAGATTAACAAGAGCATTTATCTTGATCGAATCCACAAATACAAATGTCTTCTTAAGAGTTTTAGCTTTCCGATGCTCCACAAAAATCCAAGAGGTTAAAAATATGCATTGGCTCCAATACTGGGTCTGGCAGAAGATATATAAGATATATAATAGGCGAAGACGACCCAATCCTCGGATAACCAATGTTTTAATAAATTCTTGAGAGCCTGCGATTTAAAAAATATGGGAAAATATGGCTCGGGTTCTAAGCTGTTGTTGGGCCTTTTTTACAGCTTGAGCTTTCGGATTTAAACTGCATCTTTTTTTCCACAGAGTTCAGTTCATAAAACCGGTTTAATATTCTATTTGGCGAATTTTCATGGAAGGAATTGGCGCATTCCGGTTTTTTTATGAGAACAAGACTCAACATAGAGCCTCATTTTCCACTAAAACCAACCAAGGTCGGTTTTATTTTCATTGAGCCCAACTCCTTAAGTCGAGCCGAAGATATTGCAGCTGTCAATCATTTGACACAAGCTGTCGTCAGAGTTGGATCGAAGATTGGGTCTTAAAGTCGGGTTTAAGGAATTACTGCTGGAGCCGAAGTTTTTAAATCGCAGACTCCGGGCCTAGATGTATATTACTGTGTCCGTAGCAAGAATCTGCAGAGAAACCAAAATTATAAGAGAAAACCGTGAATATCTCATTCATTTTTGATTTGTCAAAGCTTTATGGGTTCTGTTGTCAATTTTAAAAATGGAAGCTTACTTGAAATAACGTCTCCAGTTGGTTTAATCACAGACAAAAATATCTAAATCTCGTAACTTAAGGAGTACCTGTTCCACGTACATCTGGAGGAGGCTGTACAGCTCCAAGCAGAAGACGACCTCCGTGGATTCCAACTCCAGTATGTTGATATCTCCAGGGTGTCATCAAGGATTCACTCCACCGTAAACTTCCTGCTGGACTGTGGATTCAACCTGTACACCGCTATAGAACAGTATATTAAGGGAACTCTTAGTGAGTGGTTGAACCAGAGAATCAAGGCAAGGGTTTACATTTTCATCAAAAAACTCTTTTTTTCCTCTTTATTTTTTTTTAACAAATGAATTGAATTTTCCTAACAAACTCTGATTTTCTATTCCCTATATCATTGCAACCCAATTTCCTAGACCTCAGATATTGCAAACTATGACTTTTAGTAGATCTAAAAATCTTAAGTTTTTACGATCAGGTTTCCAAGATATAGGGATTAGACAATTTGAGCTTGTGACAAAGACTTAATTCTCTTTTTCGCTGACTTAAAGGAAAATTTAAAATGTTGGGTCAAAAGTATCGAATTATCTTCCCCCTGAAATCTTTGATAAATCTAAAATCTACTCCCACCAGGCCATGGGGGTTGGTGGAAGGGGGGTTTCTTGAATTGATTAACTCTTTAATATAGGGACAGGCGATGAAGAAGCTAAGCCCGGCTGAAAGCAGTCTTCTTGTCAGACTTTGCCATGATTTCATCGATACTAAGGTAATATATTTTTATTTTTTAGACTCGAAAGAGACGTAATTTTAATGTAATGTAATGGTTTGTCCCAAGGTCATAATACAAGGAAAGTTAATTGCAATTGCGTATATTCTGCGTACATATTGAAACCAGTTCTCTCAGGTCGGAATGTGTAAACAAGAATAGATGTATCAGTGTTCGCGAGGAGGTTAAAAGTATTAAATTTTGATAATTTTGATAATTCACATAATAGTTTTTTATGACCAGAATATTTCATTGATTTTTATGTGAAAGATGGATCCCATGTCAGGCTTCGATATCCGTCTTGTGTTTACATTACCGCCCAGAGACAGTACACTGCAGTACAAAAGATGCGTACACCTCTGAAATAACTTTCCTTGCATTATAACCTTGGTTTGTCTGAATCACAACAGAATACTTAAAACCTAGATACGTGATATTTATCAACTTCTTATTGGTTAAGTCTCCAAAAGCTCTGTTGAAAATATCTGCAAGACTGAATTTTTGTTTGTCTAGATAAAGGTGTCGCGGCCCCCCAGTCTCCCGACCAGCAAGTACCACAGGAGGAACCTCAAGCTCGAAATTATATCCTTGATTAACACCGGGGAGTTTATCAAACCTAAATACAAGAATAAGGTCGTGGTGGAGATGGTGTTGCCCCGGACCGAACAGGAGATCCTACTCCCCCTCTCTCCGTCCTCCGGTCCTGCCGGAGTCAAGATCGAGGCTCCGGAGCTAAGTATGAGAGATGAGAACCTCAATCTGAAGAGAGAACTAGTTCCCGGAAATATTACTCTTAGGAACCATATTCATTTCCGGTTTTCAAAAAGAATTATTTATTTTTCATTTTTGCAGATTTTACTTCAGGCCGTTTTTATCTAATCCCAACCCTACTCTCTCTCTCACTAGGATTACAGGATTCTCTTTTCAATATATTTCGCCAAAAGCTTTCTTCGTCCTTACTCATTTGAAGAGTATTGAATGACTGCTTACAGATTATGTACGGAATATTAATTTCAAATAGTTAATATTGTTGAGACCCATATATGACATTACCACCGTAAAAGAATATATCTAGATTATTTCTTTACTCTTAAGAATTTCACTATTTTGCTTTTTTCCCTTATAATTAATGGACTTCTGATTTGTAAAGGTTTGTTAAAAATTGACTTCTTTTTGGTCAAGGTTTGATATCAATGGACTTTTCTTTGGTCAAAATTATTGCTGAATTGACTTCTTAATGGTCAAGGTTTGAAATTTTGAACTTCTTATTAGTTAAAGGGAGTGTTCGCGAAAAATGAAAGGGGGTATAGGCTTAATGCGATAAAAAAGCGCTTTTGATCGCCACTAATCTTACTTCTATCTGTTGCGTCTGTAAGGAGAAAACTGTTAAAAACGACTTATACTGAAGAACGTAACGTCCATACAAATTGAGAAAGTTGCAACACATGACTCGGGTCGTAAAAAAATCCATTTAATTTCAAGCAAATCAATCAGATATTACAACCTACAGTCATCGATTATTTTTCGACGCATTTCTGTATAGTTAATATTTCATAATATTTTTTATTTGTTATGCACTTAAAACGCCGAAATAGTTGGCCGCCAGGTGTCTCTGCTCTCGATGGTTTGAATGATTTCACGTGGCAGAGACACCTAGCGGAAAAAACGTCGTTTTAAGTGCATTGCATATAAACAAATAACAAATATTATGAAACATTAACTATATTTAAATGCGTCGAAAAATAATCGATGTCGAAAGATTTTAATATTTCAATGATCTGTTTGATATTAAATTGATTTGTTTACGATCCGAGTTGAATGTTGCATCTTTCTGAATTTGTAAGGACACTACCTTCTTCGGTATTAGTCGTTTTTAACAATTTTCTCCTTATAGACGCAACAGCTAGAAGTAAGATTAGTAGCGATCATAAGCGCTTTTTTATATCGCATTAAGCCTATACCCCCTTTCATTTTTCGCGAACACTCCCTTTAAGGTTTGAAATTAATGGACTTTTTATTGGTCAAGGTGTAAAATTTATGGACTTCTTATTGGTTAAGGTTTGAAGTTAATTGACTTCTGATTGGTCAAGGTTTGAAATTAATGGACTTTCGATTGGTCAAGGTTTGAAATTAGTGGACTTTTGATTGGTCAAGGTTTAAAATTAATGGACTTCTTATTGGTTAAGGCTTGATATGTAAAAATTATAAGCTGAATTGACTGCTTATGGTCAAGGTTTTAAATTAATAGACTTTTTTTTTGTCATGGTTTTAAATTAATGAATTTCTTATTGGTCAAGGTTTGAAATTAAAGGACATTTTATTGGTCACGGTTTTAAATTAATGAACTTCTTACTGTTTAAGGCTTGATATCAATGGATTTTTCTTTGGTCAAAATTATTAGTGAATGGAATTCTTATTTGTCAAGGTTTGAAATTAATAGACTTTTTTTTGGTCAAGGTTTGAAATTAATGAATTTCTGATTGGTCAAGGTTTGAAATTAATGGACTTCTTATTGGTTAAGACTTGATATCAATGGACTTTTCTTTGATAAAAATTATTGCTGAATTGACTTCTTATGGTCAAGGTCTTATGGTCAAGGTTTTAAATTAAGGAACTTTTTATTGGTCAAGGTTTAAAATTAATGGACTTCTTATTGGTTAAGGCTTGATATCAATGGACTTTTCTTTGGTCAAAATTGATATTGAATGGATATTGGTACAGATTCTGAAGTATTCCACCGAACGAAATGATGGTTGATTTGATTTTATTATTATTATTATTATTATTATTATTATTAAGTAGAACCTTGAAAAGAATATTGTGATATTATTACAGTAAAGTTGTGATAATTCCTCCACAATCAGAGAAATCCTTCTACGCTGCTGTAACAGGTCTAGAGATGGGCATCGTCTTTTTGTGAACAAACAAAATTTTCTTGAACGATTTTGTCGTTCAGGGAAAAACATACTATGGACGAACGACTAGGATCGTTTAAAGAATTGAAAAAATTATTTAAAATTGTTCGAACGATCATTTTTTTTAAAGCACGGTTTTACTGAGCGATTTTGAGAAGGAACGAAATAAACTTTTTTTTGAACGATTGAAAACAAAACGAACGAAATGGGTCGTTCGTGACCAAGAAACGAACAAAATGAAAAAAAATGAATTCGCCCATCTTTAATAATAGGTCTGCCCTGTCTGAAACCCCAGAGTGAGCTTTGTATCAGTATATCGAAGGAAACTGCCAAACTCGGTAAGACGATCTAAATAGGTTGACAAAAATCCGCTTTTAGCGCCATTTTTTTAGTCGACCAGATATAATCTTTCTTTGTTGAGCTATTTATAAACAGAACGTAAAGAACAAAATGTTCGAAATTTCGAAATTTTCGTAAAGTTATCTAATATTTTTTTAACAGTGTAGTTGCATCTTCAAAGATGAGAATCAGAATTATAATTCTAAAATTTTCAAAGGTTTTAATTCAAATTGCTATTATTTTAATCTATATCAAAGTATGTTGAAAATCCTGAAAAATAAGTCAAGGGTGTTCATAGGATTTTGTGGTCTGGTTTAATGTGTGAACAAAGTTTACTCAGATTAAAACATGCAGTGAATCAATGAATTCTAAGGATTCCAAGTGACCCTCCATGCATACACATGGTAATGCCGATTTTCAACGGTACCCTAAAACCATTTTCTGATCAAGTAGGAATTTTGTAAACTGATTAATTTCAATCGTGGCTTCTGTACAAAGGTGACTTGCGCATTTCGACTGCATGAAAACTAATAGAATTTATCAGAATTAATCACTTGTCAAAACAAGAAAAACGATAGTTTCTTCAACATGATTGATCAGATAAAGGTTTCAAGGGTATTGTTGTGAATCGGGCATTGTCGTCTATTCATGGAGGGTTACTTGAAATTGCACTTTCAGTCCCTTAGACTAAAAAAACTAAGCGATTTAAAAACTTAATTTAAACTGTAATTTCCCAAAACTTATATCTTTGCCACCTGATGGTGTAAACTTTGAGTTTTAGTTTTTTTTTATTTGACCAAAAAATAATATATTTTAGGCCTGAGTTTGCGCGAACAGTTTTCTCCTCTTGAATCTGATTTAACAGTTCTGATAAAAGTTGGGAACCCTGATCCAGCCCGGGTTGTACAGCTAGATCTGGGAAGTGTGGTTGCTCTAGCGCGGGCCCGGAATCCTGCTGATGTAGAGAGTGACAGCCCGGGCTTTTGTTTAGAATTTATCAGATACTACTTCCTAACAGAGGGACTCAAGGATATCAACCTAAAGGGAAGCTTCTTCTGTTTTGGTCCAAATAATGATATTAAGATAGACAAAGATAGAAGAACAAATTTCCGGATCTCCGGTACTCCATACTCATGCGGGGTACAAGATTATTACACAGTGGAAGCTGTTCTGTATTTCCTTCACCAAGTAGAGAACTTGGATTATCCTTACAACAACTACCTCCGCCTAGTACTGGGCAATGGAACACAGCTGGTTAGAGAGAAGGATTATGTTCCCATGTTTAAATATCTTCATGGAGAAATAGGAATATGTCCGGAGATAGACAAAGATTTCTCGGAGCAGCAGAACAAACAGCTCAGCTATTTGTTTCTCAAGTCCATGACAATGGACAGTGGTCTCCAGTTGGGCAATATCAGATCTCAGTTCAAGGAGGAATACAAGGAGGAGGAGAAACCTTATATAGAGGTGACAGCTTTGATAGAACCTGGAGATAATCCTAACCGTACCGTGGTTGCCAAACTCAAGGAGATTCTCCTTCATGATTGGGGCATAAAGTTACCACAGGTAAGGGTGATCAATACTTACAATTCCCTGGGGTGTATGTTTTCTCGAAAAATCACCCCAACCCCCCCAACCCCACCTTTTAAAAATCGTTTTCCCACTTAGAAGTTATATATGCTTAAAGAAAATAAATGATTTAATGATTTAAAATCAGTTTTTAAATAAGAAGTGTCTAAAAGTATGAAGAAAAACTTGGCCTTTGACGCCCAATTTTTCAGTTTTTCCTTTCCAAAATTATCAAAAATTGTCCTGAAAGCTATACAACTATAAATTCCACGTCCCCCTTTACGTTTTTACGACCGAGTTTTGGAATTTTAGACAACATTCAGAACGACAACTTTTTCGTAATTTGAATTTCCAACCGGACACCGGTTTTTTTTACTAAATAAGGTCATATAATTCACCAATGCAACCGAAATGTTTCAAAAGATCCAAAATGAAAATTATGAAATCCGTAAGATCCGTTAATAATTGAATAAATTAAATAGAAAAATGATTTTTGGTGCCAAAAACTGGTGCAAAATCCCTAAAAGAGCTAAATAGCAAACAATTATTTTTATTTTTGACTTTTTTAAAAAATTTAAAATTAAACAGATCCGGGAGTAATATCAGAGAATTATATTTATCTCTTTCTAACATTACGGGGGTTGAAGTTGAGGAAGGATTAAACTCTCTTCCAAACCTAGAAACACTAAACCTGTTTAATTGTAAGAATCTGACAGTTGTACACAAGCGCTGAGAGTACACTTACAGTGTACACTGTAACCTTGAGTCTCCCTGCACTCAATCTTCAGCTATCTTCAGCTACCTCATCCTTGACCTGACAAAGGTTTAAAGGGTCCGGACATGCCTCTCTATAAATGGAAGGTCACTTGATATTATGCTAACAGTCCCTTTTACCTCAGGCTCGAGAGAAGATAGAGTTAATGATGTCCACCCTGAAGGATGAGCTGGGGTTGAGTCTCAGCAGGATCAGGGTAGAGTACTTCGGGGTTCCCAAGCATAGAGACATCTTCCAGCAGATACTTGCAGACAAGGTAAATGGGGGGGGTTAATTTAATAATTTAATAATTTAATAATTTAATAATTTAATAATTTAATAATTTAATAATTTAATAATTTAATACTTTAATTTAATAGAACAATAAGTCGTACTTGTTAATTGAATTGTTAAACCATTATAGTAATATTTGGCAAATGGACAAAAGCCTAAAATTCAAGTCAATAATAACAAAAGCTTGATTAGATGAATGAAACTCTGGACAAATCAAAACAAAGCAGTTTTTCTCCAACCTTAGTTAGAACTAGCGTGGGAACCCAGCTTTGTCTGCAAACTAAACTTTCTCTATTAAAGTCAACCAGCTAAATTTTGAATTTTTATACCAAGCTTAGCACATTCTTGTCGGTCTACCGTTTTCCCCAATTAAAATTTGAGGCAAATCGGTCTAAGGTTTCACGAGTTATAATCGGACATTCAAATAGTAAACTTTATAGATAAAGTATAAACAATAATTTTAAAAAGTGTTTTTCTATTTTCTGTAAATGACATGAGGAAATATAACCGAACAGTCCTCGTCGTAAATATCAATAAAGAGTTCAATTTTGAGTTCTATCAAGCTTTTAAACAGTAAAAATATTGAATTTACCTAAACATGGAACCATAGATAATCTCCAGAGGCGTATTCAGGGGGGGGCTATGAGGGCTAAGCCCCCCCCCCTGGCCCAGAGAAATCTATTGACTTTAGGGGGTTTTCAGGCCTCAACGGGTGCTGAGCCCCCGCCTGGAAAGAGAAAAAAAATGTAAGCCCCCCCTGGACAAATTCCTGAATACGCCCCTGAAATCTCCCATTTAACAGCTTCTTTTGTTTACTAGTAAACTTGTAATTTGAAAAAAAGCTTTAATAGAAAAGTCGTCTTCATTGTTCCTATTCAGCTATGCGAGAAGCTACGTGAACAAGATATTGGAAGTGAGAGAAACCTTAAGGAGACGATGGATCTCACAATTCAAGGATTTAAATATAAAAGTAAGTTTTCTAATTGTATTTTAACAACTGGGAATAAAGAACTATGAGGTTCTCCTAAAGTGGCAGAGATCACTTCTGACCATTATTAATACTTTACGTGTAACTTAAAGTGATCCCCTTCATGGGAAAATGGCATTGCTAGATTTATACGGTGCCCTTTAAAAGCTTTGTCTGATCAAGTATTTTTATTTCAGTTAAAGGTTGTGGGCGTTAGTACGATAAATATAAGTATATAAATAGTACGATAAATATAAGTAGACCTGAGCTGAAAACTATAGAATGGTGGATATTGAGATTAATGCTTGATCCTCTCTTTTCCTTAATATCGAGACTAAACTAATCTTGTACTTGTATCCTGAAAAGTTTATAAAATTCAACCAATCAGAGTCACATATATGAAGCCGACAAATTTGAAATTTTGCGCGCCATTCAAGATTATATACAAAAACGGGCTGGACTCTCTAAATTTAAAAAAAAACGGTTTTGGATTTTTCTCTACTACATCCAAGAAATAGCTGTTAAAGAAGAAAATCGAAAGTGTGTCCATTGGATCCTCAGATTAAGTAATTGGGAATAAGGATATCAGGGTTTGTTTTAAACTTCGATTTTTGGCATATTTAGATCTGAGAGATAGATAGATATTTTGCCACTAATATGTAAACAAAAAACAAGAAAGAAAACAATGGAAACCCTGGAAAAATAACTTGTTTTTAAGAATACGTACACAAACATCCCTAATTTTTTTAAAAATTGCACAGTTTTGCACAGCTTGTCTGCTGTACTCAGTACTACACGAAACCTCTATCAATATCTACTCTGTGGTAGTATCCCATATATCCAATAGCCGTGTAATGTCAAAGAACATGAAAATAATGCAAAATCAAATTAAAAGTTTAAACATTTGTAAACGGGTTTTTACTGTTTATTTATGATAATCCTGATCCATTTGCCATCTTAAAACGAAAAGATACTGGTATCTTAAAGATACCAGTATCTTTAAGCTGGTTAGTTGTCTTGGTTTCTATTGAATAATCCTATATCTAGATATTCCTACCAGTGTCCTAGTATTCTCTGAGATAATCCTATATATTTAGATAATCCTTTATTTAGATATTCCTACCAGTGTCCTATTATTCTCTGAGATAATCCTATATATTTAGATAATTCTTTATTTAGATATTCCTACCAGTGTCCTAGTATTCTCTGAGATAATCCTATATATTTAGATAATCCTTTATTTAGATATTCCTACCAGTGTCCTAGTATTCTCTGAGATAATCCTATATATTTAGATAATCCTATATTCAGATAATCCTACCAGTGTTCTGGAACTCTCTAGTTTCCTTGTATTCGCTGAGATAATCCTGCCTGATCTACCTGTCGGAGATGACCGGCTTGAGGTTCTGAATGGAATACAGAGTCTAAAACAGCTCACTTCAGACAAGTAAATTATTTGTAACACTGTTTGTTTTTACTGATTCTATTCATATTTTTTCAACTTCTTGGATTCAACTATCGTAATCTAAGCGTAATTAGGGAGGGGGCTTTGCACCGTCCCCCCACCCTGGATCATTCAAATTCATGGTTTTCCGTTTATTTAAGCAACCCCTCCCCCTGGTGGACAAATTTCTAAATACTCCCGTGACTGCAGTGACGCTACTATTTGTTGAGATTTTTTTGTTTCCTAAATATACTTTTAAGTATGTGAGTTCAGTGATGACTGAAAGGGTTTTTTTGAAGCTTTATCTATATATAAATTTTTCTGTCTGTTTGTCTGTCTGTCTGTTTGTTTGTATCCAATAAACGTCAAAACGACTGAACCGATCGGGCCCAAATTTTTTGTGGAACAACACGTGACCACAGAGAAGGTTTATGAATGATAAAAAGTTTTAAAAAATGTGTTTTAAAGGTTTTTAATTTTGTAAAAAAAACATTTAAATTCCTGAAAATCCGCAAATTTTCTTTTTTTTAAATCCGCAAAAATTTATTCTTCTTTGTTTTAAAATGTAAACAAAGAGAACATGTTCACAAGTCAAATAGAAAAGCCTAGTTTTCTTAAATTTTGCATGGTGGTATAAATACATTTGACCTTTTAATCAAGAGTAATATGGGATTTCCAAGGCTTCTCTAATGTCTCTTATTACATATTCAATAAACACAAATTAGTATTTTTTCTTGTAAAGCTACTTAGCTTTTACAAAGTAAAAAAAGAGTACATTTACCTTACATTCGGAAGGCCAGACTGAAAAACCAGGAATGGGGACGACTTGAAACTCCAATCCACTACTGGAGTCCTATGCCATCCCTGCAACTTATGATTTGTTCTGATTTGATTTACCACAAATTAAAAATTATAATCCCTATATCTTTGCAAGACGATGGTGTAGACCTGTGATATTTCAAACTTAGATTATTTAATCTAACAGAAACCAAAGCATGAAATATCAAAGGTCTACTACATTCTGTTAAAAAGATATAAAGATTACAAAATTAGAGTTCTTGTCAAAACACTGCATTTTGATGTATTTTGTTTCAACTTTCGGCAGCTCCAACTCTTTAAATGCATACTTTCTCACAAAAGATGGTGGCCAAAATGTACGGATTGTACGGATTGATTTTTTTTAACCCTAAAATTGTACGGATTGTACGGATTTGTTTTCAAATTGTACGGATTGTACGGATTTTTATCCTGGAAAATACACCGGTTTTTTAATCGGAGTCATCCCCTGCCCCCTCTCCAAATCAGCTGATCCCTCGGAGTCAACCCCTCCCCCCGCTCCCTCTCTAGTCGGCATCCCCAAGTAGTGTATCTCTGTATTCATATACTTCCATATTACCCATGTATCCAGTATTCAGTATCATGCACCTAGTATCATGTACCCAGTATTTAGTTTGTATATATGTATGAAACCAATTTTTTACAGATTGATTCTTGCTGAAGAAGTTTAAACCCTCTTACATGAACTGAACACAAAAGACAATGAATGAAAAATTGAATTTTAATGTGTTTTTTTATCAAAAATGGGATTTTTTTCGAAAATTGTGCTGATTGTACAGATTTTTAAAAAAAATGTACGGATCTTTAAAAAAATGTACGGATTGGTTTAAAAAAATGAACGGATTGTACGGATTTTAAAAAAAAAAATTGTACGGATTGTACGGATTGTTTTTCGAAAATTGTACGGATTGTACGGATTTCTTCTGAAAATGTACGGATTTTTGTACGGATGGGTTCAAAAAAGTTTTGGCCACCCTGGACTTAACATAATTTATTTAGTCATTTTCCTACATTTTTGTTACTGCAACTGCTACAGGTTTCTTTTTGTAAGGCAGAAACTTTAAGGTCGTTATATCATAGGAATGTGTACTGCATTTGGGGTGTTAAAAGATGTGAATATCAGGAATCAATATAAGAGATAAATTATATTGTACAGAAAAATAAACACTCACTTGCATTATACGTTCTGCAGTATGGAATTTTTTGTACAGCTTGACATCATACTTCCAATTGTTAAAATAACGACGTGGTTAATTTCTACTCCTAACATCAATCAATCATCATTTGGGATCGTTGTGTATGGAGTTATATGGACCCCTGATCTGACGCATGTTACTGTTCAGTGAACCTGTGTGTCTCACAGAGGAGGAGGAGGGTATCTTCAAGAAGATTCGGGATTTGATTCCAAGGTTAGAATCATTCAAAGTTAATTGTTTTCAATCAGTTCCACAATATTTCACTCCCTTTTCATGAAATTTTAAAATAAGTTTTCATGAAGGAGATCAAACTATTTTTAATCACGCAAATATGAAGAAACTGGTGGAAAATAAGATCACATTTATTTAAGATTGTGAGAAAAAATTTATTTAATTTTTCTGAAAATTAAAAAAGTTTTATATAAAATATTGTAAGATTGTAATATTGTAAATATATTTAGATTTAATGGTTGTAAACCGGCCACAGCTAGTGGAGAGATAATTGTTTACGTTGGTGTTCACAATGATACACTCTGTAACCTTGTTGTACAACATCAGGAGGTCAGTACACTCTACACAGTACAATACGTTATTATGTTGGTGTTCACAATAATATACTCTGTAACCTTGTTGTACAACATCAGGAGGTCAGTACACTCTACACAGTACAATATGTTATTATGTTGGTGTTCACAATGATACACTCTGTAACCTTGTTGTACAACATCAGGAGGTCAGAACACAGTAAATTATTTGTTTATGTTTGTGTACACAATAATACACTCTGTATCTTGTTGTACAATATCAGGAGGCCAGTACAGAGTACAATATGTTGTTTATGTTAGTGTACACAATAATACACTGTATTCTTATTATACAACATAAGGAGTTCAGTACAGAGTACAATATGTTGTTTATGTTGGTATACACAATAATACACTCTGTAACCTTATTGTAAAACATCAGGAGGTTAGAACACAGTATAATATTTGTTTATGTTAGTGTACACAACAATACACACTGTAATCTTGTTGTACAACATCAGGAGGTTAGAACACAGTACAATATTTGTTTATGTTTGTGTACACAATAATACACTCTGTAACCTTGTTGTACAACATCAGGAGGTTAGAACACACTACAATATTTGTTTATGTTTGTGTACACAATAATACAATCTGTAACCTTGTTGTACAACATCAGGAGGTTAGAACACACCTACAATATTTGTTTATGTTTGTGTACATAATAATGCACTCTGTAACCTGGTTGTTCAGCATCAGGAGGCTAGTACACAGTACGATTTTTGTTTTTGTAGGTTTACTCAAAAGATCACTTTGTAACCTTGTTGAACCAGCTCATAAAAAAAACATTTTTTAATGTAAAAGTTCAAAGATTAAAACTAGTTACTCTTTCATAAGGACTAATGAATGATGTAAAAAAAAGCATCAAAAAATATTTTCTATTTGAAGCAGTTCAATTTTTTTTGCAATAATGAATAATATTGCAGGTTGAAAATATGACCTGCCCCACCTTGATCGGAGTAAACAGTCGAGTTTTGTCTCCTGGGGAGCAAAGATTGCCCCTGGACGAGAAATATATCCTTAGTGTACTCTGGGGAGTAACAAGCAATAAGATTAATCTATTCAGGGAGCATTTTACTCTCAAGGTAAGCGTTTTGGTTTTAAAGGAAGTGTACAGTGTACAAGTATTTTTCAGTGTTTGGATTTGCAACGTAAACCCTTAAATCTTATTTGATAATAATATGAGGAAGATATCGTCGTTATCATAAAATGGATATTTTTTATTGATTTTTCTTTCTGGTTTTTATTTGTTGTATTTTAACTTCATAGGATTTCAGATTTGAATTTCTTAAATATGATTTGATTTGATGTGATTTTGATTTTGATGTGATTTTGATTTTGATGTGATTTTGATTTTGATTTCGATTTAGATTTAGATTTAGATTTAGATTTAGATTTAGATTTAGATTTAGATTTAGATTTAGATTTAGATTTAGATTTAGATTTAGATTTAGATTTTGATTTGGTCTGGCCGGTCTGGTCTGGTCTGGTCTGATTTGATCTGATTTGATCTGATTTGATCTGATTTGTCTAGGTGTCGAGTCCCACCTTGGTCCTCATGCTGACGGAGGAGGACGAGATGACGAAGACAAGGTTCACGGATATCCAGGAGTTCATGTTCAACACTGAGTTCGTCAAGAAGCAAGGTTAGAAGGAGTTCATCAAACCTAATAATCTGCTGTACAAAGGGTTTGTCCATTAGGACCGGCTAGACATGGTAGTTGACCTGAAAGTGCAGTATTGTAGGGAATAACTTTAGGATTTATGAAATAATACAATAAACGATTTTACGCTTTTATTTAAAAATTGTAAACCCTAAAAATTTCTCATTTGTATCAATTGAATCTTAAAGTTTTTCTCTACAATACTGCACTTTCAGCTTATATACCATGTCTAGCAAGTCAGTACCTTTAAAGAGGGCTTGTAGACATTTTTCCAAATAAACCTCCCCCCTCCCTCCCTTTGTGGAGAAGCAGATCCAATTCACAACGGTACCCTTAAAAGATTTGTCCGTTGTTGTTGGAGCCTTCATAAGTTTACAGTATTTAACACCTTGAAAGGCCTGAAAAGAGGAACCTTTTAATTAACCATCATTCACTAGCTGTAATCCTGCTTTAACCCGGTTATAGGGATTTGAATTTTGTTCAAATTATTCTGAGGAAATATCTAAAAAATTTGGACGCAAATTTTTTAATTTTGAGCATCTATAAACCTTCCCAGGGGTCATGTGAGGTCCCACACAAAATGTTGGTCCGATCGGTTAAGCTGTTCTGGCCTTTATTGGATATAAACGGACAGACTGACGGACTAACAAAGTATATATAGACAAGGCTTTTAGGGTGCTTCGCGCCCATCTTCTATTTCAACTTTTAATTGTGGCTTTATCTGCGAGCATCTTCTCTTTGTACAAATGTACTGTATTAAAAAAATTTCAAGTTTGCGGATTTAATAATATGTTTTCGCGCATTTTCTAAATTCTACAAAAATAAAAATCTTTTAACACAATTTTTTAACATTTTTTCATTCATAAACCTTCACGCGAGATCCCACAAAAAATTTGGGCCCGATCAGTTCAGCCGTTTTGACGTTTATTGGATACAAACAAACAAACAAACAGACACCAAGACAAGCCAAATTTATATATAGATAAAATCTTTTCTTGTCCAGGGAGAGCCGAATAACATTAAACAACAAGAAGAAAAAAAATAATTTTATCTTATTATTCTCGTAACCTTACTCAGACAGAACATTGCCGAGATTTTTATTTAGTCTCCTCCTTTTCCATTTTCCCCCCAATTATTAGTTACTAGAGTTAAAGAACTCCAGGTACTCTAACTAGTTATTGCCTAATAAGTAGATTACCCCTGGGGACCCATGAGCTTCCTCAAAGAAATTCAGCTCATTTGGTCCAGCCGTTTGGCAAGCTATAGCTGACATATATATATGTGTGTATACGAGCGAAGAGCTTTATTATATAGATTAATTATTAGACAACCCGGCCTATGCCCTGGGCTCGGTGAACTGTGATGAAGCTGAGCTGAAACCTGTTGATACAGTTGGACTCATTCATTCCCTTCTCCTGGACATGCTCAACATCATGAAGCTCAACGCCAAGTCCAGGAACAAGTGGCTCAGGATACAGGTAGATTCTGATTTGGGACTACAGAAGAGTTAAACCAGCCTTAGGTGGTGTAACTAAAATCTCCGAAATAGGAAGACGACTTTTAGATCCAAGTTATGACTTTTAATACCCTAGGGAGCATGAGACACAGTCATTTTTCAGAGTGAACAGACCCATTTTACTTATTCATCGATCTAATAAGTGTCCAGTTAAACTATTTGCTTTTTAACAATTCAAAGTCGTCTTCCTATTCAGATTTTCTGATTTTGTACAATGTACATGTCCGTTGTTTATTCAGATTTTCTGGTTTTGTACAATGATTATGTCCGTTGTTTATTCAGATTTTCTGGTTTTGTACAATACATGTCCGTTGTTTATTCAGATTTTCTGGTTTTGTACAATGTATATGTCCGTTGTTTATTCAGATTTTCTGGTTTTGTACAATGTCTATGTCCGTTGTTTATTCAGATTTTCTGGATTTTTACAATGTACATGTCCGTTGTTTATTCAGATTTTCTGGTTTTGTACAATGTACATGTCCGTTGTTTATTCAGATTTTCTGGTTTTGTACAATGTATATGTCCGTTGTTTATTCAGATTTTCTGGTTTTGTACAATGTATATGTCCGTTGTTTAATCAGATTTTCTGGTTTTGTACAATGTATATGTCCGTTGTTTATTTAAATTTCGACCTCAGCAATTCTTAAAACAATGAAAAATGTTTGTTTTCATGATTTTAAAGTGAGAATAATTGGCTTGTAGGTCGCTAATGTCATGGTTTAATTTGAACGGCTGTCTATAAACTTCTAATTTGACTCAAAAAGATCAGATTTTTTACTTTTCATTATCACCTTTTTTGAAATTAAGGAAACAAATATTTTATGTCTAGATTTGGTTTTGTTTGACCTGGGTTGGTTTGGTTTGGTTCGATTCGATTTGATTTGATTTGATTCGATTTGATTCGATTTGATTCGAGTTGATTCGATTTGGTTCAATTTGGTTCAATTTGGTTCAATTTGGTTCGATTAGATTCGATTTGATTCGATTTGGTTCGATTTGATTCGATTTGGTTCGATTTGATTCGATTTGATCGATTTGGTTCGATTTGGTTCGATTTGGTTCGATTAGATTCGATTTGATTTGATTTGGTTCGATTTGATTCGATTTGATTCAATCTGATTTGATTTGATTTGATTCGATTCGATTTGGTTCAATATGGTTCGATTTGGTTCGATTGATTCAATTTGATTCGATTTGATTCGTTTTGGTCTGATTTGATCTGATCTGATCTAGATGAGTAAAGAGAAGAGGGAGCTACAAGCTAAAGTATCTCAGGCCCAAGAAGGATCAGGTCTGGAGTATCTGGACGAACTGGAACCTAAAAAATCAGGGTAACTAAAAATAATACTCGACCAGGATATAAACTAAATAATATAATATGGGAGATTTTACACTAAGTTTTTGATGAGCCAGCTGCCAGCCATGATAAGCTAGCAAGTGCCGAACATAGCAGTGTTGTTTGGGATGTGTATTGTTTAGTTTAATCCAATCCTGTCCAGTGTCCATTTTATGACTTAGTCCAAGTTACTATACTACAGTATACACTAGTATTATTTTTTTTTTTTTACTTGACAAGTTAAGTTACATATAAGATATAGAGAATATGTTCATTGGAGGACTTCTTAAAATCATAAATAAGTAATCTTCTTATTCCACAGTTTATGAATTCTACTGTAAGATGTTCCCAAACGTCTGATTTCATTACAGAAAACTCAGGAATAGGAAGTAGACTTTTAGACTCAAGTTATGACTTTAAATAGTCCAATGAACATTGACACCGTAATTGTGCAGTGTAAACAGACCCAATTCACTTAACAATTAATTTAATGACTTACTAGTAAAGCTATTTGCTTTGTAACAACATCAAATGTACTTCAGTACTGCTTTAATGTCGTCGTCCTAGTCTACAGTATTGTTATTTTAGGTTGCACATCACTAGTTTGCAATATTCAGCAGTAACTGGTCCTGACTTTATTGCTGCCACATCATCAACTGATCAGGTGCTTTTTTCAGAACAAAAACAATCAATAATAAAAAGCAATATTAATAACAAAAACTATGCCAATACAATATATGAATAACAATAATATCAATAACACAAACAATGACAACAATAAAAGCAATATCAATACCAATGACAAAAATAATATTAATAACGATATAAATATCAATTTCAATTTTAATACCAATTACAGTGAATAAAAAAAGAGGATTTCTATGATAAATTATCAAAACAATAATAAAGATTTAACAATTTTTTACATTAAAAAATAGAATAAAAAACATTAATTTGATCCAATTCCAGGGAGATGTTGAGACCATGGAACAATCTTTACCAATGTTTCCCGAGGTAGGTCAATGAAGGAGTAAACAAACCAATCCTTGGAATCCATTCCGTTTTCATTCTGGATCCTGGTTCTGTTCTTTTCTATGAGAAAATGGATCCGGTTCAAAAACCAACTTTAAAAAAAATCTTTTGGAAAAAAATTTCAGAAAATATGTGAGATTTTGGTCTTTTAAAAAAAACAATATTTATTATTGATACTATCCGAAGTGCCGGGCGTTGCCCTTGAAATTTTAAAAAAAGGGTAAAATAAATTTTGAATTTAAAAAAAATTTCAGCCTATGTCCCCTTCTGGGTACCTGGCTATAGCTGACATATATAAAGGAGCGAAATCAAAAGTATTTATCAAAATAGTTTTTTCAAAAAACTTAAATTTTTAGGAAAGCTACCAACCCCTTTTTGAGAGTTTCTTCACCTGGTTGCAGAGGAACAAAGGATTTGAGGCCTATACAGCAGAACAGATTGCAACTAAGGTAGTATACCCTGATACATCTCATTTTATAATAGGGGTTACTCTTTCTTTCTTAGGACACTCAGATAACTAGGCTCTTAAAAATAAATCTGATTTTGATTTGATTTGATTTGATTTGATTTGATTTGATTTGATTTGTTCGGCAGGTGTTCACCAAGCTGCATATCTTCTCTGTGTCCTACAACAAGTTGAAGGAGGTTATGATGGATCTGAGCAGGAACGGTGTAGAGGTGGCTCAAGGAGACGCTCAGCAAGTTCTGTCCGGGTTCCTGGACTCATTTAGTCTCCCACAGTTTAATCACAGGTTTAGCAGACATATTAGCTATTAAGGGATTGGTTGTGAATTTCCATTCAGTGGAATCAAAGCTTAAGCAGAAAAGGTGTAATGCTTTGTGTAAAGAGTATCTTCTTCATGCTTTATCTTTATAGGGTTTTATGGGTACAGGTGTCAATCAAATCTGCCTATTTACAATGCTCTGTAATAGCGCCTGCAGTCACATCTGGATACAAAACGGGTTAGATAATGTGTTCAATAATGGTGACTAGAATTTGTGAATCGAACTTGGCACTTTATAAAAAGTGAGTCACTTGAAATTACGTTTAAAGACCCTTAAAATTGTAATTTTAGGGAAGATCTGATACGGCTGATAGTCGACCATTTCTTCGCTGTTCTGAAGATTAGAGCCAAGATAACACTCAACCGTACTCTACAGTCTAAAACAAAGGTAAACTAAACTGTACTTTACAGTCTAAAACAAAGGTTAACTAAACTGTACTCTACAGACTAAAACAAGGTAAACTAAACTGTACTCTACAACTGTACTCGATTTTTACAAAACTAGCTAATGTAATTAGGTCACCAATGGGCTCCCTCAATAAATGTCGGTCCACCGATTTGGTTCAGTCGTTTGGCCAGATATTACGAACATAAATATGTAGCAAACATAGAGGCCCATAGTAATATTATATTGTACATTGTTCTTAGTTAATATTGCCCATTAGTAAATAAGTAAATCTTGTATTGCGATTAACCCAATTAATATACATAGATATATATAACTCCATCATACCCATATTCTGATTGCTTAACTACGTTATATAGAACAGCGAATAATTTGTAATTATGCTGTTCTAATTTAAAACTGAAGAAATATAGCTAGATGAAATAGAGACTCCATACTGTTTACTGCATGAAAATGATCGTTCCCTGTTTTGATAAAAAAATTGAGGGTCGTGTCCTAGTTGAGACATTGATTGTTTACAAGATCGTGTTCTAGTTGAGGTACCGATAGCTCAAGATCGTGTCCTAGATGAGACATTCATAGCTTACGATATCGTGTCCTAGTTGAGGTATCGATACCTCAAGATCGTGTCCTAGATGAGACATTCATAGCTTACGATATCGTGTCCTAGTTGAGACATTGATTGTTTACAAGATCGTGTTCTAGTTGAGGTATCGATACCTCAAGATCGTGTCCTAGATGAGACATTCATAGCTTACGATATCGTGTCCTAGTTGAGACATTTATAGTTTAAGATCGTGTCCTAGTTGAGACATTCATAGCTTACGATATCGTGTCCTAGTTGAGACATTTATAGTTTAAGATCGCGTCCTTGTTGAGACATTTATAGCTTGCGATATCGTGTCCTAGTTGAGGCATTTATAGCTCAAGATCATGTCCTAGTTGAGACATTGATAGTTTACAAGATCGCGCCCAGTGGTAGTGGCGTTGATAGTTCACAGAATAGTAGCCGTGTGTATCGTGTCCTGGTTGAGACATTGATCGATTAATAACTAGTGTCATGGGTTGACATCGATAGCTAACAAGATCGCGCCCAGTGGAAGTGGCGTTGATAGTTTACGGAATAGTAGCCATGTGTTGACATTGATAGTCAAGAGAATCTGATTTGCACCTGGATAGATATGTATTCGAGAAACCGTTATGGAGTAGGGCATTTACTGCATATACATACATCTTTAAGCAAAGAGCTTTATTGTATAGAAACAAGGTCCATAAAATTATGATGTCCGACCTATGAGCATTTCATGTTTTTCGATTTGAAATTTGATTATATTCAATAGTGGTATGCGGATTTCTTCTGAGCTCTTACAGAAACAATGGAGTTCATTATCATAATTAATCACTTAACAGTAAAAAGAACAACGCTATCTTCAGCAATTTTGATAAGATATCGTATTAAAGGTACCCTATGTGAATCTTGCATGCACATATTTAAATTTTTTAAGTAAAAAAAATATTATTAAATCCGCGAACTTTTTTGTTTTTGTTTTATTTTGTACAAAGAGAAGATCCTCACAGATAGAACCAACAGTTAAAAAACAAAATGGGCGCCTTTTATCTTAAATTTGAACTAAATTTATCTCAGTGTAATTATGTAGTAAATGTAGATAATACAATATTTAGATTTGATAAACATCTCAGATTAAGACACGGTTTTATGATAGAAAACAAACATGTATTTCTCATTGTTAGTCTATTAGAGGTTTAAAGGGTACCATCGTGAATTGGACAGGCCTTGGCAACAATCTTCTTAATAATATTTTACCCGTTTTTAGGACAACCTAATTTGTCTGGAGGTTTCTGCTGAGGATGTCGAGGATGACCAAGCTCCTGCTGCTCCTCCTGCGGAGAAGGAAGAGGATGAGAGGGATGGAGACTGGTATCTAGATCTGCTTCACGAAGAGGAGGAGGGGAGGCGGATGAACTGGGGAACTAGTGCATCTCCTCTTCCATCAGATACTACTGCTCAGTCGTCCTTACCTTCACAGTTCCACTCAGGGAGTTAGTTCAATCTTAGAGATTTAATTTAATGGTCAATGTTCGAATAGTTAGACATTTTCTAGCTGTGATAGTAATGCTGCCACTTCATTGCCTAGACCTAGCTAGCCTGTGAAATCTTATATAAATCATAGCTAGAAAATGTTTAACAAATCGGATACAAGTCCATTCGAGACTGGGGTGTATTACAGTCAAAGTCTTATAAATCAATACAATGAAGACGACTTTCTATTAGAATTTCGATTTCTACCAATCTTTCAAACAGCTGAGACTCAGATATGTAAACAAAGAGAAGTTGTCAAATATCAGCTTATCAACTTGTAAAATTGTTATTCGGAAAATGCATCAAAGCATCATTAACGAAAAGTCGTCGTCATTGTATTGATATTAACGCCGACAACTGTAGGTGGATGTACCTAGAAGTTTGAAAGTATATTATCTGCGACTAAACAACCACAAATCCCCTCCATCCCTGAATTGTAGGAATACAATTTACTGTACAAGAATTTTATAACTGAATAATTTAAGATAATCAATACGTAGATTTCACCAAATAAAATCCACCCCCCCCCCCTCCCCCCCCCTCATAATAGAATACCCGGTTGCGCCTTAAACAATAATTCTAAATTTTGAATAACTAAAATACAGAGGAGAACTCTGGAACTTTAGAGGATTTTATCCCGTTCTTTGAGAAGAAGATTGCTGGTCTCAATCGGAGAAAGAGGGATTGGTTTAGATCTAGGTCCGTAGTTTTATATCTTTTATTAACGAAAAGCAATTATAATACAGGGGTTTATAGTTCCGTCCTCCTTTTTTCCCCCGATGACGCACATTTGGTTAAGATTATATGTGTTGAATTTTGGAAAATAGATAATTTCTGGGAGTAATATTACAGGAATTTTTGGGTTAAAAGATTCAAAATCTTAACTTTTGATGTCCATTTTTTCATATTTTCACATTGTATTAAAAATCATTCCCCCCCCCTTGGGCAGTTCTCGACACCCCCGACCAGTTTACAAATATTATCTGTTTCTGATCCAGGTCTATCTCTGGACTAGAGTTCAAGAACTGCTGGACTATTGCTGGTGTGGACTACAAGGTCCTAAAGTCCAACTACCTCAGCCACTCAGAGGATTTGGGACTACTGACTAGCAGGATGGAGGGACTACTTCGAGACTACAGGAGTGTACTTGTCAAGGTAAGACAAGGGAAAAATGACCAAAATATTAACGTCATTCAGGCACTGAATTATCCAGACGCTTTATTTGCAGGATGTTGATATTTCTCTCCTGATCTCCTGGTCTATCCTATACTTGGAGCAGGAGGCAGGAGTCACCAACCTTCACACGGAGAACCAGAGGAACCAGCTCCTCACCATCCAGGAGAACATCATCTCAAACCTGGAGTACAGGAACCTCAAGCAGTTCTTGGTCTTGGCCATGTGCTTGGTGCATAAGATGAGGTTGCCCAAGGCAGAGAAAACAGCTGAGGAGTGCATTCAAACATGGATTCTTCTAGGGAACATACAGTCCACATTAAATAGACATTTTGATTGTTTTAACATCTTGAATACTAATGATCAGGATCATTAGGAATCTGAGAGTCTACAGGGGTCCATGGCAGACCGCCATAGGCTCGTCTCCCACGACTCCCACTCCTGAATTTACACTCAGCTCCTAACTGGGTTAATTCATTAGAACTGAACCGGAAGGAAGCTCAAGCCTAAAATCTCAGATTGAAGGATTGACAATGATTATTATTATTATCTAACCCGGGAAACGGAGCTAGATGCAAGTTTGTTAGAAAGCAAAGATGAAATAGAAACTTTTATATCCGCTTAGCACTGTACTTTTCCTTTTATATCCGCTTAGCACTGTACTTTTCCTTATATATCCGCTTAGCGCTGTACTTTTCCTTATATATCCGCTTAGCACTGTACTTTTCCTTATATATCCGCTTAGCACTGAACTTTTCCTTATATATCCGCTTAGCACTGAACTTTTCCTTATATATCCGCTTAGCACTGAACTTTTCCTTATATATCCGCTTAGCGCTGTACTTTTCCTTATATATCCGATTAGCACTGTACTTTTCCTTATTCTGATCAGAGCATGGTTTCTTTTCAGGGAAAATTGTCCTCTTCAAATATGCTTTATATGTTCTGCCTTGAGTTTCACGAATTGATGGTTCATGGTTGAAATAATTAATTTTTTCCCTTGTTCTGAACATCTTTTATTAATTCAATTTAATTTGGTTTGGTTTGCATGTTGGACTGCATAAATTGAAATAAATTAAAAATCCATAAAGCTATCTATGTGTTCTTTTTTTTTAACAAAAAGTCTATTGGTGAAAATCCTGTGTTGTTTGAGAAGGGTTCAGAATACAAGATTTATCAGATTTATTCTCAGCTGCCGGGCAGATTCCTTCCTGCTTAAACCTCTTCTATTCCAGGTAAACATCATAAAGATTATTATTATTATTATTATTATTATTATTATTATTTGCTTCGTTATCGTTATCGTTATCGTTATCGTTATTACTATCATCATTATCATTATCCAGGATGCTGAGTCAGCTGGAAAGTATATCCTGTATTCTGTATCCTACTGTTGAAATTAAACTACTGGTTAAATATACTCTAGTTCACTACAGGTTCGTAAACCTGCAATTAAGAGGTGTTTGTTTTCTTGAGAAATCATCCCCTCCCCTCTTTGAAAATGTTTTTTCTTCCTGATGTTTTATATGTTTTATTCGCTAAAAGTAATAAAAAAAAAATTTAAAAACTTGCATTTTGATTTCCAATTTTTCTTTTTTTCCCGAAGAAAAAAAATCCCCCACTCCTTTTTTAAAAAGATATATTTTTTAATCCTAATTTAAACCAGTTAAACTCACCAGTCTAACTTTAGAAATTAAGATTGAGTCTAAGGGATTTAGACTCGAGACAAAGCTTTAAACTAAATTCTAGCTGAGATGAATGTTCCCTAACAACATATTGATAAAAAAGGGTTTCATTTGAACATAAATTAGTTACATTATTATACATTCAGAGCTGAAAACTAGAATTAGATACCCTTAATCCCAATCCATAAATCTCTTGTATCCACTGTGGACACTTTTGATTTCCTACTTAATCATTTCTTTATGGAAATCCATAATGGATTCAGATTTCAAGAGCTTTCGCGGCTTCTGATTTGCTGTTCGTTTTCTGCAATCAACACTCTGATTGGTTACATTTTAAAACTTTCCTAGATTGTAAGATTAAACTTATCTCAGGATTTTTAAAAAGGGAATTTGATATCCACCCTTACAAGGTTTAAACTCAGGTTGACTGCAAAGTAAAGACATTTTAAAACTAATACTAAATCATGGGTTCCGCTAAGAAAAATAATATTTTCTAAATAGTTTGCTCGAAGGGTTTCTGTTTTTCAACATGTTTTAATTTCAGGGTTTCCGCTAAGGTTCAAGAGGTTTTGAGGTATGGTGCTCCAGTGAGCGGAGGTCAAGAGGCCACTGATCGGTTGACATCTCTTCAGCCTCTGATTACGCCGGCTATTAACAGGTTATCATAAACAACTCTTTTATGCCAAAAAAAATTGTAATTTAGCATAATAATTCTTTAAATATTTTGTAACCAATGTTCAAATGACTTTTAAGTAGAAGTGAAATCTGTTTTTTAATCCTGTTAATAACTATTCAGATTTGCCAAGTTAATTAGAAATGAGTGTAGTGTGTAGAGTGTGTAGTGTTGAGTGCAGAATGTCAAGTGCTGAGTGTTGAGCGCTGAGTGCTGTATGATGAGCCATGAGTGCGGAGTGCTCCGTGTTCAGTGCTCAGTGTTCAGTGCTCCGTCCTCAGTGCTCAGTGTTGAGTGCGGAGTGCTTCGTGTTCAGTGCTCAGTGTTGAGTGCGAAGTGCTAAGTGTTGAGTGCTGAGCACTGAACATTAAGAGCTGAGTGTTAAGTGTTCAGTGTTCAGTGTTCAGTAATTTAAGTGTTCAGTGTTGAGCGTTGATATGAGAATTGATTTGGGTCTTGGTTTAGAGTTGATAGGAAAGTTTTGAGAGATGATTAGATGTTTTGAGTGATGATTAGATGTTTTGAGAGATCATTAGATGTTTTGAGAGATCATTAGATGTTTTGAGAGATGATTAGATGTTTTGAAAGAAGATTAGAATTTTTGAGAGATAATTAGATGTTTTCAGAGATGATTAGATGTTTTGAGAGATGATTAGATGTTTTGAGAGATGATTAGAATTTTTGACTTTTATCAATAATAATTATGTTATAGAATGGAACAGGAGTATAGAAAACCAGATTCCAAAATGGTTGGAACAATTGCTATGAAGGAACGGATCCAAATTCCCCCGGAGGATTTCAAGGTAGCCTACAAGGGCTGATGGTCGTGCAGGATCAACAGTTTTAAACTTCTGTTTTCTCATTTTCGATTCACCGTTATCTGTCTTATTACTGTCACTGTTATCTGTTTTATTACTGTCACTGTTATCTGTTTTATTACTGTCACCGTTATCTGTTTTATTACTGTCACCGTTATCTTTTTTATTACTTACTGTCACTGTTATCTGTTTTATTACTGTCACTGTTATCTGTTTTATTACTGTCACTGTTATCTGTTTTATTACGGTCACCGTTATCTGTTTTATTACTGATTTTGAAGACCCTTATTCATGAAGTAACAACCATTATTAATTTTTTATTTTGAATTAAAACTTAGGAAGTAAAAGTTAGAATGACACTTGCATTGAAAAGACCTTTACCAGATGGAACCCCTATCAGAATTACAGGTAAATAAAGTGTAAAGTACTTTTTCTTAGACACTTTCTCAGGGGGCGACTGTACAAGGGAGGCAACCTCCCCTGTATAGCTTCCGAACTTCATTTTACCTAATTGCGGCACTCGATTCTACCCCAAACATTCAGGAATGTTTTTTTATTTAAATCGTCAACTTCTACTTCTGTTTAGGCACTTCTCTATAACTATAACTTAGACACTTCCTAGGGGATATTGCGCAACAGTGCTTTTTCTTAGGCACTTTCTAAATCTTCTCAATGGACGTTACGCAAAGAGTACTTTTTCTGAGACACTTCTCTACAACGATACGCAAAAAGTACAGTTTCTTTGACACTTCTCTTTAATGATACGCAAATATTACTTTTTCTTGGGCACTTTGCCATGGGCCGATACTGAAAGAGTACTTTTTCTCAGGCACTTTCTAATTGGACGATACGAAAAGAGCACTTTTATTAGGCACTTTCTCTGTGGAAGATACGATCTTAGGCACTTCTCAAGGGACCATCGCAAAGGACGAAACGCGAAGAGTTTTTTTTCGAAGTTTCAATTTTTAGGAATTTTTGATTCAAGTTAATCCGACGAATTAAGAAATTCCCAATTTTCTAGATTAACAACTTTTTATGGTTTTTTTAGATTGACAACTTGCCATGTTTTTTTTTCTATTTTGACAACTTCCTGGGTTTGTCTTCTTGTGTCAAGTTCACAGGAGCTCCTTTAAACTGTTGTTTAAGGATGTTTCCATATAACTCTGTTTGTGTAGGGAACGAGTTTATGGAGTTGACCCATGGTAATGTGAAGGTTGAGGAACAGACCTGTAGGTTTACAGGTTTAGACCTGGATATTTGTTTATCCAACATAGATACAACCTCTTCTGTATCCTTCGGACACCCTTCCAAAAGTCTAGGTAATGTTTTTATATACAGTGGTAGGCGATTTTATCAATTCAATGAAGACGACTTTCTAATTCAATTTTTATTTCTACCAATCTTTCAAAAAGCTTGGATTCACATAAAATGATGTACTTTTAAATGAATTGTACTTCCTGTATATTGGTATTGTACTAAATGTTTTATTTGCACTATTATATGTTTTGTCCTTTTTAGATATTGGTATTGTACAAGATGCATATATTGTACTGCTAAATGTCTTGTACTCTCTATATATTGGTATTGTACTACATGTTTAAGTTGCACTGTTATATATTTTGTACTTCCTAGATGTTGGTATTGTACTACATGTTTGTATTGTACTGTAAAATGTTATGTACTTTCTAGATATTTGTATTGTACTGTTGCTGAATGTACTGTTAAATGTTTTGTACTTCCTAGATATTTGTATTGTACTGCTGGATGTACTGTTAAATGTTTTGTACTTCCTAGATATTTGTATTGCACTGTCGCTGAATGTACTTTTAAATGTTTTGTACTTCCTAGATATTCTTACTGTACTGCTGGATGTACTGTTAAATGTGTTGTACTCCATTATAGATGTTGATATTGTACTACATGCTTGTATTGCACTCGCTAGATTTTGGTATTGTGCTACATGTTTTGTACTTAAGATATTGGTATTGTACTGCTCGATGTACTCACTGAGCGTGTAAACCTGGAGAAGATGTGTACTGAGTTTGGTTTGGTTCTGGCGGAAGCAGGGTTCTCATTCTTCTCCCTTGTACATCTAGTACACGATATTGTTAAGGAAACAAACCATTTATACATTAAAACTCACTACCCCTGTAACCATCTGACGACGACGTAGTGTTTGGTTGGACCGACGTCCTTACTACTTCAATATCAAGTGGATTCAAGTCATATTTTTTCAGTCAGATTGCAATGAATGTTTAGGGTGATCTACATCATAATTATTTACATTTACTCTTATTTATTTATTTATTTCCACTTTAAGGGACTGTAAGCATAATTATTTACATGTATTCTTATTTATTTATTTATTTCCACTTTAAGGGACTGTAAGCATAATTTCTAGAACCATGCTAAGAGGGGATTGTCCGTTCTGTAACGTTTAGCTAAACATTGAGGGCAGAGAACTCTGTGTGTTTAATTATATATGGTGTTTAAATTGCCGGAAAACTGAATGCATGCTAGCGTACAATATGAACTCAATGTAGTCAATGTTATATATGATCCCGAATATTCTTTTCCCAACAAGGTTTTCAAAATTTTGAAATTTTGATATCTGGGGACTTCTGGATAGTAAATTTTGATTTCTCTCATATTTGAAATAGTTTTCAAACCAAGTGGTCAACCATTACAAATGTTCTGTAGTTAAAATATGGATAAGTCCGTCATCAAACAAAGGTTTAAAGAATACTGTTGCGAATGGAACAATCCACTCTATGAATGGAGAGTTACCTGATATTATGCCTACAGTCCCTTTAAAATGGTGCAATCCGAATAGACGGAAATGGAACAAATTGTTTTTTGACCAAAGAGTTTCAGACCTAAATTGATTTAGATCTTAAAGTAGGTTGGATTATGTGTAATGTGTATGTCATAAGAAAATGAAACCAAAATATCCTTTTTTTTCCTCTTCATCTTATTTTTCTCATTGCTTCTTTGTATAAGAACAAATAACTTCATGTTATTATCTCATTGTTCCTTTGTATAAGAACAAATAGCTTCATGTTATTATCTCATTGCTCCTTTGTATACGAACAAATAACTTCATGTTATTATCTCATTACTCCTTTGTATAAGAACAAATAACTTCATGTTACTATCTCATTGCTCCTTTGTATAAGAACAAATAACTTCATGTTATTATCTCATTGCTTCTTTATATAAGAACAAATAACTTCATGTTATTATCTCATTGCTCATTGGTATAAGAACAAATAACTTTTATGTTATTATCTCATTGATCCTTTGTATAAGAACAAATAACTTTATGTTATTGTCTCATTGCTCCTTTTTATAAGAACAAATAATTCCATGTTATTATCTCATTGCTTCTTTGTATAAAAACAAATAACTTCATGTTATTATCTCATTGCTTCTTTGTATAAGAACAAATAACTTCATGTTATTATCTCATTGATCCTTTGTATAAGAACAAATAACTTCATGTTATTATCTCATTGCTCCTTGGTATAATTACAAATAACCTTATATTATTTTTCCATTGCTTCTTGGTATGAGTACAAACAACTTCTTAAATCAGACATCTTGTTACCCGTGCAAGAATGTTTGGTTTGGTTTGGTGTAGGAAACACGTGGTGTGGATCCAGAAATACTGGTTCTAGGACTAGTTCATGTTCTCCAAAATATTGTCAGGTACTCACGCTCAAACTATATTTATACTTTGGTTTTTTATAATAGTTAATCAGTTTGCAATTAAAATGTTTTGTTGCTTGTTTTATTATTATTTTTGAACAAATATAACAATTAAAGGTTTTTTAAGGAATCATGATGAGAAGAGTAACCTTTACATGTTCCACTCTTTCATTAAATACGTCATCATCTCCTGTCTTAAGCAGTCTGTTATATCGGAGGTAATATATTCGACCATTTATATCGGAGGTGATATATTCAATCTTTTATATCGGAGGTAATACATTCAACCCTTTATATTGGAGGTAATATAATCAATCTTCATGTCGTAGGTAATATATTTAACCCTTTATATCAGAGGTAATATATTTAACCCATTATATCGGAAGTAATATATTAAACCCTTTAAATCGGAGGTAATATATAATGTACCATTTATATAGCCTATAGGAGGTAATACATTAAACCCTTTAAATTGCAGATAATACACACAACCTTTATATCTGAGGTAATACATTAAACCCTTTATATTACAGATAATACACACAACCTTTATATCGGAGGTAATACATTAAACCCTTTATATTGCAGATAATACACACAACCTTTATATCGGAGGTAATACATTAAACCCTTTATATTGCAGATAATACATACAACTTTTATATCTGAGGTAATACATTAAACTTTTTATATTGCAGATAATACACACAACCTTTATATCGGAGGTAATACATTAAACCCTTTATATTGCAGATAATACACACAACTTTTATATCTGAGGTAATACATTAAACTTTTTATATTGCACACACAACCTTTATATCGGAGGTAATACATTAAACCCTTTATATTGCAGATAATACACACAACCTTTATATCGGAGGTAATACATTAAACCCTTTTATATGAGGTAATATATTCAACTCTCTATATAGGAGGTAATATATTCAACCCTTTAGATCGGAGGTAATATATTCAACCCTTTCTATGGGAGGTAATATATTTAACCCTTTATATCAGAAGTAAGTAATACTTTCAACCCTTAATTTCAGAATTAATGCATTTAACCCTTTATATCGGAGGTAATATATTTTACTCTTTATCGTAGGCAATACATTTAACCTTTTATATTGAAGGTAAAATAAATCCAACCCTTTTTTTGGAGTTAATATATTCAACCTGGTATATCAGAAGTAATATATTCAACCCTTTATATCGGAGGTAATATATTCAATTCTTTATATCGGAGGTAATATATTCAACCCTTTATATTGGAGGGATTATATTCAAACCTTTATTCAACCCTTTATAAAAGGGGTAATATATGAGAGGTATCTCCAACCCTTTTTTTTGTAGTTAATATATTCAACCTGGTATATCAGAGGTAATATATTCAACCCTTTATATCGGAGGTAATATATTCAATTCTTTATATTGGAGGTAATATATTCAACCCTTTATATTGGAGGGATTATATTCAAACCTTTATTCAACTCTTTATATAAGGGGTAATATATATAACCCTTTATATCGGAGGTATTATATTCAACCCTTTAAATCGGAGGTAATATATTCTCCCCTATATATCGGAGGTAGTATATTCTATCCTTTAGATCGGAGGTATTCTATTCAACCCTTTATATTGGATATATTTTATTCAACCCTTTATATTGGAGGTAGTATATTCAATCCTTTATATCGGAGGTATATTATTCAACCCTTTATATGGTAGGTAATATATTCAACCCTTTATATCCGAGGTGATATATTCAATCTTTTATATCGGAGGTAATATATTCAACCCTTTATATCAGAGGTGATATATTCAATCTTCATGTCGAAGGTAATTTATTCAACCCTTTATANATTTATTTATTTATTTATTTATTTATTTATATCCAGGTACTGGACGGCTGCCGGAAGGTTGAAGATGAAGAGATAAAAAATAGAAACAGAGAAGAAATCCAGTTTCCTCTGACTGACATTGATTTATCCGACCTGGAGAATCCTGCAATAACTCAGGTAAATCACGTTTTTATTCAATTCAAGGGATTGTTCACTTGTATATCTACGGTGGTAGGCTAATACATCAATATAATTAAGAGGACGTTTTATTTAAGTTCTAATTGTTAACAAGCTTTTTTTCGAATTAGAAAATTACACTCTTGGTATCCATGTTTTGTGTATCCATGCTGTTTTAAAGCTTGATATAAATCAAAATTGAAATAAAAAGTCGTCTTCATTGTATTGATATAATAGCCTACCACCGTATACTTTTCAATTATCTATCTGTTTGTATGCTTGTTTGTATCCTATTAAGAGTTAAAACGGTATACCCTATTGGGCCCAAATTGTGCGTGGGACCTCAAAAGTATAAAGCAATTAGGTGGAAAATAGCTCTTGGTTGTTTTGATTATTTTTTCCGCCTAATTTCAATAATGATAACAAAATATTTCAACTAAATAGATGTGTGGAGAACTATTAGAGATTTTATACCTTACAAGAGAAGATGCTCACAAATAGAACCACGATTAAAAGTTGAACGAGAAGAATAGTCTTTTAGAAAGAAAGAAAAAAATACTAAAGGATTTGGTCACAAACATGTTGGTGTAAACCTTTTGTATTTCAAATTTAGATTATTTAATCTAAGAGAATTTATAGTTTGAAATATCTAAGGTCTATGAAATTGTGTTACAATGATAAAGGGATTTGAAAATAAGAGAATTTATAGTTTGAAATATCTCAGGTCTATGACATTGGGTTACAATGATAAAGGGATTTGAAAATAAGAGAATTTATAGTTTGAAATATCTAAGGTCTATGACATTGGGTTACAATGATAAAGGGATTTGAAAATCAGAGTGTGTGACAATGGCTCAATTCATTTTTAAAGTGAAAAAACAAACCCCTGTTATATTGGTATATAGATAATAGAAGTTTATGAAAACACAAACCCCTATTATATTGGTATATGGATAATAGATGTTTATGAAAACACAAACCCCTATTTTATTGGCATATAGATAATAGAAGTTTATGAAAACACAAACCCCTATTATATTGGCATTTAGACCATATATGTTTATGAAAACACAAACCCCTATTATATTGGTATATAGATAATAGAAGTGTATGAAAACACAAACCCCTATTATATTGGCATATAGATAATAGAAGTTTATGAAAAAACAAACCCCTATTATATTGCCTTATAGATAATAGAAGTTTATGAAAACACAAACCCCTATTATATTGCCATATAGACCATAGATGTTTCTGAAAACACATACCCCTATTATATTGGCATATGGATCATAGATGTTTATGAAAACACAAACCCCCTATTATATTGGCATATAGATCATAGATGTTTATGAAAACACAAACCCCTATTATATTGGTATATATATCATAGAGGTTTATGAAAACACAAACCCCTATTATATTGGTATATAGACCATAATTGTTTATGAAAACACAAACCCTATTATATTGGTATATAGATCATAGAAGTTTATAAAAACACAAACCCCTATTATATTGGTATATAGACCATAGATGTTTATTAAAACAGAAACCCTTATTATATTGGTATATATATCATAGAGGTTTATGAAAACACAAACCCCTATTATATTGGCATATAGACCATAGATGTTTATGAAAACACTAAGGATCTAAACTTTAACTTTAAAACTCTTAAATAAATATCAGAATTGACACAACGTCTTAGGAGTAATTTCTCTTTATGTCTAGTTCATAGTATCTTCGATGCTTTTGAAAATATGCGAACATCCCTTTCAATATGATATGTTGGTAGTAGAAAGCTCCTTAAAGTTTGATTGATTGATTGATATGTTGGTTATTTGATTGATTGCTTGTATTTAAGGTTGAGGAGATAGATGTTTGGAACTGTGTGCTGACCCATTCTAAAGATATTGACCTCAAGCTGAGGATTGATGGCAGGCTTCTTGTTGGTCAATATCTTCTAGATGCAAATACAGAGATTAGTATTGATACAGAGGTGAGTTTATATCTTCTAGATGCAGATACAGAGATTAGTATAGATACAGAGGTGAGTTTATATCTTCTAGGTGCAGATACAGAGATTTGTATAGATACAGAGGTGAGTTGATATCTTCCAGGTGCAGATACAGAGATTAGTAAAGATACAGAGTTAGATGCAGCTATAAATATTAGTATAGATACAGAGGTAAGTTAATATCTTGTAGATGCAGCTATAAAGATTAGTATAGATACAGTAGTGATTTAATATCTGCTAGATCAGAGATTATTATTTATACAGAGTTAAAGAGTTCAGTGTAGATACAGAAGTGAGTTAATATAAGAAGCAATGAAGAAACTTGTGGAAATTAACACTTTTCTAATCAGAAAAATGACTGAATCTTCCACATTTCTTTGTATAGCTTTTTAAATCTTTGCATGGAGGGTTACTTGAAATACTCTCACAGTCATTTAAAGAAATGGTTTTAATGAAAAAAATTGATTGTCCGATCAGCATCACTTAGTAAGAAAAAGATGTATTGAATCAATTTTATAGAAGTTTTGCAACTTGTTATAGATATGTACAATGAAATAAATTAATAAAAGTTTTATTCAATTGTTTAATGTTTAATGTAGAAAAAAATATTGTATTTCCAATAAAGTACAATTAGGAAATGTATACAAGTTCCCACCATATCAAATAAAGATTAGATTAATTTGCAGAATAACAAAATATCAAAATCAAGTCTTGATCTCAATATTCTCAATACACGAGTTCTTATTTTTTTAGACTGGGATCATTAGCTACAGTTTGGAGACTTTACTGCTCTTCCTCAGATATAAATCCTCCTCGCATCCTGTATATATTAAGAAGGTAACAAGTTTATTAGCAGGCATCGTTCTGAGACCGTTTTTGACGTTAAAAGATGTGTCATTAATTACATTGCAAAAATATAGTCTCGGAAAGTTTGATTTTATTACATTGTGTGAATTCTTTTCTCTCATCAAAGTTATGATTATCAATTCATCATCACCCTGTATCTATTATTGATATTCTGAACTAGGCTTTCAGGGCGCTTCGTGCACTGAACTTTGATATTGTAAAACTCAAAATTTCGCAGATTTTTTGTTGACATTGGTTGATTTCTAAAATTTAAAGACTACCTTTTTTTTCAAGGCACAATTTTTCAATTTTTACCAAGCATCATAATCCTTTCTAGAGGTCATGTGTGTGTTGGCACAAAAAATTGGGCTCGATCAGTTCAGCCGTGTTTGATTGAATACAACCAGACAGGCAAAATATATGTATAGAGATGGCTTTGCAATGTCCTTAAAGTTGGCTTTAAACGTTGTTTGTTTGTTTGTTTGTTTTAAACTTGTTAAATTGTGTTTGTTTCAAGTTGTTAAAGGGACCTTTAGACGTAAATTCAAGGATGCGTTTATTTATAGAGTGGAATTGTATCATCCACTGAGCAAATTGATAATTTTTAATTGTGGTTTCACTGCAACAGTGACTTGCATATTTCTGCTACAGAAAAATTAGAGAAAATTGTCAAAAATGAACAATTTTCAAGTTTGAAAAACGACGATGTCTTATACACGTTTTTGATCAGAAAAAGTTTTTTAAATGGGCATTTCCCTATTTCATTGGAAGGCCCCTTGACATTTCGATGACCGTTCCTTTTAAACTGTATTTGTTCCAAGTTGGTAAACAGTCCCTTTAAACTGTGTTTGTTCCAAGTTGGTAAACAGTCCCTTTAAACTGTATCTGTTCCAAGTTGGTAAACAGTCCCTTTAAACGGTTTCTGTTCCAAGTTGGTAAACAGTCTTTTTAAACTGTGTTTGTTCCAAGTTGGTAAACAGTCCCTTTAAACCGTATTTGTTTCAAGTTGGTAAACAGTCCCTTTAAACTGTATTTGTTTAAATTTGGTAAACAGTTCCTTTAAACTGTATTTGTTCCAAGTTGGTAAACAGTTCCTTTAAACTGTATTTGTTCCAAGTTGGTAAACAGTCCCTTTAAACGGTTTCTGTTCCAAGTTGGTAAACAGTCCCTTTAAACTGTTTTTGTTCCAAGTTAGTAAACAGTCCCTTTTTACTGTGTTTGTTCCAAGTTAGTAAACAGTTCCTTTAAACTGTGTTTGTTCCAAGTTAGTAAATCCAATTCCGATTCTCTTTCACAAACTTTTTACTTTGACAAAACTTGCATTCAACTTAACATTTAACTAATAAGAATTGTTCTTTATATTTGTGAATTTGAATTGTTATTTTTTTTGTGACACTTGTATTGTAATAAAAAGATCTGAGACCGAATTTAAAGAATTTGAGCCACGGCTTAAATTTGAGACGCGGTTCAAACATGGTTGGTTCCACTTGAAATTGTATTCATTATTTAAAATATTTGAGCCGGCGCTTAATTAGTATTAGTACTGGTGTTTGGCGGTTCAGCGACTTGCTTTAATTCTTTAAATTTGGCCTCTTAGCGGTTTTTGTTTGTAAGTATCGTTTATGTTTAATTCGTCAAAATAAACGAAATGGTTCGTTTAAATAAAATATCTGATTTGAAGCTCACTTGATATTGTGCGATTCATAGAAAATCTTTTTTTCAAAATCATTTTTGGTCTATCTGCAGCATATTATCTATGTATTTGGTCGATCTGCAGCATATTATCTATGTATTTGGTCGATCTGTAGCATAATATCTATGGATTTGGTCGATCTGCAGCATATTATCTTTGTATTTTGGTCTATCTGCAGCATATTATCTATGTATTTGGTCGATCTGCAGCATACAATCTATGTATTTATCTTGATATTTCCATCTGTTTATTGATCTAGAGATCTGCAGTATTAATCTAACTATAGACTTTATCTTTATCCTTCTATTTATTATCTATTTATATCTCTATTTATCTACCTATTTATCCAGCTATCTTGCCATTCATCCATTCAATTATCCTTTTATTCACCCATCTAATTGTCAATCTATTTATCTTTCTAACTACATCTATCTTTCTATTTATTCACTTATATGTCTATCTATTTATCTATCAAGCTAGCTATTATTAATCTATCTGTCTATCTATTTATATGTCTATTTATCTATCAAGCTAGCTATTTTTCATCTATATGTCTATCTATTTAGGTGACTGGACTGTTTCCTGGAAAAGAAGTTGTTATAATGGATCATAGACTCAAGATCTTAGATTTCCTAGGTAAATACAAACATTGTACTGTACTGTACTGTACTGTACTGTACTGTACTGTACTGTACTGTACTGTACTGTACTGTACTGTACTGTACTACTGAACTGAACTGAACTGAACTGAACTGAACTGAACTGAACTGAACTGAACTGAACTGAACTGAACTGAACTGAACTGAACTGAACTGAACTCTACTTAATTCTACTGAACTCTACTGAACTCTACTCTACTCTACTCTACTCTACTCTACTCTACTCTGCTTTACTCTACTCTGCTTTACTCTGCTTTACTCTGCTTTACTATGCTTTACTATGCTTTACTATGCTTTACTGTACTGTACTGTACTGTACTGTACTGTACTGTTATGTACTGTAATGTACTATACTTTACTATACTGTAATGTACTGCACTGTACTGTAACATGTTGTTCTGTAATGTACTGTACTGTATCGAATTGTACTATACTGTTATTCTTTATCAGCTGACCCCACTTTACTGAAGATAGAGGTGACTGTGTACACACGAGATCAACATATTAGAAAAATATACTCCAGGTACAGGGTGTCATACTAAATATGACAGCTGAGAAACGATACAGGGTGACTCACAAAGGATAAGAGAACATTAATATTTAAATATAAACATGGAGTTATAGTTCATACTTGATCAGACAAAGCTTTTTAAGGATATCGTTGTAAATCTTGAATTGACATCTTAGTATGGAGGGTCACTTCTTTGATATTACGCTTACAGTCCCTCTAAGTTGTCACATTTAGAGGGACAATTTTTTTTTATCTTTTAAATAATCTTTCTTGTATTTTCCTAACTCGTTCATTATATTTATTTTGGTTTCTTTAACCTTTGAATGGTCATTAATGGTCACACTTTGAAATCAGTTTGCAAAGATATTAGGATTATAAAATTTAGACCATGAAGTAAGTTATCAGTTACTAATAAATTTTAAATGTATCATTTACTCACAGACAAATTTCCATTGATTCTAATTTGTCTGAGAGTAAATGGCATTCCTTTGTAAAATTAAATCGATTAAAAGGGGCGGGATGAAATGAAAAAAAAACAGCTTTTTATAAAGGAATGAATATCTCTGTTTCTGATATAATTTTATAATAATAATATAATTCTGACATAATTTTTTCGGGTTTTATTTCCTTAATTGGATTACATTGATTATTCGTAGAGGTACATACATGAACTGTTGATTAAGAAGTATCAAAAAGGATGAAAAATTGCATTTTGATTTCAAACTTTTTATTTTTACCCCAAGATCACAGCATTAAACATCATTAATTTTTCAGGATTACCCCTTGCCCCCCCCCTTCCCCATTGGGGAATAGTTTTTATGATGAGGGGGGGGGGTAATGAATAATTGAACATCAAAAGACACCTTTTCTCATTCTTTTTGATACTTTTTACACACAACTATTGATATTCTCTTAAAAACCCTTTCCCCAGTTCACTGAATAAAACACTAAAAAAGGCCTAAGCAATAAGAATATATATTTTCTTGGAGGGGGGGGGGGGGTTCAAAAGGGGGGAAAGAAAAATTATTTTTAAGAAAATATACTGTTCTGCCGGCATGCTTAGTTGCCCTTATATACCCATGTGTTTTCAATATTAGCCGAACATCATGGATGAATCATTGAATCACGTACAACAACGAGAAAATGGAAATCTAGAAATACAAAAAATTTCAAATTACTTTTTAAAAATAATATTTTCTTAAATATACGAATATAAAATGTAAAATAATTAATGGTTTCTGGAGTTGATGAGAACGGAATCTGACCTGGAGTTCATCTATCAATCTAAATGTATAATATTAAGGTTTCTGGAGTTGACGAAAACAGAATCTGAACCTGAGTTCATCCCTGCTTCAAAGGAATAAAATCTATAAAATTGGAAATTAAACTTCTTGCCTGACAACGGCATATATTTTTTTCTTAAAGGGACTGTATGCTTTATTTCATGGGACCCTTCAATTTGAAAAATATTGAACACCCAAAACGGAAAACGATCTTATTATAAAAAAACGATGTCCAACTCTAACCAATGGCACCCTTTTGCTCTTTATCTGATAAATTATGTGGAAGATATTGTCGTTTTTCTTGCTTTAAAACTTAATAAATGGAGGGTCACTTAAAATTACGCCTGTAGCCCCTTTTAAAGACTAAAGCAGTCATTTAAAATGCGGCGTTAAAGATATGCTCCAAACCTCGCAGAGAGAAAAAAGGCGTTAGTTCCACATTTAAAAAAATATGTTTCTGTCTGGGTTGATCCTATTCAGTTCTTGAGATTTCTTTCTGTCATGAAGATTCAAAACAGGGTTTTAATATCGGAATAGCTTTCGGATTTGCATAGCAGTTTCAAGGAAATAAATTGACAGAATATATCGCTTTTTAAGATAGCAAAATGAGAACGCTTTTGAATCTAAGAACAAAGGGTTACTTAGAACTAAATGGACACAGTCGTCGTCGTATTTATCAATACAATGACGACAATTTTAGATTTCAATTTGTTGATTTCTACCAAGCTTTCAAGCAGCATGCATAAGATAAGCTGTTAATTAACACTTTCTCTTTGTTTACTTGTTAACTTGTAGTTTTAAGAAAGCTTGTTAAAAGATCAAAACTTAAAATAGAAAAGTCGTCTTCATTGTTTTGATTTAACGCCTACCGCTGTACAATATCTCCAAGTCTGAATAAAAGATGTTTAATAAAATAAAAGTAGGAGTGAAGCTAGGTTTAATATTGAAGTGAGGTGGGAATCCATTATTTTTGATAAAACGTGCAGAATAGAGAAGAATTTTCAAATAAACCATTAGACCCCCCCCTAGCTATACGGAGAGGGGGAATTCTGCAAACTAATAAATTAACTAACTGAGGAGGGGTATTTCCCAAGTACCAACTTCCCAAATGTGCAATTTCCCAATTGCAATTGGGACTGAACGCTGCGGCTAGAAAGACATCGTACGCTGTGTCCAAGACAACCTTGAAAAAAATACCCTACAGAAGTTACTGCTTGGGAAAAGCATCTGGGAAAGCAAGAATATAATGCAAGGAAAGTTAATTGCAGTTGCGTATATCTCTGTGTACATATTGAAACCAGTTCTCTCTGGGCGGAATTTGTAAACAAGATAGATGCCTCAGTGTTCGTTTAGTATCCGAGGAGGTTAAAAAAAATTGAAAATTCACAGAATATTTCATTAATTATTTATGTGAAAGATGGATCCCATGTCAGGCTTCGACATCCGTCTTGTGTTTACATTACCGCCTAGTGACATTGCACTGCAGTTCAAAAGAAGCGTACACCTCTGAAATGACTTTCCTTGCATTGAATCCTTGTGAGAAAGTATCTAGCATCCTCATTTATAGGGTTCTTGTAAACAGAAATACTCTGAAACAATTATCAAGCATGGGATTAGAAATCACGCCCACATGCACTTTATGAATAAGATTTAAATTTTTTTAATTATTAACTACAGGGGTGGGGGGGGGGGGTGAACTTGCTGCGAAGTTTATTGAAATTCAGACGACATAGTTTTTATTTGATTCAGTTTGAGAAGTTTCAGCCGTTGTTCCAGCAGTACTTTAAACAGATCTACAGTAGAGGATTTAGGGACCAGGTAATTAAAGAGATTGTTTGCGTAATTCAGGGTTCAATATCTTGTAAATGGGATTATTAAAGGGACTGTTTGAATAATTCAGGGTTTAATATCTTGTAAATGGATTATTAAAGGGACTGTTTGAATAATTCAGGGTTTAATATCTTGTAAATGGGATTATTAAAGAGACTGTTGAATAATTCAGGGTTTAATATCTTGTAAATGGGATTATTGAAGGGACTGTTTGAATAATTCAGGGTTTAATATCTTGTAAATGGGATTATTGAAGGGACTGTTTGAATAATTCAGGGTTTAATATCTTGCAAATGGGATTATTAAAGGGATTGTTTGAATAATTCAGGGTTTAATATCTTGTAAATGGGATTATTAAAGGGACTGTTTGAATAATTCAGGGTTTAATATCTTGTAAAAGGGATTATTGAAGGGAATGTTTGCCTAATAATTCAGGGTTCTTTATATTGAGAAATATTTCGTTCTTATACAAGAACATTATTTTTTTAAGTAATGTTCATTTTTCGTAAACACTTTCTTTAAGTATAAAAAAGTGATATCCTACCGAAAAATGCCAGGGGCAGCGTTTCGAAAAATGACAGGAGTAGCGTTTTATCGTCTATAAGCAACATCCCCTCTACTGAGCTTCTGGCCTACTAGAGTTGTTGTTAGTATTTAGAGCTGGTAGGGGTTAGACAACTTCGCCCCTGGTGGGAAAGTGTGTCGGCGCGACTCACTACGGCGCCAGCAGCGACTAAGCTAAATGTCTAAATAGCAGCTGTAAAACCATGTGCGAGTAGGTCAGAAGTTTAGTATATAACGGATGTGCGTAGGTCGAAAGATCATGAAATGTGATGAATTTCAGGTGAACTGGCTGGAGGTTTGCCGCGTCGGCGCAGAAGAACTGGTGAACACATGGGTGGCAGCTGAATGCGATTTTGATCGTTTAGTTGACAAACAGAGGTATAAAAATTATATAATAAATTTAGAAATTAAAAATATAAAAATGATAAGATTGCGCCACTTTAAAAAAGGATGGCAAATAGAGAAATTTATTAATAGCAATAAGATTTTTTCAATTTAAAAGGGGGCATAGTGTGGAACTTCCTCAGCACAAGCCCCATAAATTTAAATTTAGTTTTTCTCCATTTAATTTTAATTAGAATTAAGAAATATCTGTCCTAAAAATATAACAGTTCGTGTCTAGTTTCATAATTATTTATAACTTCAGTGATAAGCAGAAAACTAGAAAAGGAAGACGACAATAAAGTGATAATTAATTGCATTAAAGTTGTTACAAAGAAAATTGTTTCACGAATAACTTGTTAACTGAAATGGTTTCACGAGTAACTGTTTACACTTTACACTACACAATTGCTGTGCTTTATGTTCAAGTCATACTGTACTGTACTGTACTGTACTGTACTGTACTGTACTGTACTGTACTGGACTGGACTGGACTGGACTGGACTGGACTGTACTGTACTGTACTGGACTGGACTGGACTGGACTGTACTGTACTGTACTGTACTGTACTGTACTGTACTGGACTGTACAATACGTATTAAGGATAAAGGTTATGCATGAAACATTTTATTGTGTAAATATCTCGCTTCTGGGTTTCTAAACTTTACAAGACAGTACTTGCAAGTTTAGAATAAATTTACATTCTGTAATCCAACCTTTCCAACAAATGTCACAAGCAACTGACAAGAATACATCTTCTATATATCTTTTATATAATGAAACAAGACATTTGTATATATTCCCTATATCCGGCCGAACCGAATGGAGTGACATTTTTTTAGTGAACCCTTGAGTACCCCGGGGGGGTAACATAGACTATAAAAAAAAATCGATTTTTTTCATCAAAAATTCGTTTTTTCTAAAATCTGAATTTTTTTATAAAATTTCTATTTTCCATGGCCACCTCGGCTAGTCTACTTTAGAGCAATAATCAGAGCAGCTTCTCAGATTTCAGTTTGTCTCGTTGTCCATCCCTTTTGGGACATTTAGTCCACCCCTTCTGGGACATTTAGTGTTTCTTTAATTTCTAAAGATGGTAAATTGATATTTTTTAAATGTTTGCTATTTTAAACTGTCTGAAAATATTTCTGTTTCCAATGTCTATATTTATGAAATGCCTTGTCATTAAAATTTACAGCTAACAAAACTGTTACCAATTAAAATTTACAGCTAACAAAACTGTTACCAATTAAAATTTACAGCTAACAAAACTGTTACCAATAAAAATCTACAGCTAACAAAACTGTTACCAATTAAAATTTACAGCTAACAAAACTGTTACCAATTAAAGTGACATTTCTTTCAGTAATAACCCTTAATATATATGGAAAGATTGTGGAAATCTATGAAATGTCTGAAATGTATTTTATTTGACATTTCCAATCTATGAAATGTCTGAAATGTATTTTATTTGACATTTCCAATCTATGAAATGTCTAATTTATCTTATTTCCAATCTATGAAATGTCTGAAATGTATTTTATTTGACATTTCCAATCTATGAAATGTCTAATTTATCTTATTTCCAATCTATGAAATGTCTGAAATGTATTTTATTTGACATTTCCAATCTATGAAATGTCTGAAATGTATTTTATTTGACATTTCCAAGCTATGAAATGTCTGAAATGTATTTTATTTGACATTTCCAATCTATGAAATGTCTGAAATGTATTTTATTTGACATTTCCAATCTATGAAATGTCTAATTTATCTTATATCCAATCTATGGAATGGCTACAATGTTTGATATATGACATGCCCAATCATTAAATGTCTGATACATGACATGTCCAATCTATAAAATGTCTATAATGTCTGATATATGCAGGGTGGCCAAAATGTACGGATTGTACGGATTTTTTTCAAATTGTACGGATTTTTATCCTGGAAATACACCGGTTTTTTTTCACTCATTTCAGCAAATTTTTCATGAAAATTTCAAAAAAAAAATCTCGTTAAAATGAACTTAGTTTAACTTATTTTCTGCATTCTAAATAATGTTAGATTGATTAATGTTTCAATTGACAATCAAAATTCATTCATAATTTTCGAGATATGTCCCAGAAGTGTTCATTTGAGAATATATTCCAGAAGTGTTCATTTGAGCAGACCCAGTTTAGAATTTTAGTGTGGAAGACCCAGTTTAGAATATGGTGTAGCAGACCCAGTATAGAATATAGTGTGGCAGACCCAGTTTAGAATATGGTGTAGCAGACCCAGTTTAGAATATAGAATATAGTGAGGCAGAACCCAATTAAGAATAGTGTGGCAGACCCAGTTTAGAATATGGTGTAGCAGACCCAGTTAAGAATATAGAATATAGTGAGGCAGAACCCAATTAAGAATAGTGTGGCAGACCCATTTTAGAATATGGTGTAGCAGACCCAGTTTAGAATATAGAATATAGTGAGGCAGAACCCAATTAAGAATAGTGTGGCAGACCCATTTTAGAATATGGTGTAGCAGACCCAGTTTATAATATAGAATATAGTGAGGAAGACCCAATTAAGAATATAGTGTGGCAGACCCAGTTTAGAATATGGTTTTGCAGACCCAGTTTAGAATATGGTGTAACAGATCCAGTTTATAATAACGTGTAGCAGACCCAGTTTAGACTGTAGTGTATCAGGCCCAATTAAGAATATAGTGTGGCAGACCCAGTTTAGACTGTAGTGTGGCAGACCCAGTTAAGAATATGGTGTAGCAGACCCAGTTTAGAATATGGTTTTGCAGACCCAGTTTAGAATATGGTGTAGCAGACCCAGTTTAGAATATGGTGTAGCAGACCCAGTATATATTATGGTGTAGCAAGCCCAGTTTAGAATATCATATGTACGGATTGTACGGATTTTTTTTCGAAAATTGTACTGATTGTACGGATTTAAAAAAAAAAAAAAACGGATTTTTTCAACAACAAAAATGTACGGACTGTACTGTTTTTTTCAAAAATTGTACGGATTGTACGGATTTTTTTCGAAAATTATACAGATTGTACGGATTTTTTCTGAAAATGTACGGATTTTTTCAAAAAAGTTTTGGCCACCCTGTATGACATGTCCAAATTATAAATTTTCTAAAATGTCTGATATATGACATGACCAATCTATAAAATGTCTGAAATCTATGATACATGAAACGTCCAATCTATGAAATGTCTAAATGTTTGATATATGATATGTCCAATCTATAAAATATTTAAAATGTTTGATATATAACATGTTCAATCTACGAAATGTCTAAAATGTCTGATATATGAAATGACCAATCTATTAAATGTCTGAAATCTATGATGTATGAAACGTCCAATCTATGAAATGTCTAAATATTTGATATATGACATGACCAATCTATAAAATGTCTAAAATGTCTGATATATGACATGTCCAATCTATGAAATGTCTAAATGTTTGATATATGACATGTCCAATAGATTATAAAATGTCTGAAATCTATGATATATGACATAACCAATCTATAAAGTGTCTAAAATGTTTGATATATAACATGTCCAATCTATGAAATGTCTATTTTAAAATTCAGTGATGGTGATGGACCAAACCTCTGTAGAGTAAAAAAGTAGATGTTAGTTCCACATTTATTGAAAATATATTTCGGTCTGGGTTGACCCTCGTCAGTTCTAACGATATAAAAACCATCAAAATCGATAAAAAAAATTTAAAAAAGTAAAAATCACAAGAAGATAAACAAACAAAAAGATTATTCAAAATAAAAATTTGGGCTGTCAAATGGACATAAGGGAAAAGAACTCAGATTATGAGATGGAAAAAAGATATGAAATGTCTAAAATGTCTGATATATGACATATCCTATTTATGAAATGTCTAAAATGTTTGATGAAATGTCCAATCTATAAAATGTCTAAATGTTTGATATATGAAATGCCCCAACATCCAAATATTTTAGGTCTGTGAGTCGTGAGAAGACAGAAAGAGTTCAGAATTCCAAGTACAAAAAGATTTTTAAATCTCATCTGAGGAGGCTGGAAGATGTTGCTCATAGGGTCTCTCCTACTCTAAATATAAAATCTTTTATCAAGGTATATGTTTAGCATAAATGATAGATGGGTGGCTGAGTGCATCGACTATGACAGACTTGGGAAGTTGCCGCTAGGGAAATTGCAAATTTGTAAAATTACTACTTGGAAAAAATACCCTTGGAAACTTGCCGCTAGGGAAAAGGCCTTTGGGAAAGTTTTTTACTCGATACTGATTTTGCAGTTTGCACACACGCCTTTTTAACTGTTCAGCCCTCATCCTAGTTAGATTTCACTTTCAATCACTTTTTTCCTGTACATACATTTTTAGCTTTTTTTATACTTTTTGTCAGACGATGCATTTGATAAAAAGTCTATTCTCTACTCTGTAAGCCTAAAAGATGAATTATATATTAAAATGTTGATTGAATTCGAATAACAGAAACCGAATGCATCTCACCATGCTTATTGCTTCCGGAGTGCACTCACTAAGTTAAATTTTTGATTGAATTTAACTAATATTTATTATGAAAAATAAAATGTGTAGACCTTTCCATTTCTTTTTAGAAAATAAAGTTTTCAATGGAAATGTAAGGAAATATTTTGGTCTTAAATTCCATTTAAAAAAATAGTTTAGATTTGGTTTTGGCAAAATTATAAATGAAATTGTTTTTCCTAATATCAGTCCTTTCCTTTAGTTTTTTAATAACATCAGTCCTTTCCGTTAGTTTTTAAATAACTTAAAGGGACTGTAAAGGAAAAATGAAAGGAGGTATAGGCTGAAAGTTAATCACTTTAGCTCTTGATCGCGACCCATGAAAGTTTTATATGTCAAATTTAGAAAATCTTAAACTTAAATCACGTGACCAGAACTAACACCAATGGCAAAGCAGTATACTGATCACGTGTCTCCGCCTGTATCACGTGACCACTTTACTGCACTGCCATTGTTGGAACTTTATTTTGTAAATTCAGGAAAGTATGGAGCATATTAAAAGCATCCTGGCGAACCAGGAGATTTGGAAGAACCAGGAGAAAAGGGATACAAACATTGAGAGGATCTCTATCTCCTCTGAGGATGAAGACATGGATACCCCTGAACCTGCCAATATGCATCTTGTAGATAATACCAATCCTGAAGAGAATTCAGATACAGATGATGATGAGTGTATTATAACCAAGCTGAAGGTAATCCATTCAGTGATAGGCGATTATATCAATACAATGAAGACAACTTTTAATTCATAACAGCATGGAGATTCGAAAAAGCTTGCTAACAATCAAAGTTAAATAAAAAAGTCGTCTTAATCGCATTATGTAATCCCTACCACCATATAAAAACAAAATATTTTGAAAACTCGTTTATTTTTTATTTCAGACTATAAATCAAGCAAAAGATTTGGATGCCATCAAGTACCAAGATTTAGAGGTAAAAGATTTGCTCAGTTCTATCTATCTCTTTTATGACCCCCTCCCACACACACACACACAAATGCAAACCCACTTCTCTCACCAATTGATAAATATCTCTTATCATTAATGTTCAATTCTAATAAATTCTAATTTAGGAGAAATTAAAGATGCTGAAGCAGCAGTTGTCATCTGTGGATGGAGAGGAAGAGGGTTCTCAGAGAATTGAAAGTGGAGCAGAGGAGAAATTAACTGTGGAGTTTGATGAAGAAAGTTCCGCGAGAATTGAAGATGAAGGAACGGGGACTGAGAAGAGGGAGGGATCCCAGACCCCAGAATACAAAATCTCATCAGACGAGGAGATGGACGTGGATGAAGACACAAGGTTGGCCTACGGCTTTGACCAACCAGGAACGAGTGGAATTTCTGGCCAATCACAGACTAGAGAAAGCAGTCCCGGCCAATCACAGGGAAGAGAAAGCAGTCCTAGCCAATCACAGACTTCAGAAAGAAGTCCTGGCCAATCAAAGACAAGAGAAAGCAGTCCCGGCCAATCACAGGGAAGAGAAGGCAGTGCTGACCGTTCTGAATCTGAATCATCAGGAGAAGAAGGAAAGTATTCTGAGGGTGAGCTGGAAATATCATAAATTAATAACCTAAGTGTTACCTTTTAAAACGTTTGCCTCAATAGTTCAATACTTGACAGAAATCTCAATACTTTAACTTAAAACAATGTTTATGACTTTTGGTCATTTTAAAAAGCCTGTCTCTGACTTTGACGTTTTAAAGAACAATTGTTTGTTTTTACATTAATAATTTGGTGATGGGGTCAACTCAACACAATTTTATGCTAAGAAAATGAAACCCCGGATCAAAATTGAAATCACAAGTGTTAATTTTCCTTAAACAAGTGTAAAATTATTGAAATAACATTCAGTAAACCTGTTCAGAAAAAAATTAAATTTCTATGTATACGTAAATATATTCTGTATCGATCTTTTACTATTCAGCGCATGTATAAACGCCAGTTTTTTTTTAGTGCCTAAATTATTTTCACACAATGTACACTAAAAGCTTCCCCAATGGTGCTATATCTAAATTCAAAATATTTTTTTAGAATGAATAAATTTTTTATTTTTGAAATTTCGAATTTTTTTTGCTGAAAATATTTTTTCACTTTTTATTTAATAAAATAAGTTTCCCCCGAGGGGGGTTAGTCTGCTAGTAAAATTATTCGGTGTGTATATGAGATAGTGGTTTGGGTTTTCCTGGATTTTCGCAATTGATCATAAAATACTACTTACCATATTAAAGAAAATAGGAAAAATGGTTTGAAAACTATCTCTAAGATAGAGGGCAATATGTTATGGTTAATAACCTATCCCAACTTTTTTAACACCTTGAATATTTCTGTTACTCAGGGATCAATTTTAGGACCGTTACTTTTCTTGATTTTAATAAATTATAATTTTAAAAGCAATGCCCTGCTGAACTTTCTCTTTGCTGACGATACAACTGCATTGAAAAAAGGTTAAAGTCTTATAGAACTTCTTGAGCTTCGGAAACTTGGAATGTAGCTGAGAGCCAATAAACTTGCAATTAATATTAAAAAGATGAAAAATTATAATTTTTCATCCTAAGCAGAAGAAAGTTGAGGACTTTCAGTTTATTTTTAACTGCAATGATTTGAATTCTTTTCCCGATCCCAGATGTATTGTAGTCTTCTGCAAGCTTGATGTCTCTCTACTCTGTTCTAGTTCATCCACTTTTTCATTATACTTTTTGCCAAAAAAAAGTGTGTCAGAATTATCTTTAAATCTTACTTCAGTGGTCACTGAGCCATTACTTTTCTCTACTTTTAATTCTCCAGCAGAAACTTAATGCATTCAATTGATATAAATGGTACAGGGTGTCCCAAAAAACATGGGAATTCAGTGACGAATTCGATATCGTCTTTTCAAATAATTCTTTGATTTAGTATAGTGATACCTACTGAGAAAGCTGTAATCTGTAAGAGTTTCGTCTGCTATGTTTACATTTTGTTTGTTTATGTTTTGACTGCAACCGGTTGTACTAAGTAAAACAAGAAAATTACAGTATGCAAACAGAGTAAACTTCGTATTCACTGTTCATCTTGCGGAGACATTATAGACACATCGTTGCAGTCTTTTACCCTTTTCATTAAATAAACTCTAGCAGACATAATAATATTATGGCTTTTGAAAATAGGTATTACAATGCTAATTCATAACAAAGACGATATCGAATTCGTGACTGAATTCCCATGTTTTTTGGGACACCCTGTAGTTTAGTGCATTTTGGAAGTTTTGGTTTAAGCTCTGTTTTCACCAGGGGGCGGAAACGTCATGTGTGTGTGTCTGTACCTGAAGAGTGTGTGTAAAGGTTACCGAACCGAAGGTGTGTACTGTAGGTGTTTGTACAGTCTAGGAGAGTATTTATGATTATTATTAATTTTTTATTTAAAAACAAGTTTTATATACAGGGTGTCCCACATCAAATTAGACCGCGTCAATGGGTCTAAATTACGATTTATGGGACAAATCAGAAAATTTATGAAGAATGAATCATTTTGAAAAATTTAATGAGGCTAATAGAAATTTTTTCTTGCAGAAAATGCTAGATTTTTCGAGTATTATATGTGTATTTTGGCGTTAAAGATTGGAGACAGTCTAATATGATATGGGACGCTCTGTACATGTAGTATATTATTTATACATTTAAGTCAACACTATAAGCCAAATTTTCGATGCAAAGAATATAATTTGATTAAAGTTTACAATTAACTACTCGTTATTCAAGTTTAATCATAATTGACGACAATGTTCTGCAATTTCCTTGACTGTAGTCATGTTGTATGTCTGTACCAAAAGAGTGTGTGTAAGGAATACCGAACTTGTCTGCAAAGCAGTGCGACTGGCTTTCTCATGCCAGACCAGCGCCATTTCCTTTCCCTTTATTCCTGTTCCCTGGTTTTTACTGAAAATTTGTAAAATCTAAGAAACATTATCTTATCCCTTGTTATAATTCCCAATCACGCATTCTACCTTCTCTCAGACTTTTGCTTCAAAAGCTCAAATATTTGGCTCAGCTACATTTTGCCTAGTCACAATTTGCCTAGTCACATTTTGCCTAGTCACAACTTGCCTAGTCACAACTTGCCTAGTCACATTTTGCCTAAGTAACAGTTTGCCTAGGTAACATTTTGCCTAATAATATTTTGCCTAGAGTAACAATAGAGCGAATTTTTTTCTTAGTCAATAATTTTTTCACAAAGAAATTTTCAACAATCCAAGAATTTTTTTTCAAAAATCTGCAACTTTTTTGGCAAAAATTTCGCAAATTTTTAAAAATAGTCCGATTTTCTATAAACCAATCAGATCGAAAGACACATTGAAAATGGCTCCCATGATAACTGCAGCTGGCTTACCATGCTGGGTAAGCCCAACAACAGGGAAAAGAATAACTTCTATGTTTTCGATGGGAAGAGGGCAGAGACCAAGAAATGGCGCTGTTCTTGCACTGCAACCCTTACAACGAGGATATCTACTGGAAACCTGGTAGGGGATGTACTCCCAACCCATGGCCATACCAACAAGCTGCTGAGGACTAAAGCTAAAACCACAGAAAAGGCTGTGATTTTAGAAATAAGATAAATAATGATACCGATCTATACTCCATGATGTAAACTGTAATTAAAAAATATATATATATCTGATATATAACAATATTTCATCTGTTGTAGAGTATAAAAAAAATGTTAAAATTGCTGGACAAGATACAATTCAATTGTACTATAACATTTAATTCATTAAAATTTAACTGGTTAAGCTTAAAAAAAATGTTTAATTTTTGACAAAATTTGTTTTAAGAAAACGCAATAGGCAAAAAACATGCTCTTTTGTTACCTAGGCAAAATGTTACTAGGCAAACTTGAACTAGGCAAAATGTTACCTAGGCAAGAGTGAACTAGGCAAGTTGTGACTAGGCATAATGTGACTAGGCAAATTGTGACTAGGCAAATTGTGACTAGGCAAAATGTAGCTGAGCCAAATATTTATTGCAAAATCCAGTTATTTAACAAAAATTTGGCAAAAACTAAAATTTAGCAAAAGAAGACGAATGTTTTAAAAGCCCTTTTTTAGTTTTGACACAGCCAATTTGAATTTGTAAATATATTTGCAAAATTTTCTATAACTTAGTGTGTATAAGTGTGTAAATAAAAAGTTCAAACAGCCTCAGACCAACACTTGTTGTCCGTAGGATTACGAGTAAAAAAGAATGTCATGTACAGGTTGTCCCACGAAATATGACAGTTGGTGAATAATTTGGAATGTCTTATTCCCTATACTGTAATCAAAGAGAATAGAATATATATTGGAGTGGAATTTAAAAAATTCCCTCGGTATGAATTTTGTCAGTCCCTTTCAGCCTGAAAGGGAGTTCAAAGTGTACAAATCATGTAAATGTTCACAAATGCGAACATTTTTGGTTGCATGTTGAAAAAATTTTCTTGTAAAATTGCATTTTTTCACGGAAATAAATGAAGCGAAATTTCGTGAAAACAATTTCATGGAATTTTTTTTGTGAAAATGTGAAATGCCAAAATTTCGCAAAAATGCAGAAATATTTTCGCAAAATTATATTTACTAAATCCCAATTATATTTACTAAATTTCTTGTCCTATAAATGTTTATACATGTAAATATAAGAAAAGTAGAATATTCTACTGCGCAGTTTACTCTAGTATAGTGTGTGTAATATTACCCTGTGGTCTGTGCTAGCTCTGTCTTCCTATTGGTGCAACTGCGCACTAGACACATTGGTATTGGTCAGATCTAAATCTACTAGCAAGCCTAATCATTGCACTTTAAATTTAAACCGCTAGGGGTCTCACAATTTTGAATATAAACATTGTATATTAAGCTTTAAACTGCACATATAATAAACAGAAAAGATGAAGTTGGTGCATTTAATCTACATAAAACGGGCAAAGAACTATTTTTTGAAAATATACTTATTTAATAACTTAACGCTTTTCTGCAGTGCTAGTAAATGCATATATTGTAGTACTTCTTTTATTATTAAGTAAATACAATTAATTCAAATCGATTTTTAATATTTTGCTTTTGATTTTCCTGAAAGTCTCCATCCTGAGATTCTCAGGCTCTTGTTGGATATAATCGATTTCAGATTGGTTGCGTACTTGCTGAATATGAGTTGTTTATACCTACTGGCTACTTCTTGTATAAAAATTGCATATATATGAATTATCGTATAATTTTGACACAGTTTCTTATCATTTTCGTCTCCAAAAAGTCAATATTTCAAGTTCTCTTGCCTAGTAGTTATGTTCAGGCTGTTTTTGCCTATTGGATTAATCAACAATAGAATTCCCATTTCCAACGGTGGCGGCTTGCAGTATCACTCGTCTGAAACCATGCCTCTAACTCATGTTCTCTAGGTTGGCATTTCTTAACGGATAAATATTTCTACACATTGGCGACTGATAATCAGCCCCACTATAACTATCTAAAAACGAGCTAATACATGTCCTTGTTTATAGGCAGGACTACTTCCAATCCGAGCTTATAAGCTCTGGGGCATTTGCCATTTTCTGTTATGCGCGAATGCCCCGCAAAATTTCAAAACAGAGAGAGGGGGGTTGAATTTTGTAGATCCAGAAAAATAATATCTGTGGGATGCCTGCGTAGAGACTGGCAGCTAGTGGGGTCTTAAATGTAAGACATGTGGCCGCACGCTCAGCCCCCTAGCCTGTCCTAGCCACAGTGCTCGGCCCAGATAGTGTCATAACTTAACCTAGTCCATGGCCGCAGCGCTTGGCCCCCTAACCTGTCCTAGCCGCAGTGCTCTGCCCAGAAAGTGTCTGAACCTAACCTAACCCTAAATAAATACTAATTTAAGTATTTTTCTGGATCTACAAAATTCAATCCCCCTCTCTCTGTTTTGGAATTTTACGGGGCATTTGCGCACAACAGAAAATGGCAAATCCCAAGCTTTGGGTCTGTATGAGGACTAAAGGAGTTAGGGATTACATCAATGGAATTATCCCTATTCCCAGCTATTGAGCACACACTGGTTACATCTTAGCTCGAGTCCGTAGGAGGACTGAAGGAGTTACAATAGGTTTGAATATGAACAAAATTGTCAGTTTATCTTAAATTAACCCTATAAAGGCTGGGGGTCTAAATCTATGTATAGCCCATAGGTGTGGCGTCCTGTGCAACGCCCCTAGAAAAAGGCCTTACAGAATAAATACAAGGTTAAAATCAAAAAATAGAATATATATTAGAGTGGAATTTAGAAATTCCTTGGTTTGAATTTTGTAAGTCCCTTTCAGCCTGAAAGGGATTTCAAAGTGTACAAATCATGTAAATGTTCACAAATTATATGCAGTAGAGTACATTAATACAAAATGTTCCCTAGACTATCCATTTCAATTTCGCATTTTTTAAAGCTGTTAAATAAACTTTATAAAATGAATTAGGTGAATAATAACATCAATTATGAAACCAGCCTATTTCATAATTTGGTTTTCTTTTAATATTAGTTTTAAATTCTCTATAAAATGATGTTCCAGGGCCCAAAAGGTTATATAGCACAAATATGTGAAGTACACCTGCAATATGGAAACAGTACAACAAAATGGCCGTTTTACACTTTTTCCTAGTAAATTCCACTCTAATATATATTCTATTCTCTTATTCCCTATACTGTAATAGATATTTGAGGTTTATTGCATTTTTTCGTTCAATAAAATCTTTTACTAAAATATATTTTACTTTGAAATCAATTTTACTATAATATGACTACCATTAAATATTATTATAATTCTCTTTGGTATTAAACAACTTAAGCAGTTTGGGTTCTGAAATACTTTCTCGCCATTAAAAACGAACAAAAGGCCTTTTGCCCGTTTTCTGCCTTATAAAAAGCAAGCAAAAGGACTTTTGTCCGTTTTCTGCCTTATAAAAAGCAAGCAAAAGGCTTTCCCTATTCCTGTCTGCTGGGGGGGGGGTCAATTTGACCCCCTCCCCTCTGTAGTTTTTATCACATAACTCAAAAAGGGCTGGTCAGAGGCTGTTGAAATTTTCTGACTTCCTAAATACCCAAAGCCTCCCCTTTAGGCCTAAAACCATGCTTTTATACTGACTGAGTCACACAATGCCTGAATGACTACTTTTTTCTGTACTTTGTTTTGACCCACTTTCAGTTGTCAGATTTTGAAAACTTTTAGCTTTTTGAAAAGGAAACGGATTGCACAAGTTTTTCAAGGAAATGTTCGCAAATTATTTTCAAACAACCTGTCAAAAGGAAATTTGCCCATTTTTCGTTTTTCTTAATTACACATCAGGTTATTTAAAAAATGTATATATTACTATTTTTTGGACATTTTTTTTTGCAATTTATTACTATATAACTTGAATTTGCAAAAAAAAATCCAATTTTTGCAAATTGGCAAATTTTTTTGCAGATTCTTAAATTAGAGCACAAGAGCTTATTTGCACTAGGATAGGGTTAAATGCTCTTTTTCTGCCTTATAGAAAGCGAGCATTAGGCTTGTTTTTTTTGCCTTATTATAGAAAGCGACCATTTACTCTATTTAAAACACCCATGGTATCCCCCGTGTCCGCCCCCCCCCCCCCCATGCAAAATATCATGTTTGTTATGTATTATTAGCATAGAGAATAGAATATATAGAGAGGAATTAAAAGAATCTCTCAGTATGAATTTTTTCAGTCCCTTTCAGCCTGAAAGGGAGTTCAAAGTGTACAAATCATGTAAATGTTCACAAATTATATGCAGTAAAGTACATTAATACAGTATGTTCCCTAGACTATCCATTTCAATTTCAATTTTTTTAAACTGTCAAATAAACTTTATAATGAATCAGGTGAATAAAAACATCATTTGATTTATAGTTATAACGGAAAATCAACGTTTGTAAAGTGGAAGGCATAGAGTCTATGTGAAATGATCATTGGTCAATTATGAAACCAGCCTATTTCATCATTTGGTTTTCTTTTAACAATAATTTTAGATTTTCTATAAAATGATATTCCAGGGCCCAACAGGTTATATAGCATAAATATGTGAAGTACACCTGCAGTATGGAAACAGTACAACAAAATGGCCGTTTTACACTTTTTTCTAGTAAATTCCTCTCTATATATTCTATTCTCTATGATTATTAGTGTAATATATGTAGACACTAAATAATTACACTGAACCTAATTATTTTATTTGACCAATTAATATAAATCCAAATGACGATAACATTTTTTATTTAAAGGGACCGTTCACTTATTTGGGTAATTTCAGGGTAAAATAAACAGCATATTCTCTGTTGATTGATAATAGTCTTACTTTTCAAAGACAACTGTGGCCGGAGAAAAAAGTCGATTTTTCGTTCAGCAACTATGTGCTGTGCACGCACGGCATGCACCCCTTCTTATTTTGTCCTGATGATGGATTTATCGTTAATAATGTTTTTTGAAATCTTAGATCTCTAACATTAATGTAAAACCACATTTTTTGTTCTAAAAAATAGCATAAGAAGCATGTTTTAGATCAATTTTTTGCAAGAGCTTTTCCAAAAATTAAATTTTAATTATTATACAGCGATATTATGACTGAAACCCCAGAAGTTTGAAAAAATGAAAAACCATGGGAAATACGTCCAGGGTATCTAAAAAACGGGGAATAAGGGTCTACGGGCTAGTTTGTGATGTGATTTTAAAGATTGAGACCATTTTAAAATTTATGGAAAAATTCCGATTCAATGAGCCCAATTTTAGACACAGATATAGACGCGGATGTTGGATTTCAATCCTCCACAGGTTTAAACAAAGAGAAATCCAAGTATTTTTAAGGGTTGATATGATCTAATTTCTCGTCCGGTGTTAACGTGTATGCCTTCAAACCTGATTATGATAATGCTTAAGAACGTTGAACTTAGATTAAAACCAAGATATTAGACAGGACGAGACAAGGAAATAATGCAAGGAAAGTTATTTCAGAGGTGTGTGCATTTTTTGTACTGCAGTGTACTATCTTTGGGGGAAAAATAAACACAAGACGGATATCACAGCCTGACATGGAATCATTTTTCACAAAAATAATCTATGAAATATTCTGGTCATATGAAACTATTATGGGAAGTTTCAAAATTATCAAAATTAAATGCTTTTATCCTCCTCGGATACTAGACAAACACTGATGCATCTATTCTTGTTTACAAATTCCGCCCAGAGAGAACTGGTTTCATTATGTACGCAGAGTATACACGACCGCAATTAAGTTTCCTTGCATTATTACCTTGGGATGAGCGGGCGAAGGAGGGAGGGATAGCAATTATCAATAATGTCAAAAATATAAATTTCCCAAATGCCTGTGTACCAGGGAAATTTTCCTAATGCCTAGGTTTTTAGGAAATTTTACAAATATTCTGTTATTTGAGAAATTTCCAAAATCTTAAAAATATACCACCCTCAAATAATTTGGGAAATTTCCCAAATGCCTGGGTATCCGGGAAATTTTCCAAATACCCATAGGTATTTTAAAGTGGTATATTTTTAAGATTTAGGAAATTTCTCAAATGACTGGAAATTTTCAAGATACCTAGGCATTTGAGAAATTTCCAAAATCTTAAAAATATACCACCCTCAAATACCTTTAGGAATTTGGGAAATTTCCCAAATGCCTAGATTTTTGGGAAATTCCCCAAATATTCTGTCATTTGATAAATTTCTAAAATCTTAAAAATATACCACCTTCTAATACCTATATTCTGTCTAGTACATACTAATATTTTTGATACAATAAGATTGATTCACCCAGAATCTAGATAAAGTAAAAATAGAAATTGAAAAAGGACCCTGTTTATTAAACCGGGAGGGAAACTAAGCAAAAATCTTACTTTAAACATATTATTACACTATCGCATCTTTCTTATATCATGAGCTTCAAAATATTTTTATTCTCGTTGTAATGAACTTTGTATATTATTCCATTTATTCAATTTTGTATGCATTTATATTCACTTGTTTATAAAATAAAACTAATCAGAGCTGAAAACTTAAAATGGGATATCCTTAATCCCGATCTGTTAATTAATCTGAGCTGAAAACTTTAGAATGGGATCTCCTTAATCCCGATCTGTTAATTAATCTGGAGATTAATAACAAGAGGAGAACAAGCAATATTTAATCTGGAGATTCAGAAAAAGAGAAGATCAAGCATTGATCTCGATATCCACCATTCTAAAGTTTTCAGCTCTGGGCAATCTTTTACATGGATTAATCCCGTTTCGTCATTATCCAGAGCACCGTTATTTTCGAGGAGAGACCCTAAAAGAAGTAGAGTTTTATCCAAGAGAGTCTGAGAAATTATGATGGCTGAGATCACCCTATAAGCAGATCATGACAAGGTTCGATACACTAGGATAGTTTAAGCGAGTAGATCAGCTAGCGAAACAAGCATGATTTTAAACTATTAAATTTTTTTATCAAACTTTGTCGGATTATCTTTCGGGTTGACTCCACTAGGTCGGTTTACATAGCATTGATTGGACATAGAAAGTTATAAAACTTCTATCTTTGGAGAAACTGAACCAGTTGAATGAAAGCCCCGGTTAAAATAGGTTTGTATCCACAAGATTATTTTAATATTTTGTAAATATAAATATAGAGGGCGAGTAAAAAAAACTGTGATTAGTGTGTTTTATTTAAAGAACACTATACAAATTTTTGCAGGGATGTAATTAAAATATAATAATGAAAAAAAGGGAACCAAACGAAAAAAAATTTTATGATTTTTTTCTTCAGAAATGAATAAGAAAATTAACAGATAATACATAGTAGTACAAAGTAATATAAGGTTGTTAACACAAATTCGAAATATAAGGAAGACGATTTTACCGACTCAAATGCCGTAGCCTTTTCTCAAGACGTGTTTATCTATTTCCTCCATGAAGTGCCCACATGTTAAACCCCGCTCATTCGTTCCCGCCTCACCCCTCTACACATCCCAGCTCAGTCAGGTTAGGAGAGTTGAGCTAGTAACAGCTCCGACACAGGGAGCCTCTTGACTCGTTTATGATGATGACGCAGATACTCAGCTAGCAGCAGACGTGCTTACCCAAAGGGTTCCCAGTTTATCATGCTTTCCAGAGACAACATAATCGCTAAATCGGACCATGATAAAACCGCGATCTCTGCCTACTAGGTTGGATAAGCCCTGTTGTTCCAGTTCCTGTTGATCTGCTCCACCAACATGAAGCTCTACATCACTCCCATGAAGTACCCACAAATATTCATCATTAATTCCTTTGTTAATTTCTAAATCAACCAATTTTAACTCCGCTTTATGTGCAAATATTTCAAAACTTTCGTTTTTTTAAATAAATGTTAGAAATCTCCATGTTTGGATCTCTTTATTTTACTATAGTGACTTTTAAAGTCAACAAAGGTATAATACATAGTAGTACTTGTACAAAGTGCATTGTAGTTCATAGTAGTGCATAGTTCAGGTACATAGTAGTACAAAGTAGTGCATAGTAGTACATAGTAGTACATTGTATTACATAGTAGTGCAAAGGAGTACATAGTAAATAGTAGTACATAGTAGTACATAGTAGTACATTGTATTACATAGTAATGCAAAGGAGTACATAGTAAATAGTAGTACATAGTAGTACATAGTAGTACATTGTATTACATAGTAGTGAATAGTAGTACATAGTAGTACATTGTATTACATAGTGGTACATAGTTGTACATAGTAGTACATAGTAAATAGTAGTACATAGTAGTACATAGTGGTACATAGTTGTACATAGTAGTACATTGTATTACATAGTAGTGCAAAAGAGTACATATTAAATAGTAGTACATAGTACATAGTAGTACATAGTAGTACATTGTATTACATAGTAGTGCATAGTGGTACATATTAGATAGTAGTACATAGTAGTAAATAGTGGTACATAGTAGTTCATATTTGTACATTGTATTACATAGTAGTACAAAGTTGTACATAGTAAATAGTAGTACATAGTAGCACATAGTGGTACATAGTAGCACATAGTTGTACATTGTATTACATAGTAGTACATAGTAGTGCATAGTAGTACATAGTGGTGCATAGTGGTCCAAAGTAGTACATAGTAGCACATAGTAATACATTGTATTACATAGTAGTGCATAGTATTAAATAGTAGTACGTTGTATTACATGAGTATGAGTATGAGAATGAGATCTGTAAGAAGCCCCATGTTGAGCAACCCAGACCGCCAACAGTAGTACATAGTATTACAAAGTAGTACATAGTAAATAGTAGTACATAGTGGTATATAGAAGTACATAGTAGTACATAGTAATGCATAGTAGTACATAGTAAATAGTAGTACATAGTAGTACATAGTAGTAAATAGTGGTACATAGTAGTTCATAGTTGCACATTGTATTACATAGTAGTGCATATTAGTACATAGTAAATTGTAGTATATAGTGGTACGTAGTGGTACATAGTGGTACATAGTAGTACATAGTAGTACATTATATTACATAGTAGTACATAGTAGTACATAGTAGTACATAGTGGTACATAGTAGTTCATTGTATTACATAGTAGTACATAGTAGCCAACGAGGTTATAGTATAGTATAGTATAGTATAGGCCATGTACTTCCCTTCCAAAGGTCAATCTGAATATTACAGTACTCGGGGGTGATTTCTGAAAATATTTATTTTCATTTAAGCAGAAAAAAGTTTTCAATCAAAAACTTTGGGCTACATGGATCTCCGTAATTTATTTAACTAAAAAATAAATAACCTTTCTTTATTTCCAACTACACTTATAAAGGAAACACTAATAATTCAAACTAATATTGGAATATCTTACTAAAAATTGGTTACTTTAAAAGACTTTTATTCATAAATTGTCGTACAATTTTTGTTTCAAGCATGAAAACACTTAATTTGAGAAACCAGGGGATTCATCAACTTTTGCACTCCAGTCTCTCATTTGGCAAACAATCTTCTGAAAAATTCCGAACAAACCTAAAAATGAAAGATATATCAAATATCAAACTATTTCAACGATTACTAGACTAATCTTATATTTCAATTGCGAACAAGGGCGTATACAGAAATAATTTTTTTTTTGGGGGGGGGGGCAAAATATGAGCAAAGCGCCAAAAAAAAATGTACACTATACAGTCCAATTACCATATAAGGACTACTTTATCTCTCCATCAGCAAAACTAGCAGAAAAAACAGCAAATTAATGTTTTTAATACTCTTCACTCTTTCAGATTTAAAATTGTGATAGCTCTACTAAGTTCTAGGGGGGGGGGGGCTACGCCCCCCCTTTACAGGTCTAGGTAGGGGCACTCTGCCCCCCTGTATACACCCTTGATTACGAACATATTTTCTCTTTTTTTATACAGTGAACAAACAAACAAACAAAAAAGTTCGCGGATTTTATCCAAAAGTTTGTTGCCGATAAATCTTTGATGTTAAAAAGATGGATGAAAATCATGTTGTATGAGGCCCCCCCCCACCCCGCCTTTCTAGGGAACTTAAACTGTGCTTTACTAACCTGTAGGCATGCGCCGAGTAAAGGTGTAAGGTTAATGCAAATGTTCTTAGAGCCGGGTGGTTCGATTCTGTATTAGATTTTACGTTTTTTTTCCCAATTCTCTGAAAAATCTCGCCAGGAATTTGAGAAACAGAAGCCATTATAGTAGCTCCATGGTATTCTCCGGATGGAATATTTTTGGCACGCAGTTTTAAGTGTATCCTGGAGATCTTCCACAGTTTTTTCAAGTTTTTTCTACGTTTTTGAAGGTTGTAACATTTCTCTCTGTATTTCATTCCCATTTCCGCACTATCTTGGAGAAGTTGAATAATTTATTGAGAAGAAAGCAGGGAATAATTATGGTCTGTCTTTATCACTTGGACATGAAAATCTGTAGTTACAGCCAAATCTATGGCCGGGTACAGCATTGTTCCACAACTTTTTACAGTAGAGAGTTCTGTAGCATATATTTTCAAAATGCCGACTGCATATCTGGCTAGGAGAGTCTGTTTTCCATTTAACTATTGAAATCCACTGCTCTTTTATCGTGTGCAGGATTATATTTTTACACGATGAGGTACTAATGCATTCTTTTACAGAGCAATATGTCATGGTAGTATACGATTCTGAGAAAACTGAGTAAAATTCAAGATACAAAACCTCCCCATACACTTGTACTCCGAAAGCGTACTGCATATTTGATGTATGTACTGTATGATATTAATATCCCTAATCAGTAAACTGTCCTAGGTGTACACTCAGGCTAGACAGCACAGCGGCCCAGGTAGTTAACTATCATCCCCCCTGATAGTAGCACATAGTGGTACATAGTAGTGCATAGTAGTTCATTGTATTACATAGTAAATAGTAGTACATGGTAGTAAATAGTGGTTCATAGTAGTACATAGTAGTACAAGGTAGTACATAGTGGTACATAGTGGTACATAGTAGTACATAAAGGGATTAAAATTAGACGTGTGTCCAATCCTAGTTTTAGTTAAGTGTTATGGTCTCTATATATAGGGTGTCCCACGAAATATGACAGTAGCAAAACGAGTTGAAGGTCGTCTTTAAACTGAAATAATTTGCCACATTTTATTCGTAAATATTATTTAAGGTGTATAATTTTAAAGTTTATAATAGCGAGGGGAAGGGGGATAAGGGCGTGGGTCCAAAAATCCTTCTCTAAGAAATTACCCAGACCATATTTTGGAAATGCCTGGACTAGGAGCATTTTTTTTTATTTTTGCTTCAAAAATCATTTAATAAAAGTAGGTTGAAAAACGAACGACGCAAATAATTTCAAAGATCTAAGACGACCTTCATTAAGACGACCTTCAGTGTGGCATACTGAAAACAGTTCAATGGAAGATTATTCCTGATTCCATTTGGAAAATGGAATAATGGAAGATTATTCCTGATTCCATTTGGAATATGGAATAATGGAAGATTATTCCTGGAAGATTATGCCTGATTCCATTTGGAATATTGAATAATGGAAGATTATTCCTGATTCCATTTGGCATGTCACTCTTGGAGGTAGATTTATTTGAAAATTGGTTCTGCTCATTATGACCAAAAGTTTTTAATTGATCATCATTCTGATAGATTCAGACAAGGTTACGTAAGGCCTTTACGAAACCAAAATTTAATATTTATCAAATTTTTCCTTCACAGTGTATTTTGTTACTTATTCAGCTCTGATACAGCTTGTGGCCTGTATTACATAGAACCAAGTAATTTAAAATGTTTTAGTTCGGATCTAATTGACCGTTACACTGTAGCCACCAACACCTGGACAACTTTAACCAACAAACTTAGTTCTCGAAGACGCCGTCACTGCTCTGTAGCAATAAGGTACAATTTATGTTAGTAAACATATAACCTTGGGCTTTAAAAACGTTTCCATGAAACAATTCTGGCTTTAAATTGTTAATCTTCAAGCTGCCGTTTTTCATTGTATTTAAAGTTTTACTATTTTAATTCCGTGGATTTTCAAAATTTCATAAAAATCGAAAATTTGTTGACACACCTTTTTGTAATTCTGAGCACTTATAACCCTCCCTTGGGTCCTGTCCAACACAAAATTTAGACCTAATTGGTTCAGCCGTTTTCACGTTAATCAGATACAGACCAGCAAAGATAAAAATATAGATATTTTTAGTGAAACTGAGATGATATTGGCAGGAGGATATAATGGAACTCAGCTTTTTAGCGTGGAAAAATATGACAAAGATGGAGTTGTGACGAAGCTACCAAACATGAATTATAGAAGGTGTGTACGTATCTCTGCAAGATTATTGGTGACGAAATTGCTGATGTTTATTTTTTAAAATTAATAATGTATGCCTGGCTAGTGGCAATCCATATTGCCAATATCATTTACTTGCTAGAGATGGACATAGTTTTTTTGAACGAACAAAATTTTTCGTTAACTATAGGGTTGCTCAGAAAAATAACGAACAACTTGGATTGTTTAGAGAAATGAAAAAAACTACTGTGTTTTAAAAGATAACGATTGAAATCGTTCGGTTTTTTACTTAATGAACAAATTTTCCAAAAGATTTAAAAACGATAGTTTTTTAAACGAGTTTTTCTCGAAAAAACTGTTTACGATTTTACTGAACGATCGGTCAGTGAGAAACGAACAAAACAAATGGAATGGGTCTGTCCTAGTATACGATTTTTGGACCCCCCCCTGCCCTCAATTTTGTACATGACCATTTATTTTTCAGCA